GAATACCTCCCGAGGGTTCCTTGCAACAGCCTTCTCAAATTCCTCGTAGCCAATGGGCTTGTCGGTCGGGATTGCCGACGTTGCTTGCCAGCTGAAGTATTTGATGACCCTCTGATTGTCATCGTCAACAAGCTTCTTATCGAATTCGATGATTCGGTGCTTCGCATCCTCAGAGAGGTCATCGTCCTCCCAGTTATAGGAGTGCAGTCTCGGTCGTACAACCTCGTTGAACCTCTCGAAGGTGTACTCAATGTCGTCGCCTACGATGGGCTCATTAGTTCGAATGCTAGAACGCCGGGCCGAATCGCGGCGCAGTCTCGAGGCGGAATCGCTCAATTCTTCGGTATCGAAATGGACCTTCGGTCCCTCGACAGGGGCTTCGCCCTTGTCATTCTTCTTCGGGTGGCTAGAGGAGCCACTGCCAGGCTTATCGCCTTGCACAGAGCGGGCCATCTTGGTGCGCGAGTTGGTTGGTTCGCTTCGTTGCAGTGCCGGTCTTGGCTATGCAGATCAGTGGAGTCGCCGTCGTGCGAGTCCGATTCGTTCTTCTTCGTAATGTGGGATATTGTATGATGCCTTCCCAGGCTATGGAAAATGAACCTTAGATTGTGACGACTAGATGCAATTGAACAGGGTCAAGCCGGCTGTTGTTGTCATTCTATTTCGTGAATCTAAGGTTGAGGAAAGGAAAGAGAAGTTCTGAGTCGGTGGCTCAGAACATTACACGAAGATATTCCTGATTTGTGGGTCATGTGACCGGTGCTCCACAACAGCCGTCAATCAGGGAGGTCGTGGGTTCGACCCCCGCCTGGGGCGACACCCATACCGACCGTGACAAGGGTTGTATAGTGTCTAGAAGACCCAAGGTTATAGTATGCCGGTGTCACGAATTAAGCCAACAGGACAGCTGCAGGTGGGACAACCCGCCGGGTGGCGTAGGGCGCACCTGAACCAATCATTCAGGACCATGAGAGCTCAGGGAGCTAAGCCAATCAGCACGAAGGAACGGAAGCTCTTGATGGAGTCAACAGAGCACCAAGCTCTAGGGAGCTCTATAGAGCATATAAGAGCACCCAAGATAGCCAGTATATAGTCACTCGTTCTGGAGGACTCTGGGAGTTCTCTAGTGAGCAATACAAACAGTAAGGTAGCCCTATATTACTGTGCAGACATTGTGACTTGTATTGTTGTGAACCCTTTGGCTTCACCGAGATCTATAGTCCGACTAGCAGATACCTTCGACCGGTGAACCCTTTCAGAGGTAGGACTGCCTATGGTTTCATTATAGCCGGCCCGCGAGTTCAAGGGCGTTGGTATACAAAGCTTTACATCCAGCTTAGATATTACCCTCTCTAGATTATATGGCACAAGGCTAGTACCTATAAAGCCACCCTAGATATTCTTCTCTATTATAGAAGTAAAGAAGGCCTTACGGAAGGCATAGAGGAACTCGAGCTTGCTAATGTAGTTGATATATATCCGCATTAGGTCCTCGACCTGGCGACCGTACGCCTGCTTTAACAGCCCAAAGCAGCCGATATCAAGTGGCTAGAGGAGGTACAAGGAATGGGGAGGCATATAGAGCGTGATAATATTATTCTCCTGGCAGTAGAGCTCGAATTCGGTAGAGTAGTAGCTCTCGTGGCCGTCGAGGATCAATAACCAGTTCTTGCCCTTTATACGAGGTGCCATATAGAAGTCGAAGTGCTTGATCCAATCAAGGCCTACTATATTGGTAGTCCATCCGTTCTCGGTAGTTGCAATATGCTAATCGGCCGGGAAGTTGCACTTGGTATACTAGTTGGCGAGATAGTATTGCGCAGCTAAAATAATGAAGGGTAGGATAGCCTAGCCGAGGGCATTAACTCCCTGGATTACTGTTGCCCATTTGCGGTTACTAGGCTGGGCTAGTTTTGCCCTACTACGGCCATCTGAGGTCGTAACTACTATGCCCGGGCAGATCATTCCTATCATAAACCTGGTCTCGTCAAAGTTGTAGATATCATTATCCACGATGCTATACTTGGCCTTAGTATTTCGTACGAGCGTAAACCACTCCCCGATAATCCTTAGATCCTCGCACTTAGCCCTCTAGTAGTTGTATCAACTGGCATAACGCGTACGGAGCTCTAGTTGGCAATTGACGAAGTTGTAAGCCCAGCGTTTACCAACAGGGGGCGCGTTACATTCGCGTAATAGTTGGTTGGCCATATCTTCCACACCATACAATCTAGGTGGGAATGCGCATGTAGATAGCTCAGTTATATACTGAACTATTACCTCCTCTTCCAGATCTATAAGCTTACGCGAGTTGGCTAGAGTATCACGTCGTGCAGGCCAGCCAGTATGCCGGCGATAGAGGGTAGTATAAGGCACAGAATAGATCTTTGCTGCAGCCCGGAGGCTTAGCTTAGGATCATTTCCAAAAGCTTCAAGTGCGAGAACCACTTTAGCCTTGGCCGGAATTGAAGACATAATAGTATGGTGGAGGAAATTGATGTTGTAGGTAGAGACATGCGTTGCAGAGAAAATTGATCCGCTCGCTTATCATGCACGTTAAGCGAATTGAACACTTTGACCGCGACGCGTCTTCTCTCTATACCACAACCAAAATCCTCTACACCCAACGATGTCTTCGGCTTCAAGAGAATCTAGGGTAATCTTAGCCCTTGAAGCTATTCAAAAGAACCCAAAACTTAGTCTTCGCGCCGCAGCAAAGATCTATAACGTCACAGTCAATACCATCCGAAACCGACGCGACGGCAAGCCTGCACGACGCGACACTACGCCCAACTCGCGCCGGCTCACCGATTCCGAAGAGAAGGCTCTTGTTCAGTATATAATTGAGCTATCTAAGCGAGCCTTTCCGCCGAGACTACGTAGTGTGGAAGATATAGCCAACCAACTGCTATGCGTACGCGACGCGCCCCCTGTCGGCAAGCTCTAGTGTGACGAAACCACAAGCAGTCCTGCCTCTGAAAGGGTTCACCGGTCGAAGGTATCTGCTGGTCGGACTATAGGTCTCAGTGAAGCTAAAAGGTTCACAACAATGCAAGTCGTAATATCTACACAGTAGGTGAAGGCTACTGTTTGAATTGCTCACTGAGGAAGCTAGCTATCCGAATAAGTGACAGAATGGTAGAACTATATATAGCTTCCTCCCCTAGGTATTCCCGTACCTAGATCTCTAGAACATTTAGAACAATTGTCGTTCTTGTTATTCCATCGGGGAGTGGTTTACGCTCCTACGAAACACTAAGGCCAAGTACGGCATTTAGATGACGATATCTACAACTTTGACGAGACCGGGTTTATGATGGGCATGATCTGCCCGGGCATGGTAGTTACAACCTCGGATGGCTTCGGCAGGGCAAAACTAGCCCAGCCTAGCAACCGCGAATGGGCAACAGTGATCCAAGGAGTTAATGCCCTTGGCTGGGCTATCCCGCCCTTCATTATTTTAGCCGCGCAGTACCACCTCGCCAACTGGTATACCGAGTGCAACCTCCCAGCAAACTGGCGCATCGCAAATACCGACAACGGCTAGACTACCAATACGGCAGGGCTGGATTGGATCAAGCACTTCGACTTCTATATAGCACCTCGTACAAAGGGCAAAAAGCGGTTGTTGATCCTCGACGGCCACGAGAGCTACTACTCTACCAAATTCGAGCTCTACTGCCAGGAGAATAACATTATCACACTCTGTATGCCTTCGCATTCCTCCCACAAGCTCCAGCCACTCGATGTTGGCTGTTTTGGACCATTGAAGCAGTTATACGGTCGCCAGATTGAGGACTTAATACGCGCACATATCAACCACATCAGCAAGCTCGAGTTCCTCTGTGGCTTTCATGTCATGAATTAACCTGCAGAGGCCGGTGGGGCCGACCTGCATAGCCCGCGGGCGGCGCCCACGTCCAATCATTCCGGTCCAAATACGGACCAATCAGAAGAGGATCACGCTTGGTATAGGGAAGGCTTGGTGATCCAGCTATAAGGCTCACAAAGGATTACTAGTGATCCAAGGTGATCCAGTATAAGGGATCACCAGAGGCAAGCAGTGATCCATGGAAAAACCGTAGTATATAGGGTAGCTAGCCATTCCTTCTGGAGGACTCGGGGAGTTCTCCAGTGAGCAATACAAACAGTAGAGTAGCCCTACCTTACTGTGCAGACATTGCGGCTAGCATTGTTGTGAACCCTTTGGCTTCACCGAGACCTACAGTCCGACCAACAGATACCTTCGACCGGCGAACCCTTTCAGAGGCAGGACTGCCCGTGGTTTCGTCACATACAGGCAGAGAATGCTTCGCTCTGCAAGGCCAACGAGGCACTAAGCAAGCGCCGGAGAGCCAAAAAACACGCGTACAGCTTGGAGGATCACTTGCAGTGCAAGATGCAAAGGATCTACTGGACCAGAAGGCCGTGGCTGGGGAGGTGGTACAAGAAACGCAGCCGGATGGTAGTGGTACAAGGGGGGCTCGTACGAAGGTTCGGTGCTGTGGTGTGTGCGGCAAGCCTGGCTATAACGTACGTACTTGCCAGGAGGTTGCAGAATCATCTGATTCATCTATTTCTGATGTAATTATAGTTGGTTGCTAGTGTTGATATGTTGCAAATGGGAATAGTTGTTGTAGGGGTAGGGGAGAGTGTACGACTCGCTGATATGTACGACTCGCTGATATGTACGACTCGCTGATATGTACGACTCGCTGATAATATACGTTATATATAACTTTTGCTATATACCTATATTAGTTAGTAAGAATTTAAAGTAAAATAGTAAGATTTTAAAGCTTAGCTAATTATATTTTAAAATAGAAAATAATCATAAATAGTTTCTAAAGCATAGACTTCACTCTCGTGCGCGTCGCTAGCCGCAAGCGGCTAGCGGGGCGGGGCGCTTGCACCGCCGCTGTACAGCTATAGGGACCGTGCACATGTACCACCGAACCCACCCCAAACGCGCACTGAGTACAGTCTGTGGACGTTGCGAACATTTTCCGCGAGAAATGTCATTTGGGCCCCATATAAAACCGAAAGGTTGCCTTTTTGGACCCGGGATTTCTACACCAATTGGTATATTGTCAATTCGCGACTTCTATACGGAGCATAGAAATTAGTGGCTATATCCGTTTCTTTTTTCAGATTCCTTTTATCGTGTGTTTTCGTCGAAACCCAACTCCAAGGGGATGAAAGAGAAGTGTCATTGGGGTTCTTTCTGGTCGACTACCCCATGTCGACTTTATCATTAATTAATGTCGGCAATGGAACGAAGCTCTTAGCAAAGCTTTTGAGCGGTAGGCTTAGACTCGGGGGACATTTTATACCGGATCAATTCGCTGCGTTGTTATCGAGATCTAGAAAATTGTGTAGTCGATGGGACTCCTATACAGGTTTACATCCGCGAGATCTACAACGCCACGCGAGAGATCGTACAGCATAACCTACAAACCATGTTCGTTCGTGTGGTAACCGAGATAAGTCTTAATTCGGGCATCTCGAGTGAATCTACGCGACGCACGCCCCGGAGTGGACAGGTCGAGTCGGTAAGGCGGATCATTTATCACCTCGGAGACACGATCCTTCAGGCGCGCACAGGATATGGCAAGAGCATCGTGTTCCAGGCTGTCTCGATTATCCTACCTCATAAGATTACAACCCAGATCGTCCCATTCAGCAAGCTAGGAGAGGAGCAATACAGGACCATTGCCACATACTCAGGTACACGCCCGATTTGGGTTGACCAGAGCACGAGCAAAGTAAGACGATATCTTATAGTCCTATATAATAGACGTGCTAATCTAGATACCGAATAGGACGAATCATTCTAGGAAGCGCTTAGACAAGGGCGTTATACTCATATCCTATTAGGACCGGAGCAAGCCATCCACTACCGCTTCCTCCGTCTCTTCCGTACGGCCGAGTTCAACCAACGCATCGCATTCGTCGGAATCGACGAGCTCCATACCATTCACCAGTGGAGGGACTTTAGGTCATCCTTTGCCAACCTCCATCAAGTTCGAGCTGCACTCCCGGTCATGATCCCTTGGTTTGGCTGCACGGCTACTCTTACTCCCGATGCAGAGCTATTTATCCATCAGGTAGGGGCCTTTCGGGAAGAGGGACATCAAGTCGGGTCCCTCGAGATAATCCGTACTACCATCGACCGTCGCGACATTAGCATCATAGTACAATGTCTGCCAAAGGGCAGTCTTCGCGACTTCCGACGACTGGAGTTCCTACTCAACAAGGGTCCGAACGATCAAATCACGAAGACCATCGTCTACATTGACAGCAAAGCAAAGATCATCTCAGCCCGCCACCACCTCTTGAAAGTCCTACGCTCTCAGGGTTTATCTGGACCGGCAGCCGATGCGACCATCCGCCGGTACGATGCAGACATTCGCCCCGCCGACCAGGAGAGGATTTACAGCGAGTTTCGCCGGCCGATTCGACATGCAGGATCATATTAGCTACCGTATCACTTGGCATGGGTATGGACATTCCAGATGTGATGCAGGTTGTACAGTATGGACCTGTTCGGTCTGGGGACATCGCCGATTTGTGGCAGCGATTTGGGCGGGCAGTTCGTGCGGGTGGGTCGCTCCATGGCAAGGCCTATTTCTTCGCACCCTATTGGTTCTTCGACCGACTAGGAGAGGAGGACCCTGTCAAGTCAAACCCTGTCACAGCCCCACCTGCTACCGGCGCCCAGAGAGCAGCACCTTTATCACACCAGCCGCCAGTCCCCAGTCGCCTACGCCAGGCAATTACAAATGGCGACGACGAGTCCGACAGTGATAACTGTTCCGTTGCGTCCAGCACGTACTCTCAGCTAGCCTTTATGCCCCAGGACCTATACGACCTTACCCCTGGCGTCGCAGCCGACCAGCCTCCGACCAGCACCGCATACCAAGTCCACCCCACGCTCGGTCTCTTCGGTGACCACATCGTGCGCCAGCGGTGGACTGCGCAAGAGAAGAAGTGGCGCGAGAATCTGGCTGTCAATAACCAGTTGATGTATGAATTTGCCAACGCCAGCTGCTTCCGAACAGCTGCACTATCCATGCTTCAGGAGGCGGCAATGTCATCGTCTCGGGTAGCAGGCTACATGTGTTGCAACGCCTGCAGCCCGTCGCTCGGGGCTCTGGACGGCATGCCCCCCAAACATCAAACGCTCCGGAAGCCATATATGAATAGCAAGGCGTGGTTCATTTGGCAGGAGTTGCATTCTTACGCTGATCGGATCGCCGCCACTGAACTGTGGCCCGAGAAGGAGAGATTCTGCCATCTTCCATCGACGGTCTTCTTGGAGTCTCGACTACAGTCCGCCCTGGCCAAAGAGCTAGCGACAACCGGCTACGTGCCCTCGGGCGTCGAGGATCTGCAGACACGAGTACCCGACCTAGCAACATGGGAACATTTGGAGGAATGGGGCGATCGGTTGGTGGCGGAGTGTATCCGTCTGCAGCCTATCGCAGTGTCAAAGTGGACGGACCACAAGCAACGTGCTGCGACGCAACGTGCGCATACCAGGCGTGCGGCAACGGGAGTGACGCCTACAACACCGCAAGCGAGCCCTTTCACGCCCAACACGTCGTTTTCTTCCGATGCCACCCTCGTCGGGGAGCTAAGTGGGGCAGGCGGTCGATCTCCCGGACCAGCCTACCCGGTCACCCCCACTCCGGCGCGGGGTGACGCCCCAATCCCGCCATCTACAACGAGGAGACAGCCTACAAAGAGGCAGCGGCGGATAAACTCTGTTGGAACGGGGGCGCAGAACAAGCGTCGCTAACACCATGTAGATAACACCGTGCATTGGAATTACATCAATTGGTGTAGATATCTATAAATACCAATTGTTGAAATTGGAGTACTAGCCCTATTCGTGTTAGTGTACCCTCCACACCCGATCGCGTGACTGGGGTTGGCATCTCTAATTACCATACCATAACCCGAGCAGCCCATACGTATTTACTCAACATTGCAAATGTATATGCCTCATGCCATGGCACGCTCCATATCCATATTATTATCAAGGTAGGCTAGTGCAATTGATCCGCAATTACAACAATTGGTGTGAAGTTTCTGCTTGGTCAGGCCCGCGGCCCCACTTATTCTGCCCATAGATAGGTTCTTCTCAAACCCGCTCACCCAGAAAGATAGTTCAACCTTACATCTAACTTCTGGTTCGCTCCTCTCTGCAGTTGTACATCAACTATTTTGACGGTGTATTTTAAGATTTTTACTCCAATTGGTGAAGTTGCAGGCCCGCCTACCTCGCCTTTCGAGATGCCGCGCGGTCGTGCCCGTGGGGCTTCCCGCGGTGGGGCTTCCCGCGGTGGGCCCTCCCGTGGTGGGGTCTCCTCCCGTCGAGAGAATGCGACCAAGAACACCAATACACAGGTTACCAACCATCCGGAGCTCCCCCCGTTCCCAGCCGACCGCGAGAAAGGCTGGACCGATGAAGACTTCGCCTGTTTTGCGAAGTATCCGTTCTTCCCTGCGCATCGCGACATCAGTCAGCTGCATGAGATCAGCATTCCGGCGCCGCGGCTGTGGCTGATGTCAGCCACTAACCCCGAATTTGTGGCACAACACAAGAAATTCGACTCCGGTTTCATGACCAGCCACCGTCTCCCGACGCACGGCGGATACCACAACATGCACGCCTTTCTGGACATGGGTCTAGAACCCCCGGGCTGGTGGCAGCGGACTATTAAGGAAAATCCTGATGAGGGGCTCCGGTACCCGGTTATCCCAGCAGAGTCAGAGCCCCAGTCGGCTCAGCGGGCCGCTACCGTCAATGATCATTCCGCGAAGCGCCTGAAAGGCCAGACGCTGGCCTACGTCCTGGAGGTGAACAGTAATCTCACCAACTCCGACTACGCCGCTATCCTAAGCTATCCTTCCGTACAGACAATGGCCTTACATACGGACCTGGAAGGTATGTGACCTCGGACTTCACCAATTGGTATAGATTAAAACCTACACCAATTGGTGAAATCTCAGCCCTGGCACTCTATTTTTTACACCAATTGGTGTAGTCCTAGATCCTATGCTAATAATCCCTTAGTCGCCGACATCTTAGGCAAGCTTGCTTGGTTCAAGCAGGGTAACTGTCACGGCGACCCGCTCAAGTACCCCGGGACACAAATCGAATCCTGGTCGGGTCTGTTTTCCAGCATTCCCGACATGTTTACCTCCTCGGGAACGGCCCCACTATTCAAGGCGCTGGCATCGGCCCCCTCACCGATCCCAGTCGTATATGTGCGGCGAGGGGACATTCAGGACCCAGTGGCATCCACGGCATTCGAGCGATATCAAATCGCCACCACTCCAACCATCATTGCGGGGCTTCTGGCCTATCTCAAAAACACGACGGTTGGTGCCAACGGACAGGGTGCCCCACGGTACGTACAGCATGCTCTTGGCACTCCCGGCACCTACGGTGGATACCACGCGGACGACTGGGTCCGTGCCGTTCTCCATATGTTGTACTTTCTGGACCGCCGCTCGGGCAAGCAACGCCTCGACGGGAAGAACGGCCCCAAGGGCGTCGTAGGGAAAGTCTACCTCTTCCGGGTTGAAGACTCGGGCGAATTATTATCTGCAGAGCTGCACGCAGAGATCGCACAGAACGTCCAGTCCCTACAGAACTTCCACTTGTCAACTGCGGTCCGCTCGGAGAGGAAGACATTGTCGGCCGAGCAACGGAGGGAGCTATACACTACCGGGGAGATTTATTCCCGGATGTATAAGCGGACCATGACGCTCCTAATGCAAGATTTCGCCAATCTCCAACGGGATAACCTCCGGAGAAAAAACGGTGAAAAGCGGCCCGCGCCCGCGAAGGAGAACGACATCCCGCCGATGAGTGGCCTGATTCTCCACGAGCTCATTGACCACTTCTACAAGGATGGTCGATTCAAGGAGCCGCGCCAGACGCGCATTGAGGGAGATATCACCAAGAGCTACCCTCAGTTCTTCAAGGGCGACGAATCATTTCAGGAGTTCCTGTCCACGCAAGAGCAGCTCGTGGACCATCTCGCGGAGGCCGACCGACGACCTGGTGAAAGCTGGGAGCAGACCCGGGACAGGGTCGAGCAAGAGCTCAAGCTCAGCTTTGCCATCAAGGAGATCCTGGAGCGCGGACACCCGTTCGTCCGCGACCCCAACTACAGCGACGCCAAATGGCTCACGGATGCGGTGGAGCTCAGTGGCTGGCTCAAGGAACCCGAACCGCCCACCCCGGCCACTGAGGGTGGAGAGGCTCCCGGCCCGTCGACTCCGGCCCCCGCGGGCCAGTCAGATAGCGCCAAGGATCCGCGCTCCCCGCTCCGATTCGATTACGCTTCACTCAAGGCCAAGTACCCCTGGGCACAGTGGGACCTGGGTGGGGAGGCGGGGAAGCACTTGCTGGCTCACCAGCTCATCGGTATGTAGCTCTGATTACACCAATTGGTTTAAGCGCTCGGTTTATACCAATTGATGTAATGCCGGCCCTGGTTTCTCTATATAGCTAACACTTTATAGACGCGCTTATCATCCACAAGCTCGAAAGCATGCCTTTCAAAACGTGGTTATGTATGAATGAGGTTGGCACAGGTAAAACCTTCACTTACATACACTCTGTCTCCCTCGCGGTCGCAGAGCTGGAGCGCAAACATGCAAGTGGCGAGGCCATATCCGCCTGGCCCACACTCGTCGCCGTCCCGGCCAGTCTGTTGGCGCAGACCTTTACCGAGGCGGTCCGCAATTTCCCGGGGCTTAAGTTCCACGCCTGGTACGGACACTCGACTAATATCGGCCGTGACGATCCCCGGAAAGGTGCCACGCTATCGACGAGTCAGTTCGACGAGATGATGCATCACTGGTCGCAACAAAAGGGGTCTCCGAACACGGCCCGTAACGTCGTCCTCACTTCCTATACCACCATGGCCAAGCGCTGGGTCAGTTCGGTCAACGCCAGGTACAAGCCATCGGAGATGGTCGGGCCGTGGAAGCTCGACCAAGTCGAGCTCCGGAAGCGCGAAAGGGGGAAGACGCCCATGAGGCCCGACCCTGTCGACGAAGACGGATCCGGGTCAGAAGATGGCGATGACGATGTTTACGACGAGGATATGGACTCGGATGTGCTGGCTGAGCCGGTGTACGAGCCGGTGTACGACTCGTCAGACGATGATGCTCTCGGAAGGTGAGTGCTGCCTGGAACTGGGATTACACCAATGGGTGTAAAGCTGCATCTTATACCGATTATACCAATTGGTGTAATTCGAGCCCTGGCATTTTTTACACCAATTGGTATAATGTGGTGTTTAATCCGGAAGCTGACGTTGCATAGCCCTAGCTCCAAGCCCAAGATTGCCAAGTGCAAGATCTACACCCTCCGAATGACGTCATGCAAGGACTTCAAATGGCGCTGCGTCATTGCGGACGAAGCCGCCACGATGCGACACAGGGAGCGCCTCGCCTGGAGGATGATTCGCCTAATCCCGAAGGAAGCACTAGGGTTTGTTTCAGCGACACCCGCCCAGAACCGGGTAGTAGATTGGATCGCGTTCATGCGGCTTGCCTAGGAAACAGGCGGTATGGACCGGTACTTTACTATGCCGCCAGGGCTGTCTGCGACAGATCTAATCGCAGACGATTTCCGGCCGAGTTACGAAGGTCTGGAGGCCATCACCCGTTTCTCGCCAGACGAGAACTCGGTTGTCGCCCAGCTGAAGCACATGGACGAAGTCCTCGGCCACCGCTGGTGGTTCCTGTCGGAGACAGTCCAATCGATGATTACCGACGGACGGTCGTTAAGCGACCGTACTAACAGAATCCTCAAGCAAAATCAGCTCATCGTCCTAAATAGAGGGATGAATACTAAAGTCACACTGCCAAATGGACAAGCTGTTTACCCTCAAGACAACATCCCCCCGATGAGGATCATTTCGGTGGAACTTGGCTATGGCCACCGCGCTAATCAGGTGGTGGAGGAGACTGACTCGATCCTCGCCAATATCTCCCTCGGCAAGGTCGACGTGCCTGAGGGGACCGATCATATCCACGAGGACTCACGCCCGACGGGAGCCGGGGAGAACCAAGCTCTAAGCCTGGCTCTAGTGAGAGCCCTTCAGTACCTCGCGCATGATTTCCACGCATGGCGCATGCTGTACGAGGAAGACGACGTTACGAAAATGGAGACGTCGCGCCTGATCGAGATGGCCGAAGAGCAGCGGAAGGCATCGCGAAGCCTCTCCCGCGCAGAAAACGTCCGGAAGGCCACCAAGGCCCACCTGACGTCGAAGGGCAAGCCTGCCCGCCTCGGTACGGAGCTGGTTCAACGCATCGTTCATGACTGTTCCGACGGCGGCCTCTCCTGGGTCTACGCGACCCTCAACCGCGATCCCGACCATATGCCGCCATCGGAGCGGCCGGCGATGACACACTTCGCCATGGCAGACTCACCATCACTGGCATTCGTGCTGAAAACATGTCTCGAATACAAAGAGAAAGGGAAGCGTGTGCTGGTCGTCGTGAATTCGCCGTGGATCCAGCAGTAAGTATTGGACCCCATTCTACACCAATTGGTGTATTATCGACCCACCCGTACTAACTATATTAGGATGACAGTGGCCGCCCTGCGAAAAGCGAGTTTCAACACGCTTAATATCCACTCGGGTATGAGTACCCAAATGAGAGAAGCCGCCATGCAAGAATGGAACTCTGAATCAGCAAAGGTTGACGTCCTCGTGCTCAACTCGGCGGTATCGAGTGCCGGGCTGAACTGCCATCTGCAGTGCTCAGTCGGAATCGGCTTCGGATTCGTGTGGAACGTATCCACCATACTCCAATTCATCGGACGGCTATTCCGCATCGGGCAGAAGTGGCCAGTGGAGTGGTATCTCCCACATGTTGTAGGCACGATCAACGACTGGCAACAGGAGCGTATGCTGCGCAAGGTATGTTGGACCCGGTATTATACCAATTGGTGTAATTCGAGCCCTGGCTTTTTTTACTCCAATTGGTGTAATCCCAGACCCGCTCGATCATGCTAATCACCTATAGTGGGTACATGAGATCTCCCCGAGGATCAGGGAGACTTCAGGCGCGGATTCGGATGCCTTTCAGCAACTGTTCGCCTACGAGGCTGCCAGGCTCCTCATAGTCACGCCGTTCAACCGGTATGCGTGGGTTTCGGAACCTCCGCAATCCATTGCGGACTACTCCACCCGCCGAAACATGGTGATGGGCGACTTCTTCTCCGCACTCGTCCAAAAGATGATGACGGACCCCCCCCCGGAGGGGCCCGTATTCGATACGATCCGAGATTCGGTACCCCTCATCGGGTCAGTGTTCGTTGATAAATACCTCCGGACCGGCGACTCCTACCGCGACGTAACACCCGAGGATATGACCTGGTCCAACATCTACGATACTGTCCCGCAGCTCCTGCGGGAGTGGGAGGAAAGACACGAGCGGTTTTGCATGCCTCCAATCGGTGAGCCGGAAAGGGACCAATCGGCATTCCGCACCCGCGGAAAAGCGGTGATGCGGGCCCTGAACATGACGCCCGTTAAGACGCCTCGGAAGAGGGCCCAGGCATCGGGCGGGTCGTCGGGCAGGCCGGCGGGTGCCGGGAAGCGCAAGGCGGAAGATGCCTTGGAATCGCCGACTAAACGGGTGGCCCGGCGTACCGGTAAGGGAAACGCAGTGGCGACGCCGTCGTCCCCCGCCGACGAAGTGGAGCCAGAATCGCCCCCGGACAGTGGAGCGGGCGCCGAGTTGCCCAGCAGTGTTGGAATGGAGCCAGAGTCGAGCCCTGGAGAGGAGATGGGTGCTGAGTCGAGCCCCGTCACTGGAGTGGAGCCAGTGTCGACCCCTGGTGAGGAGATGGGTGCCGAGTCGCCTCCCGGCGACCAGTCAGAGTCAGAGCTAAGCTCCGTCGCGAGTGCTGATCTCGAGTCGAACGGCGAGGGTGACGGTCCCGTCGATAACTAGGAATGTATACTAGAAGGTGAAGATGGCGAAGCTAGGCGGTGATTTCACACCAATTGTTGTAATGCCAGATTAGGCCCTAATACACTTTGCTACCCCCCGCTAACCCCGCTCCATGGCACGGTGACATTGAATCAGCCCTACACCCCCCCGTGCACTGTAAGTCAAAACAATACCATTAGCAACCAGGAAGGTCAAACGTAGAAACAAGCTATACTTCATCGCCGTCAGACCCCTCTGATTCCCAGCCCGCTTCATCCTCGTCCTCCTCGTTATACGCCCGGGCACCCTCGTTACTCTACTACCAAGTCCAGTTCGTCGACAAGGGTTGGGACCCCTGCCTGATCTGCGGCGTGGCGGGGTCGAACCTCCTTGGCATTGAACGCCGCGATCTTACTGTCGCTGAGCGCATTCCATCCCAACCGTTCTATATCCGGCGCGTCAAACTCCTCTGGCGCATAGTTCACCGCGGCATTGGCTTTGGTAGACCCGTTGCGGTATAATACGCAGGCGTAGTCGAGAATGTCGTTCTTGGTAGATGGCTGTACCCGTGTGCCCTTGTGGTAGATGCCGAACCTGCTTTCCACACCCTTCCTGATGGCGGTATACGGGCTGACTGCCGCGAGTCGCTCAAACGTCGCGCTCGTATCGTGAGTCGAGTTTCGATTTTTCTTGATATCTAGCGCGAAGGGTGCGTTGATGTGTTGCAGTGCGAGGTCGATGGCCTTCCACCCGCTACCCGCGGTAGTACACCTGACAAGACCTGTCCGGAAGATGCAGTCGGAGAGTAGCTCGTCGGTGATGTCAGAGTGAAGTAGCCAGGAGAAGTAGAGCATCTCTAGACCATAGGATTTGGCCTTCCCGCCAAAGAATATAATCGGCAGTGTCGGGATCATAGCTCGGAGGACACCATAATCACCAACCTGTATGGCGTGGGCAAGGACTAATAGATGGTGTACAATGTATAGATACCGAGCTTGGCTCCTGAAGCGGATGTCGATGGGGGTATTAGGATCACTAGCTCCTGATTAATCTTGGTGATCAGGCTGTCCCTCACGGCTATTAGCTTAGAGTCCAAGGGTTATGCCCTATCCAATCGCTATATATAGTTAGTTTATGACAGTTAATTATTATATAAATAAATTTAATTTTTTATATAATGCTATAATGTTATAAATATAAACTTATATAGAAGTTTTATTAACTATATTATTTTCTAAATCTTAATAATAATAAAGTATATTAATTTGATATAAAATATCTCTAAAGTCTAAGCCTATTATTCTAATACTTTCCTAAAGTGTGATGAAACCACAGGCAGTCCTACCTCTGAAAGGGTTCACTAGTCGAAGGTATCTGTTGATTGGACTGTAGGTCTCGGTGAAGCTAAAGGGTTCATAACAATGCTAGCCGCAATGTCTGCACAGTAAGATAGGGCTACTCTACTGTTTGTATTGCTCACTGGAGAACTCTCTGCGTCCTCTAGAAGGAATGGCTAGCTACTCTATATACTACAGTTTTTCCATGGATCACTGCTTACCTCTGATAATCCCTTATACTAGATCACCTTAGATCATTAGTAATCCTTTGTGAGCTTTATAGCTGGATCACTAAGCCTTCCCTATACCAAGCGTGATCCTCTTCTGATTGGTCCGTATTTGGACCAGAATGATTGGACGCAGGCATTGCCTATAGGCTATGCAGGTTAGCCCCACCGGCCTTTGTAGGTTAATTTATGATATAAAGGCTTTAATCTATTATTAATATTAATAGTAAAGTTAATATAAGATAATCGAATAAAGAAAAGCTTAATAACTTATTAAATATTATCCTCTTAAAGTTAGATTTTAATGAAAATATATAATAAAATAAATCTAAAAAAGAAATAAATATAAATACTAACTATAATTTCCTAAAAGTAATTTATAAATCAGTAATATATTAATTTATCATGAACTAACCTGCAGAAGCCGGTGGGGGCTGTGACGGTGGAACCCACCATACCATGGCACAGGCTATTGCTTAGTCATGTGCCCGGCTTCTGGTGCATGCATGCATGATTGGTCAATCTGGTTAGTGCCCCACTTTCCACATCTGGGCACATGCCCCACATCCTGTATTTAGACTTCTTCGCACCTTGCAGTCTTCGAGGATTCCTTTCCTCCTGCAAGTTCAATATTCTTGCAATGCAGTCAGTTGCCCACTAGAGCTTTGAGCCTAGCCTGCGACGACAGTCACCGTGACAGAGGCCGACCTGCATAATTGACGGGCAGCGCCCGTGTCCAATCATTACAAGCCAAAAAGGACCAATGAAGATTGGGAAGACTAGGAACAATGCCAAAAACGATTGTTCCTGAGGAACAATGCCAAGGAATATTGTTCTAGATAGAACAATGAGAATAATAATTGTTCCAAATATTCCAGAGATCTAGGTACAGGATACCTAGAGGAGGAAGCTGTATATAGTTCTACTATTCTGCTACTCATTTAGATAGCTAGCTTCCTCAGTGAGCAATTATAAATAGTAGCCTTTACCTACTGTGCAAACATTGCAACTTGCATTATTGTGAACCTTTTGGCTTCACTGAGACCTACAGTCCAACCAGCAGTACCTTCGACCGGCAAACCCTTTCAGAGGCAGGACTGCTTGTAGTTTCATCACATAATTAGTATAGAAACCTATAGTTAAAGAAAGCAACTTCTTAATTTTATAAAAATTAAGTAACTAGTTATATAAAAATATTCATAATATCTATAGGCTTTACTTAGTATGTATTTAGGGTGAGTCTAGTAGTATATATGCACGGTCTCTATAGCTATATAGCGGTGATCTATACCGCCGCTTATAGCAGTGCAACCGCCCTACCTCATTAGCTGCTTGCGGCTAGCGACGCGCACGAGTGAAGTCTGTACCTTAGAGACTAGATTTGTGAAAATCTGTAAAACAAGATTGGCTTGAAATTTCGGAGCCCTAGCTTTGTGCCAAGCTTACCCCCTTGACTATCTGTAACTTCAACTCCGCGTATGTAACGACACGTCTAGAATTCCATGCTTCGTATACTTACCATCAGCACGGTATGTATGTATTGTACCATGCCGGACATGGTAATTACCTACCTACCTACCTACGGACATCTTTCCACTTTCTCCTCGTTGCCTTTTATTCCGTCGTGTCACCTTGCATTATTAGGTGTAGGCACCCCTAATCACTTCCCTCATCACCGACTCAAGAGAGCCCAGCCCGGCGGGATTCTCCCCTAAAGCATCCTGCGGCCGCGGCTTCCGCGTCGAAGGCCTCCTCCAACTACCATCGTCCGCCACACTCTCCGGAAACAGACTATCAGGAACCCCGAATTCCCCGAATTGCCCGAATTCCCTTCTGCCACCGTAAGACGACAGCGTTTCCCTTGAATCAAGGCCCGAGTCGCTCCGCAACCAGCTCAGGTTGTGAATGCCATCCCCGTCCTCTGTACCATAGCCGATCTCTCCCGCCCCCTGAGCGCCGCCCCGCCTCGCACGCCCGTTTCTACGAGAGCCGTCCTGAGGTCGCAGATGCGGCACCCTCGGCCGGTCCAAGTCTAAGCCATCAAAGTCGAAGCTATCCACACTCTCCAGCCTTTCGGGAAGTTTCCTGCTTCTTCTCCTCCTCCTCATCCTATCATGAGTCGAAACATCGCTCCGGCTTGGGTAGCTGTAGTGACTGTACCTCCTCTTCGCACGCGAGCTCGACGGTCGGCCGCTGAAGACCATGTGGTCGGCAATACGCTCGAACAAGGGCACGAGTGTGCTCAGCAGGCGCTCGTTGGCGTGTTCCAGGCGCTCGAGCCGCTCGGCGAGGGCGCTGAGTTCGCGGTCGGGGGGTTGGCGAGGGTCTTCGTAGCGGTTGACGAGCTCTTGATGAACACAGGCAGTAGGACGTGCCGCCGGACGGGGGGCAGGGGTGGAATAAGGGTTTGTGATGATGCTCTCCGCGGAGGCGCGGTGGGTGAGCGCTGGGCGCGCCAAGGAGGATTCGGAGGCTGAGAAACAGGGTGCTGAAGAGAGGTTTTTGTCCCTCATGTTCGGGATGCCACTGATGCGTTGAGCGGGCCATTTGCCGCGGGTTGGTGGACGGTATGAGCGTCTATTGTGGGCGGCTAAGACCTCCGAGGTAATGGTACTATTGTGTGGGAAAGCCGATTGGCCCAATGATGACGGTTGGGAGTCTGCCATGACTGAAAGGGGGGTGACATAAAGGCTTTGTGGGCTCCCTGGTTCTCCGAAAGGGGACTCCAGTGAGGCCAAGGCTGAAAGTGTATGACGCCGGAAATCTTGGGCGTGGAAGGCACTGTGCGGTGATGCGAGCTCATCCGTGCTGTGCCTTTGCGGTCTGCTTCTGTCGAACACTGGTGAATCTTCCCTGTTCCAGTCCCATGCGTTCATTGTCTCCCGACTAGAGATTGTCAGGGGCAGATAGCCAAGTTCAGGGGTGTGGAAGCTCGCCGTGCCTGTGTCGGAGCCCCGTGATTGTGAACTGTTCCGCAAGTCCGCCATCACTTGAGGAGTAGGGATGCGGACCGTTGCGGCATCAGAATATATGAGCTCGCTGCTGTCGGTGCAATCACTCTCGGGGGTGGATGGTCGTTTTTGGAGTGTATCTCGGTACATCGGCCGCCTAGTCGACGTCCCAGGTAGGCTTTCAGTGTTGGGAGAGCGGGACCGGACAATGGATTCACGACGGTGGCGTTGTTCTCTATTAGACGAAGTATCTGTCGTGGCCACAGTGGTATCGGCAGGGCCTTTTTGAAACGGTGTCGCGGCGGGACGAAGAGTGAGAGCCGTGTCTACTGTTCGACATTCCGGCGCTTTCCCGGCTTCTCCCCGCCGCCTCCCCTCTGTAGGGCTATTGTTGGAAGGGCCGGGCAGAGAAAGCGAATCATCGCCGCCCGGCGTAAAGGGAGGCGCCCCCGTTTGTTCCTTGGGCCGGGCGGAGTCGTCCGGTCGCTCTGCTGAAGAGACCGGGCGTTTGCAGGTTACAGGCTGCAGATGTGCATACTCGACCGGAATCGATATCGCGATGTGGCGATGACCTCCAATAGTCATCCCGGCAACTGCTGAGTCTGGCAGCTTGATGAATCGTTTCTTCTCTTCCTTCTCGGTCTTCTTCCGGAACGGCCACAAAGGAAGCCTTCTGCTCTTCTTTCCATGCTCCTCCTCGGAAGGGCTCGGTGTGGACATGAAATTCGAAGGCGGCGGCGTGGTATTGCGGATGAAGTCGGCCAATTCTTTTGTCGTACCCCTCTCATCCGGTTTCCTTGACCTGTGCCTTAGGGCGGACTTGGAACGGCTGCCCGGGGGTGGCTGTGAGCTGCTGATGGCTGTGCTTGGTAGCATTTGCCGATAATCCTTCGGCCCATTGTCATCTTCAAATGTGACCTTAGTGTCCCGGCAAACGTGGATACCCCTCTTGCTACTATCTCCTGGGTGTGACATGTTGGAGGCTAGTTCATTAGTATCCTAATAAACACGGACCCGAACTTGTCGAAGTTAGAATAGGTGGTACTATAAGTAATGTCAGTCATGACTTGCATGAAGCAATGTTGTTCATTACAGGACTCACCTAGGCTACTCTGTCTGCACCAGGGCTTATTACCCCAGAATGACCGAATGTCCGTTCGCTCAAGAAACCCTCTCCGAGAACGCGAGATCCCCGAGGATATAGGAGAGATCAAGCCAAGCCAGTTGAAAAGGATCAGGAATGGATTGGCAGGAACTCCATCATAGCCCAAAGACGCCACGAATGACGGCGTCCACGACCCTGAGAGCATGCCATGGCCTCAGGGCTGATATCGCCGCCTAACGTAGGGCTATCTCATCATCCCATTGATGGTGATGTCATCACCGTGTATCTAGCTGACAAAACGCGACAGGACCTCTGACTCCCCATAGGCGGGCTCGAGGGCTCGACCGTTTAGTTGTGTTTCCATGTGGAGTAGCCTCGAGTCAGAATTCGTACGACAATTGAGGGGACCCTCAATCAACCCCGCCTTCATTCGGGGCTGCCGTGGCCCGTAGATCGGGTTGCCGGCGTTGAGAGTGACGAGGAAGATGCCGGGAATTGGCCGCGTCCGAAAGGCCGAAACTGGGCCGAAAATGATGGACGAGGGCATTGCGGTGGGCAAGGAGTGAGAATCATATTCCCCACAGGGCCCAAATCATAAACTATGTCCGCATACTTCACTCAAATAAGCAGGCATGAGATCGGGAGGACGAGACGCGCGTCGGCCGATCGCATCGATAAGGATATTGTGCAGACTGTAGAGCATGTGATTGCAGGTCCTGGAAGGCTTCGTCCAGGATGAACCCGGTACCGGGCTCCCTGGCAGCCCGCCTTCTATGTCCAGCGAAAGATGACACCGCGGCAGCATGGAGAAAGGTGTCCTCTGTCAACTCCAACGGCTGAAAAAAAGAAGCTGTAGGGAGCACTGCATCGTGACGAGTCCTTCACAAGTGGAAGTCGAGTTCTCATCAATTGAATGCCCGCAATTCGGATATTTTCGACCAATCAAATAATTCGTGCCACCAGATTAAACTTAGGCTGAAGCGGGAGCGGCAGATCAGCGACCAAAGCCCGCCGCGGATCTGGGGAAGATGGAGCCCCATTTCCGATGTAACGGCCGGCGTACGGTACCCGGAGAGAGTAGACAGTCCTGAGAACTGTTTCACCACATATGTAACTGTAGTCTTCCATGCAGAAGAGTGGAGGATTCGGAACGATCAGCGTCGAACGGCGCGACATAGAGCACCTTGTGGCCGCGGTAACCGGGTGAGAGGCAGCAAAATACGCTGCTGTCGGGCTGTCAGCCACGGCAAGGGGCATGTAAACCCCCGAACGGCCGGTTGCATGTGCCGCAGTGTCGGTCAGTATGCGGATGCAACCTTTTACAAGTCCCCGCGCCCGCATCCTTGGGGGAATTGGTGGAAGTGGTGAGGACATGGATGCCCCGACTCCGGCCAACGCGTCGGCACATCTGCCTGCCCTAGTCCGTAAGGTAACACAGATGACCGCCTGCTTCGTGGGTAGCGGAAAGGTCAACAGAACACAGGCAAGAATGGGATAACAAGGAGCCCAGCAACAACTCCCGGCGCGCAAACTTCCAACGCTCACCCAAGGAAAGCCTCCCAGCCGTGAATAGCCGTCTATCGCCGCCCAGCCCGAGAATGAGACCAGCTTTCCCGTAGCCGTGATGCAAACTCCGCCGACCATCTCTATCTAAGGTATGCCCCCTATAATCGCTATGTATGTATGACCCCAAACGCCGCCAGAATAATTGGCCCGAAATGCGAGAAAAATGGAAGGGGGGGCATAAAGAAAAAGTATAGCATATCAAGCACATCACATGCTTGGTCAGCGCTTCGGCGGCTTCCTCTTAATGAATGGGTCTGCCGCCGGCCGTTTGTGTAACGTCACTGTGCCCTACATTGTAATCGCTTTAGCAACAACAGTCTTTGGAATGGTGGTATGGCGATCAGAATCGTCTTACCTTAGGTACATTGGGACCCATGCTGGGTCTGGAGCCCTGGGGTGGCCTAGCGGGCGGTTGAGGAGGCCGGGACGGCTGTGGGGGGGCCCGTGTCGGGGGAGCTAACCCTAGAACTTCCATGGCCGATGGATCGGTTGGCGCTATCGGCTGTTTGACATTGGCAGTCACCGATGGTTTGGCGGTGGACCGGTCGGAACTCTGCTGAGTCTAGACACGCCGTCGTTAGCTGGGTTCAAGTCTACATGAGCATTACCATCGTAACTTGCCTTTTTGGCGCTGGAGCGGCCGTCATCGGTGTTATCGCGCTGCCGCTTCTTGCCTGCGGACCCAGCCGTGGACTGGATCATGGGCGGGCCAGAGCCCCTTGGCATCATTGACGTGACCTCCCCTTTCTCGTTCAGACCACCGATGCCCGTACCGCGATATGGAAGCGTCGGAGTTGCGGCCGGTTGTTCACCAGGAACCGACCTTGTCGTCGAAGCCGATCCTTGATGTACTGGCGTCGGAGGCTTGGGCGTAGAGGCTCCCTGCTGCGGAACCTCGGGTGAATCTGTCATGACCACATCGTCACTCTCCCGCTGAGGTTGAGTAGGGTAGGACGACGCCGCAGCAAGTGATGCGAGCGACACCTTTGGCCCTGGTTGGCTGAGCAATCCCATGACGTTTCCGGTCGTGTAGCGATCTCGCTGCTTTGCATCCTCGATGAGCTTGGCCCAGAACTCGCCTTGTACCAGCGCACGAGAATCACCCAGAATCCATAGCGATGACTTGGCGCGCGTCAGACCGACGTTCATACGGCGAATGTCCGTCATGAAACCGATACCGCCGGTCGAGCTGGCTCGGACACACGAGAAGATGATGATTTCGCATTCTCGTCCCTGGAAGGCATCCGTAGTGTTGAACTCGATCTCATCCGTGATCCCCTCGCCGTACGTTTCTGTGAACCGCTGCCGGAGCCGGAACAGCTGGGCCTTGTATGGGGTAATGATGCCAATCTTGGCCTTCAAGTCGACGTTGCCGTAGTCCGTCCGGAAGCGGCGGTATAGCTGCATGGCGACCCTGATCTCTTCGTCGTTGACAAGCGATTGATTCTGAGGGCCACGCTCCTGCGAGCCCTTGACATCGAAGAACCGGTAGGGCCCGAGGAGGAGGCTCTGATGCCACGGCTGCAGGCGCAGCCTGGCCATATCGGCACCGTCTTGCAGCAGACCCTCGTAGAATTCCCTACTAGGGAACCTACTGATCTCGGGATGCATACGATACTGCATGTCGAGCAGATGCACGTCCTTGCCATGGTTCTTCTGCATTCGAACGAACAAACTCTGATCGTAGCCGTATCTCGCAGCGGATTGCGAGAGGACCGTGGGAGGCAGCTGCTTCGGATCTCCGACAAGGATGCACTTAGAGCAGCCATACTTCAGAGGGATGAGGGCGCTCAGCTCCACGCATTGCGCAGCCTCATCAATGATGACCGTCTCGAACTCGACGTTGAGATTCTTGAACATCTCGTGGCCGCTGCCGCTCAGGGTGGCGCACAGAACCTGAGCCTTGTCGAGGATCTCTTGCTGGATCTGCCGACGCTTGATTTCAACCTCGCGTGCAAAGGTATTCCCCTTGCTCTTTTGCGCATCGATCTTGGCACCAATGTGGGCTTGCCGGCGCTTCAGCTCGTCGAATTCCCGCTGCAGCTTCATGGCGAGCGCGCGGTTGTCGCTTGCTCGAGCCGCCTCGAGCTGTGGCCGCAGTTCCGTGACTTTATTCTTTAGCTCGCCGGCTTCCTGGTGCAGCTTCTCACGATCGCTAGGGCCGCTGATATTGTTGATTTCCACGTCCATCCGCGCCTTGACCAACTCGTCAAGCGCGACATCCTTGACGGCGGCGTTGATGGCATCACTGCGGCCCAGACGCAGCACCTCGATTTTGTGGGATGTGCCATGCATCGTTTTCACCCCGCCCTTCAACCGTAGCACCAACTCGTCGACGGCGGCGTTGCTGGGGGCGCAGATGAGCAACTTCTTGGATGTGCCCACTCCATTAGAAGCCGCACCCCCAGGTCTACCAATTGGAACCGCATGGCTCGACGACTTGAGGACTCCGGTCAAGAGGCAGCCGACCATGGCAACAATAGTCTTCGTCTTGCCAGTTCCAGGAGGACCCTGAACAAGGGTGAAGCCATCGTTCTCCTTTGCGTTCAGGATAGCACGCGCTTGGCCCGGATTGAGTTGGTAGTTCTCCATAACCCCCTTTACTGCCTCGTCCCCAAAGGTAAGCATCGGAGACGGCTGCGCCTTCAGGACTTCGTCCATGAGGTCGTAGTACTGCAGACTCTCTAGCGCTGCATATTCACGCTCGATTGTCGTCATGTTGGTGATCTTGACGACATGGAACTCGGCACCCGGAAGAAGTGCCGGCAAGATCTGATTTCCCTTGGCGTTGAGGCGGTAGACAACCTCGGCTGTATCTTTCTTGTAGGTGATCTTCCAGATACGGGAGAGACAGTGCAGCTCCGTCGGTTGGTTGAGCGGGTCCTCTGCCTTTGAAACGATTACAATATCCCCTTCTGACAGACCACGGTCCCTACTGACATTTGCCGGCACCGAGGCAGTAACTTCCAGGAACTTGTCGACCGTCATGCGGTTGAGCACCTTGATACCGAAAGGCCTGGAGGTGGTTTCATCCTTCGCCGTGACAAAGGAACGCCAGGCCTCGTTGATGAGCAGAGGAAAGAAGGTCTGCTTGTAGCTGTGGGGATCTGTATACGTGTTGGAGACAACCTCGCAGCGGAAACCATTGGGGGGGTCGCTGCCCTCGTGAAAGATATCCCACTCCAAGATCGCTTGGTGCAGCACATCCATCGGCGGGATCAGGCGCGCTCGCATGTCCTTCGCCGATCTCTGCAGTTTGACCTTCTTGACAGGACCCCGCTTCTCAGTCAACATGAGGAGCCGACGACGCTCAGCCTCATTGAGGGTCTGGTACTTGGCCTTCGCCTTCAACGTGATCCGCTCATCGTCCTCGGATTCATCTTCCTCTTCAGAAGAGGACCCAACCATGATCTCATCTTTGACGACCGGAGCGTGGTCCTTGCCTCGGACACCAGCGATACCCTGTAAGCCGGATCCCTCCCCAGCAACGGTCTTTTGCGGGGCCCGCAGGGCTCTTGCTTTGGCAATGGCCTCGGCATCTCTCTTGGCCTTCTCCGCCTTCTCCCGGGCTCGGGCCTCTTTAATGGATGATTGAGTGGCGAGGATCGCCTTCTGGTCCAGCTTAGGTTGCGGCTTGACCTTCGGGCCCTCCTCCTTCAAGCTCTCCAGCAAAGCGGACTTACGCTTCTCAAAGGCAGGGGTAAGTTCGGCGAGGTGATCCTTCGTCGCGGTCGAGAGGTTCAGGCCGCCCTTGGAAAAATCGAGCTTGCTCTGTTTCATGGACCGCTCCCTCTCCCTCGCTTCCTTCTCCCCGGGTTTGACACCCATGAACTGCTCCTCGATCACAGCATCCTCCCCGAGGGCCTTGAGCAGCTCGATCCGCTGCTCATTCGTCAGGTTGGTCCTCTGGACATAATCGAACCTTCCATCGGCGAGTTTCCTCCGCTTGAGCATGTTGCCGAGGTGCGCAAGAGTTCTTGGCGGCAACTCCATGTCGTTCTGTTTCAACCTCGCCACGAGCTTCTTGATCACTTCGATGATGCCCATGATGAGGTATCTGTCCTTGAGTTGCAGCATGTCGGCCAGGGAATTCGAGTACCTCTTAGGTGGCTCTAGGACGATCCTCATGGCGTTCGTCGTAGCAACACCGTTAGCCTGGACAGTATCTGGGCTGCTATGCTGGCTGAGAGCAGAAGCCATGACGCCGTCTTGGGCAAACAACTTGTTAGCCAGTTCCATGACGTCTCGACAGAAGTCCTCCATGATCTTCTTCTCGACTCTCTCGTGCCATGTCCTCATCATCTTGAACGAGTGGTCAATGGCTTGCCACACGGTCTCCCACCAGCGCTTGACAGCATTGTGCTCCTCGGTCGTGAGAGACTTGCGTCTCAGCTGACCTACAGAAGGATCGCAGAGACCGTTCAGAACAAACTCGCTACACTTCAGAAGAGGCAGCATGTGACTCCAAGGGCTGCTAGCGTCTTGTTTCGCGGTGACTTTACTGACAGCCTCGGAAAACGCGTCCAGGAACGGGGTGAGGTAATCTTCGAGCATCTTAGCAACAGCCTCGGTCGGCGAGCTCTCGTCCGCGATGGCCTTGAGTAACTCAAACCCAGCATCGCGAATCGCATCTTCGCCGTGGATCAATGACGATACAATAGGATGGATTGTCGGTCCTGAGCAAAACTCGCCGAAGTCCTTTCGCTCGAAATCCGAGAGTCGACCGAAAATCCGCCCGATCGCCGCGGTCTGCTGTTGATACCGCTCGTTGAATTTCTGCTGCTCCCGCCTGAGTTGCTCTTTGCGCTTGGGGATGATCTGCTCAATGGTTCGGAGATGCAGCGTAGCCATCAGCATCGCTTTCGCCAACTCGACATGCCCGAGCTGTCTGTACCAAAGCATGTCCAGGAATGACTCCCAGAGTGTCCCAGAGTTCCGGTTCACCGCATTCTGTACCGGAATCCCCCCCATCAAGGCTTTCCATTCGATCTCTGTCGCCCTTGCATCCAATGCGAGCGCGGAATGTATGATAGCCATGGCAGTTTGGGAAATGCCGACATTGAACGTGTCTCCAGGCTTGAGGCCAGCCGCGGTGACAATCACGTCACTGTACTGGACGACGCGGTTCAAAAGTTGGTTAACCATGATGAGCGCGGTTCCCGTGTTGAACGGCGCCTCCTGGTGAAGAAACCCATCGAGCGACTCGCTGAGAGTAACCAAACCGGTCAGGGTGCAGGTTGCTTGCGTGGCTCTGTCGGCAGTCGGGTCTAGACGGAAGTTGTCGAACAGGTGCCGCAACAACGATTCACACACGTCTGACCGCTGTATGGAAGGCAAGGAGCGGATGAACGCCCTCGTCCAAGCAGCCAACGCTGGTACCTGAACGTCACCTTCGGTGATCATCATCTCCGACAATAGGGACCTGCTCAGAAAGCGGCGGAACGCCGGACTCTTGAAAATCTCCTCCACAAGTTGGCTAGGAGTGACTTGGTCAAACGCGGCCCAAAAGGCACTCGGCGACTTTTCCATGAGCTTTCGAAGTCCAGTCAGGACCGCCAGCAAGGCCTCGTCGGAGTCAGTAGCTAGGTGCTCGAGGGCGAGGAAGTAGACGCTTGGAGACACCTCCATTGCCCGGAGGGAGTTGATGATCTGTTGCTCGCTCAGGGAGCGGAGGACGAACCAGAAGCCGCGCCAGAACCCGGAGATCCTGTCTTCCGATGGCATACCTCTCGCGAGCGATACCCTCAAGATGGCATTGGTCAGTAGGGGGCAGACGGCCCAGTCCCATTCCTGATCCGTGAGAGATCCGGGAGACCGTTTCTCCCAAGCCGTCTCCGCGAACTTTCGTCTGTAAGGGACCGCGGGTTCGTCGAAGAGGAAGAAGGTCATGGCAGGTATGATGCCTCCTTGCAATCTCAAAGGTTTCTTGGGTTGGGTATGCTCGAAGACATAGTTGAAGTCTTCTCTATTTTCCGTCTGGGAGAGGTATTGAATGCTGCAAAGGGCTTCGAATAGAGCCAAAACGGCCGTCATGTCGTGATCGACTAGCTTCGCCGTCGTCATTGGGCCATGCTCCTCGAGTATTTTCCTCGCCCTCCGCAGACCCTCGTCTATGCGTTGCCTGTCGAACTCGTCGAGCCTTTTCCGCATGTAGTCAATCTGTTCGGGCGCGAGATGTCTGTAAGGATTGCGGGTCAGGGACATGTCCGGTCTCTGTACGAAGAGCGAGCTGTGGACTTACAGGCCATTCAGGTACGGCTCGCGGTTCCGCTGCCAGTTTCTCACGCATGAATCGCACCTCGTGAGACAGGATTCGACGGCCTGCGCCCAGTTGTCAAGCCACTCTCCCGCGACCTCCCTACCGAGACCCATCAAGATGCTGAGGTTGTAGACAGTTTGAAATCTGTCCTCGTATTCTTTGATCCGCCGCCCCTTCTCCTCAGCTGATATGCCGCCTTCATCAGGAACATCGGGTTCATCGTAGTTTGCCGTGTCCTCGTCGTCAGTTTTGGGACAACAAAGATGGGCGTCTGGTGGCCGTTCTTCATAGGCCCGATGCCATGTAATGGCGGTCTGGTAGAGGGCGTTCGTTTCCATGGCGGCTACTGGCAAGCAACGAACCCTGCTTCCTGGTAGAATCGGGTGAAAATTGCAGAAACTAGCGGCCCGGCGAAAAGGGTGAGCAGTCCTCAAAAATGGTGCAACATTCGGCAGGGCTTGAAGAATACGATTAAGTAGGTAGGGAAGGAACTCTCCCTCAGCTTTAGCAGAGGAAAGAAGGCAATTAATTGGATCTCGAGAGATGACACAGAGGTCGGAGCGTTGCTACAGCAGTAGAGATTGGATGATCCAAGTTTGCTGAGTATGCCGGAAATCCCAGAGCAGGGGCACCCGCATTCTAGATTTCCTACAACGCGGGTGTGGCTCAGGAGGAAGGCTCTTGAGGAGAGGGAAGGTCTGCCATCATGGGTGGCAGTCGCGAAAGATCTCAAAGTGACTGACGCGTCTTTGCAGGGCAAAGGTGGGGCACCATTATGACCCTTGCAGTATTGTAATACGTATTGTAATTGTGCAAACTGTTATGTATTTACGTCCTCCACGAGGATGTTACAATCATGATACAACTAAAGCCCTTATTGCGATGAATGATGCTCCTCTTGATTAACCTCATACGTAAGGTGTCTATATTGAGCTGCCGGGTATTGTTATACCAGAGTCTTCTAGGAGATGTGCTAATAGGGATGGCTGAGGGAGCTCTGACTGAGTTGCTCTTTTTGTTTATCTGCAAATTACCATCTAAATCCCCAGCATTGACATTTCCAGCCACAACCGTCCTCGTCCTTGCATTGCTCCATATTCTTTGAGGCGATTATCGTCATTTGCGTTTAGTCTTCCCCCTCCAGATCCTCATCCACATCACTGGGCGAGCTGTCCGTGCCCAGAGTCTCTTCCTCCGATTCGTCCGTATCTGGGCTCGTCTCCTCCTTCACCCTTCTGTTGACCTTTGCCTTCGGCGCAACCTCGTCCTTGCTTCGGTCAATCAAGTGCTCCAGAGGGCAGTCAGGCGCTTCTCCCCAGTCCTTTGTCCCTGGTCTCGTAGCTTTCCTGCATTTGAAGCACTGCTGACCATGCCGAATGAACAGCTGGTGCAGGCCATACTTCAGATGGTCAGGAACCATGAAGTCTCCATGCCGAAAGCAGTTGTCTGGATCAGCCTTCTCCGGAACCCAACCCAACCAACGGCAGAACTTGTGGACGTGTGTATCCACGGCGAAGCAAGGCAATCTCAGGCAGAAGAGTGTGACACAGGCGGCTGTCTTGATGCCGATTCCAGGATAGCTCACGAACTTGGCCAGCGCCTCATCCTTGCTCATGTTGTGCATGTAGTCGAGGGAAAGAAGATCCGGGGTGACCATGCCAGCCTTGTTATCGCCCTGGGCTGTGTCTGCTGCCACAGTCGCCTGCTGCTTGGCGCGCTCCAAGTTTTCTTTGTAAACAATGTCGAGGATTTGTTTGATATGGGACGCTTTCTTAGGCCCATTGCCGGCAACTCTGATAACCTGAACGAGCTCTCCGTGTGATGACAGCCGAACCTTCTCCCAGTTGATACTCCCGGCTCCAGTGCCTTCCTGTCGAAGACCGTAATGCTCGGCCAGGTTTTTGATGGCAGCATCTGCCATTGCCATCAGGGTATTGCCAGAGATCAACGTCCTCAAGAGCGCATCTAGAACGCAGGGGACTTCGCCACATCCAGCTATCTCCAGAGAAGCAGCAGGCATCTTCTCAGGTTGCTTGACTTCTCCGTGTAACTCAGTTAGGATCCCGTGCACCTCCTCACAGGCTTCGGGCGTCGGAACGCGCCTGTATGGGTATGGTGAGAATCCCGGCGTCAGTCCGTATGGGTTCTCTTTGCCCCTTCTCAAAGTCAACTTGAAGTTGGGGTCAAGGATTTTCGAGGCGTCAACAATGATTCTCTCCAATGTCTTGGTGACCACGCCATCCTTGAAGGCAATGCCTTTGACCACCAAAAGCTTTGGGATCTGTTGGTTTGGCTCATCCTTTTCTTCAACTTTCACGCGCATAACTTCTCGTGCTCCTTTATTGGGGACCGCAGCTGACGTCTTTCCAGTTGCCACAAGGGTAATGCGCAAGCGCTTACTCGGGCGCATTTCCTCTTGTTCGTGCTTGATCGATGGGTTGTCAACATTCTCTGACTTCACGGCAGGCTCTTCTCTTTTGTCGGTCCTGTCTTGGCCTGTAACGCCAACCTTGCTGAGGCGAAGAGACAGACGGGTTTGTCTCATCTGTCCCTGTGCGGCCTTAATGCCAGGATGCGGACTAGCAGGAGGGTCGACCCCGATCAGATTCGGCGCAACGATCGAGTCCGCAAGTTGAGGACTCAAAACCGTTGACTCAGCGCTCTGAGAACTGCCGGCATCTAGTCGCGCAACTCCCGCCCCCATACCATGGGGCAGGACCCAACCACCTTTGAGAGGTTGTCTCTGTTTTCCGATGCGTTTACCCTTCGTGCCACCGCCCTTTGTCTTGCTCACGGATTTTGAACTGCCCGCTGAGCCAGAGGTGTTGGTGACTGTCGAAGCTTGTACCACCGTAGCCGGTGCAATGGGTGCACCAGCCACTACGCTGGTCGACACCATAGCGTCAACAAGCTTCCTCTTTTGCGAACGTGTCTGCATCTTGAACCAAATATTTGGTCGCTGTTGAATGAAAAGCCTCCGGTGCTACAAGATGGTTAGCGGCTTGGAAGCTGTGCTATCAGGTATGGATTTGGATCGCAATGGAAGACAGCAACAATAGTCGCGCAAGAAAGGCAGTTCTGATGTATGAAGTGTCTTAGAGGTCGGTATGAGCGAGGACAGTAGCTGTCGGCCGATGTGGTGGTAGTGTGTAAAGGAAGCGTGGAGCACAAAAAGGATATTAACCCGTCATTCGCTCTGGTCGACCGACCTTCGTATATGGAATGACTGTACCCTCGCCGGCCAGGTGCGAAGTCTCTAGATCCAGATCTGATGTTGTCGGAAGAGATGCACAACTCTCGAGGATTGCCTGGGTGGTACCGGTGTGTTCGCTGGTGCAACAAAAGAGGGTCGAAAGGATATCTGAGATTGGCAGGTAGGAGAGAAGATCTTGAGAAGATCTGTATGGCTGAGCAGTCACAGCGGGAGTGCATTCAGTTTGAGGAGAAGGGCGCGAAAGGCCACGAGGTTCGGCGGACTATCCTGTTGCGTAACGGGTTGACACCGGGTAGGTTTCCAGGATTTGGTCGACTTGATGCCCGTGATATCCTCCCACTGGCCAGCCGGAGGAGAAACGGAAGAAGGGGCAGGTGAATCAGGCACAGCACCACCTGAGGGGTTGGAGATTGAAGTCGGAAAAAGTCAGGTTCTACAAAGTCAGAGTAATACAGATGATTCCTATACTGTGTATTGCAGTCGAGTTCGAGGAAGGAGCAACCGAGGCGGCCTTGAGTTCGGATCACGACCACATCGTTGTCGCACCGCTCGCTTCACGCAAGGTAAGTTGAGGCAAACACTCTGCTCGTGATGTGAGCTTGCCGAGTTCAACATTTCAAGAGGTAGGATGGATTTGCTTCGGGCATGGCAGTTAACATCGAGTCATACCATGCACTTGCTAGCCCAGGAAAGGTCAGATGAACCTAACAGCCCGAGGTAAACGCAAGCTCATCATCGGGTCCCTATCTCATAGTTATCTATTGTTTAGATGGTCAAGAGGCGCAGGCATTCCCAGTTGCAGGCATAAGTTACTGAAAGATTGTAGATAATTTGAAGTGGTATGCCTAATCATACATAAGGTATCAAAGAGCAGCAACAGGGTAACGACGGGAGATCCTAGGCATGATTGGATCTTTCTCTTGCACACCTGAAGTTGAGAAGCGAGATAAGATGGAAAGTGCACTGGAAACAGACAGTCAGCTCAAAGACTAGGCCCCGTGAATCATGAAAGCATGTAGAAATGTTCAAGGGAACATCAGAATATTCTTTCTCCTCATAGACAAACTCAGCAGTCAAGGTTTTGTCGAATTGAAAGGTCATCAGGAAGCAAATGATGTAACAGGACACAGGACAGTAAAGAGAACGTACCTATCAGATGAGAGCTTGCACCTGGTGGCAGGCGGTAGTACACCAGCGACGTTGTCAAGTGGCCACAGTTTGTATTCTCGTCTGCATAGCACAACATCAAGTCATCAAAGAGAGAGGATGAAGGCCTGAAATCTGAAGATTCCAATCTTTTACATGGGTATGGAAACTCTTGCCAAATGATCAAAAGTAGAGATCGGAAGACGAAGGGAAAATTTTTGGCACTGGGCCACGAGTCGAAGACAGGCCGCCCCGCCATCAAATGTTCGGAACTCGGAACCTGTAGCACCCGTACATAGAGGCCCTAACCCTGGTTGCCAGGGCATTTCAATGGCATCCGATCCAAAGTTGACAAAGCACTGGCAATTTTACCCCTGAATTGACGTCGTCACACAACCCTGGCCGTGTAAGGGGATGAACCATACCAATGTACTGTCCCCAAAACGTGGTTCGGAATATGGCCCGCAGAGCAGAATTTACCACTGTTGCCATCATCCCTATGTGTTGCATGCTTTTGGGCATTTTGATGTCTGCAGCGACATCCATCGAGATAGTGTCCTTTCAGAGACTTCCTGCTATTTCAACCTCAGACCTCAGTTTCTGCCGCGCAACGTACATTACGGCTGGAGTTGGTTGACCGGCCCATGTTGGGTGGTCCCTAGGGCGATGTCCGATCTATTCGTTGTTCGGTTCTATGAGTTGATATATGGACTCCCCAAACGAAACAGCCGAGCGGTAAGTCCTGGGAGACTCTTCTGTATTCCCTTTGTCGTTAGCAAGCTGTGGAGTCCGAAGCTGAGCCTGCTTCATCAGATGATATTTTCTAGGTGTTCGTAATCCAGGTCTGTGGTTGAAAACCGCTGCTTCACCACCAGTCGCTCACTCGACTTGGTCTTTTCTACCCTCAGGATTCTAATTCACTCAGAGTGTCCACAAAGGGTCTATCAGATGGTCATCAAACGGGCTAAAGGGATTTCAGGTAAGCAACGTGTCTTCGATTAGAGGAAAACGTACTATATACAATAGATGAGTTTCCATTCTCCGGCCTCCAGAGGCGTCGCCCCCAGCATCATCCCTCGCACCTCGCTGAGAGGATAGATACCCTTGCAGCTCTTTCCATCTCCGCCATTGTTCTCACTCTCCAAAGGTCACTTCTTTCACAAAGCGTATGAAAAATCCCAGCCTGCCTCCCTCCGATCTTTTTATTTCGCCAACTCAATCTCCCCTTTCGCCTAACACAATTCCTCGCTGACCCGACGCCAACGTCTACATACTCGCTGCCGCTCGGCATAACTCTGCAGCAAAGAGCCACGACAATCTCATCAATTGCTGAAATCCCCAGGTTGCCTTCTATGTCCGGTCCATTCATCATCGACGACGAGGATGAGGTGCAGGAAGTCGCTGGTTGGCGACGGCAAATCGAGGAAGAAACGCGGTGGGCTGCTTCCCATTACCGACGGGCAGTGAAGGGTAGAGAACAGAACTCGGACCAAGTCGACGGCGCAGATCAAGAGTTCGAGGATAATCTCGCGGATGAGATCTTCGAGGTCATCGATCTCACTGGCGATGACGATCCCCCCGCCTCCGACCCCCCGCGTCTTTCGAGAGCAGAGGGGAGAGAACTTAACCAGTACTGTACCAACAATGGGCTCCTGCTTCTTCCCGGAATGACCGTCGAAGTGGACAGTGCCGTTTCTGCGTTTGGAGTTGAGTTCTTGAGGATCAAGTCCATTATTCAGCTTCATCGGGGTGCAGATATTGTCCTCCGTGGCTGGGGTTTCGCTAGGACGGCGCATTTCAGCGGCATGTTGCCTCCCAAGCTCAACGAGCTTGTAATGGTGGCAGAGATTCGAACCCAGGGCCGCAGCCAAGTCGAAGAGCAGGCTTTGATGGACGTGGCTGTGACTGCAGTCAAGAGCGCAAGGGAGCTGAGGATTACAAATGCGCCTTTTCCTGAGCATCGCTTTGACCAGTTGTACTGGAGGAGCAAGGGACGGCAATGGATCAAGGCCAACGCGGCTTTGGTTTGCCGACACCAATATCGTATTCACTTCCACGGCTCCAATGAGAAGCCCTGTGAATGGGCCCTTGTCAAGATTGACGAGGCGACAGCGGATCCTGAATACAGGATACTGGACGCACACAAACTCAACCGATGGCGCGGTGGAAAGGTGCCTGGCGGTTCACACAATCCCAGCGCATCCAGTCGCCAAGTGGTCGACTTGGAATCCAACCCACCCACCAGCTGCACTCTCTCGCCAAAGCTCTCACCTGGACAGCGCTACACAGCGGGAGACGTCTTCGCTGGCGCTGGCGGTGCTTCGAGGGGCATCGAGCGCGCCGGTCTAGAGCTGGTGTTTGCAGTTGACGACTGGTATCACGCGGCCGACTCGCTAAGGAGCAACTTTCCTAAGTGCACGGTGTACAACATGAATGTTTCCGACCTGCTCCAGTGCAAAGACATCCAACACAGGGTGGACATTCTGCACCTCTCCCCGCCCTGCCAGTTCTGGTCCCCAGCCCATACCGTGGCTGGAAAGAACGACAAGGCGAACGTTGCCATTCTGTTCTCCTGCGGGCCCCTCTTGCAGAAGTTCCGGCCGCGGCTCTTCACACTGGAGCAGACTTTCGGACTCCTGCACTCCCGGTTCAGCGCCTACTTCAACGCGCTGCTACTAAGCTTCACCGAATGCGGCTACTCGGTGCGCTGGAAGGTCGTGCCCCTGGCCAACTACGGCGTGCCACAGCTCCGAAAGCGGCTCATCATGATCGGCTCTGCTCCGGGCGAGAAGCTCCCTCCATTTCCGCCCGCAACGCACAGCAAGGGCGGCGCCGGTGGCCTGAAGCCATGGGCCTCCCCAGAGTCTGTGCTTTCTCCGCTGTCTCGGAGTCGGCGGTTCAATCACCACAAGCTGCACATGCCCCATCTCAGCAGGCGCTTCGACCCGCCCAAGGCACCGTGGGACCCGACGCAGCTGGCCAAGACCATCACCACGAGCGGCGGTCAGAACTACCACTGGGATGGCAAGCGAGACTTCACGCTACTCGAGTACGCCATGCTGCAGGGTTTCCCGACGTGGCACCGGTTCGAAGGAAGATGCATCAAGCGGCAGATAGGAAACGCCTTCGCACCCACGGTGGTCAGGGCGCTCTACGAACACCTCGTCAAGTGGCTGCTCGCTCAGGATGGATTCGACCCCTCCGCTCGTCATCAGTCTCTTTCCCCGGAGGTGGTCTCCATCTCGCTTGATACCGACGACGATGAGCAGGGCCAGCGCCGCCAAAGTGAGGTTGAGCCGGTTATGGTGGTGGCTGAGAGGGCTGAGCAGGAGATCCGCTTTGTTGGGTCACGTAGCATCAGCGGACGAAGCGAGGTGGTCCCGCAACCCGCTCAGGTTGAGCCAGTTTGGGAGGTTGAAGAAGTTCAAGATGTTGAAGAGGCCGAAGGCCGTCAACCTACTCCCGCCCGAGGTGTGGATGACCTGATGGATCTGGATAGGCTAGACACTCTCTCGGACACCGAGACGGTCCGCGGCGACGAGGACACTGGGGGTGTTATGGACATCGGTGACGAAGTCATCATCTGGGGAACGGGCACAACTAATTCACCATGGGTGCTCTCGGACTAAGACCCCTTTGGGTTCCATAGGGGCTCGCGACTTCACTAACTGTAACCGTGGGGGCCGGAAGCAGCTCGTATTTTAAGGATTCAGTCATGCTGGAGGTGGATAATGTGCCACTTCAAGGAAAGGACTGGGTAGACGGGTGTTTCTTCTGCTGTTAGAGACGTGACGGGGAAGATTCGTGTTAGTTGTCGCTCAAGCTTCACACACACTGTTCACTTAGACATCTGGGATACATCATGGGGGAGTTGTTCAGGTTCCTAGCACTATTCATTTACGCGGATCATGGGGCCATTTGAGCGATTGTTGGATAAGATACGCGCGTCTGGGAGATATGACTGAGCAGTTACTGGAAGGCTTGGGTGATCAGACAGCAGGAGAAAGATACCTTAACTACACCCGCCCTAAAAAAAAAGGGCAAGAGTGGCGTGTATGATCGGACCTCGTGCTCTGTGATTGTATGGCACTTTCCACAGCTCCCTCGGTGTGAACATATGGTTATCTGAGATCCTTATGGTGGTGAGACTGGCAAGTTCGACAAGAGTGACTCCTTTAACAAATCCGCCCAAGTTCGCAAGAAGGATATTCGAACCCTTGGTATTCTTCGCCGTTCCAGCTTGCCTTTCTTCCATGGCACAGGGTTTATTAGTATGTGTCACAAGTATCCCGTCTTGGCTCGCTGGTTTCCTCCTAACCCCTTTCAATATAACCAACTGGGGCCCGGTCTTTACATTACTGAACTAGGCAGTGTCAGATACAAAAGAAGGGTCGATTCTCCTTTCCAACAGCTGTGATAGTCAAATCATCCGGTCTTGTGTCCAGCTCTGCAACCCATATACAGGTACACCCACATGAAGACAAAAAACAAGACTGTGGCAGAGATTCCTCGCTATCTGCCGGCCCTTAGACGCCTACCCATGCTCCAAATCAGAACCACAAGTGAATGAACTGCAACCCATGACACTGGCCTGTGTCGTCCTGACGCCGGATTCCCGCTTGTATCCTGAAAAACTGTGAAACACCCGATAGACCATCTCAAAGCAAGGTTCCCAGAGCAATGAATCGGTTTTCGCACAAAAACCACGTCAGTCCTCTTCGCTCACGGAGCTATCACTCTCATGGCCCTCATTCTGCACCATCTCCAACTCTCTTTCCAGCTCTGCCTCAAGGTCTCCAAAATCCTGATCCAAGGCATCATTCCCGCCCGCATCCGCATTCGAGTCGTCATCTCCGTCGTCAAACGTGTAGACTTCGGGTTCGACCGCGACCAAGTTCTCCGTCTTGGTGTGGCTACCCTGAACGGGCGGCTGACGGGGTGGTTCTTCATCCTCCCCTTCGTCTTCATCCTCCTCCTCATACCCTGCTTCCAGCTCCTCTTCCATCCTGGTGTCGTCGTCCTCGTCTGTTTCTCGTTCCATGTCTCGGGCAAACTCGGAGAAGCGTCTCGTCAGGGACACCGGCATGGTGCCAGAGAAGTTGGACCCACGGAAGGCATCCGGGTTACCCTGTGGGATTTCCAAGGTTAGGACGTCGTCGCCGTCGTCCTCGTCTTCTTCTTCCGATTCGACAGGCGACAGCGCGCGGCGCTTCGGCTTCTTTTCCTGGTCCGACTGTGCCGCGGGCGGTTCCGACTTCTTTTCCAGTTGTTGTGATGAGGGCGAGCCGGAGCTGGCCGGGGTTCCGCTGAGCGTGGGGAGCGTCAATGCCACGGCCTTTTTGTCGGGCTTGCTGCTGGCACCGTCCTTGGCTTTTGAGGGCGTGGAATTCGTGGAATTCGTGGTATTCGTGGTGTTGGCCTTCTCCGTGGCCTTCACCCTCGGCTTCTTGGCTGGGATGCTGCTCGTGATTTCGAGATGCGGGAATTGTTTGCGTAGATTCGCGGCATTGCTCTCCGTCGGCGTGCGCGTGATGTTCATGTGGAACGTGGAGTCAACCCGATGGAGGACAAACGCCTTGCGGGTGGGATCGAATATAAGCACGTAGTTGCCATCGTCGTGAGTACGGACGCCGTTGTATTGGTACTTGTCGCCTTGGTCGTCAAAGCCGAGATTGTACGATTCATCCTTGGCGGATCTCTTTAGGCGTGCTGTGCTCGGCGCGCTATCTGACGAGAGCGTCGGTCGGTGGTTGTCTGTGGTGGGCCAAAGACGTCAGTTGCCTGTCCACGGTCTCAAGGGAGAAGAGTACCCACATCTTATACCAGTGTACGTCTCGTTGGAGGCCTTGCCCAGTAAGGCGTCGCTGAGAATTACAGGATATTGGCCCGCCTTTGTCGGGTCTATGATTCCAGGTGTAGCCATCACGAAGAATGTCGCTAGAGATGTATCATGAGGATTTGAGTGTGGAAGCTGTTGTTGGAAAGACGGGAAAGGTCAGGGCAAGTCTAGGTACGCAGACAGCTGAAGATAGGTAGGGGTCTTTCGTTTCACGGCAGCCCGGAGGCTTGCATTACATAATCCTTTTCTGTTGGGTCACATTGTAAGCGGGGAACAATGATCGGCGGGTGGAGCTGCTTACCCCGGATCTTCGGAACTGCGGCTCTTGGCTTGATTTGCCGTTTTTAAGGCAGCGCTAGCGTGTACAACGGCTGAGAACGGTTGCGTCTTCCTATGGCATTGGGATGGCTTTTTTCGAGGAGCGGACGCAGGTGTGAAGCGTGAGCTAGCAACTGGCCCAGGTCTGATGATGTGAGCTAGAGAAGCAGTCAGCCCAGGCAAACATACAAACAGAAAGGAAGCAGGATGCCAGATACGGAAAGGTACGTATGGACCTACGACTCACGAGCAGCATCCGCTCTCGTACCCAACATCCCAGAGACGTAGTTGATGGGTGAAAAGTTGGCAACACATCAATTCCTCAGCCCTTATCAGGGTATTCTCCAGTGGCAGTGCCCTGAAACCTTGAAGGGTCAGAGGTATTGGATGGAGACATCCCAGTACGGCAAACGCTTCTTTTCTTGGAGCTACCTCATCACCACCACATATAGGGCTGAGCGGAGGCGGGGCTGCACGTGTAACGCTGCGATTGCCCCCGCCGTGAAATGCTGTACGTGTATGTACGGTTCCGGTCACATGTAGGTAACCAGAGCGGACCGTGATGATCATGCAGCGCTCGACGCGGTGCACTGCCCGTATGTACAGTATCTGCAATCCCTTCCGGTGGGGTGCCGAGGCATGTAACATTTTAAGATCGGCGAGGTTACACTTACTACCTACTACTAATATGCTTTAACAGCTTGGAGCTTGGAGGTGCCCAACACACCTTCACTTCTTCATCCAAGGACGATCAGCTTGAGCCTTGGACAGCTGCATGCGCCACACACAAGATGAAGCCTCTCGTAGCGGCCGCTCTCAGCGTTGTCCTCTTAGTCTGGGGCCTGCAGCGAGCCTACGTCAGGTTCATTGCCGACAACAGTCACGCCACCGTCTCGTGCTACCTGCTCGTTGCGGGCCTTGCAGCCGTCGCCATCAAGATCAACCTCTCGCTCGTCAACAACTACCGGTTCCAATCACGCGCTCGCCGTCTAGGCTGCGGCGATGTGGCTGTCTACCCGCACAAGGACCCGATCCTGGGCCTGGATACCTTCGTTGAGGCGATACGTGCCTTCAACAATCACCGGCTGCTCGACCTCTACGCCAACCGTTTCGCAAAATGCGGGCGCACCTACTACACCATTGCCCTGGGCAGGTGGATGCTCATGACCGACGAAGTCGAAAACATCAAGACAATCATGGGCCCGAAGATGGAGGACTGGCCCATCGACGGCCCGCGACGTCTTGCCCCGCTGCCCGTCCTGGGCCCTAACAGCATATTCACCAGCAATGGAGACGCGTGGCACAGGGCGCGTGCCATGTTGAAACCATCTTTTGTACGGGACCAGGTCGCCGATCTCGGGTGCTTCGACCGTCACATCGGGAACATGCTCGCCGCCATCCCAGAGGACGGCGCCACGTTCGACATCCAGGAAATCCTGCTTGACATGACGATGGACTCGTCGACAGACTTCTTGCTGGGGTATTCCACAAACCTGCTGACCAAGGCTTCGCCCGAGGCGCAGGAGTTCGTCAGGAACTTCGAGTATGCGAGCCGAGAGAGCGCTTTGAAGTCCCGTTTCGGAACCCTTCTGCATCATCTGCCTCACCGTAAGCTGGACCAAGCCATCCGGGCGCTGCGACAATACGTCAGATTTTACCTGAAGCGAGCCATCGCCGAGAGCGAGAAGGGCGGTGCCAGAGATCGCAACTACGTCTTCCTCGACGAGCTTCTCAAGGCCAACCCGCCCGAGGACTACACCATCGACCAGATCCTCTCCATCCTCATTGCCGGACGAGACACGACTGCAACGGCCATGACGGCTGCCTTCTACTTCCTGGCCGGAAAGCCTGACGTGGTCGAGAAGCTGAGGGAGGAGATCGACAGCGTGGGCGACGACACACCGACATGGGAGCAGCTGAAGCGGATGAAGTATCTCAACAATGTCATCAGAGAAGGTAGATTTCTCCCACCGACTCCCACCTTAGGCTTTTCTTTTTCTTTTTGGGATTTGGCACACCCCGTCCTAACTAACCCCTTTTGCTTTGTGTCAATTGTAGCACTGCGCCTCTTTTCCCCCGTGGCAACGAACTCGAGGACCTGCAACAAAGACACCGTCCTCCCGCGCGGCGGTGGCAAGGACGGCAAGCAGCCGATCCTCGTCCCCAAGGGCACGCCGCTGCGGTGGTCGGTCCATTCCCTGCACCGCAGCAAGGATGTGTTCGGGCCAGACGCTGACGAGTTCCGTCCGGAGCGGTGGGACGCTGGCCTCCGCGTGAGGTGAGTGTCGGTTTTCTGCTGCACCAGTATCAACTATCAAGGCGCCAGTTTCCTCGTGATTGCTGACGGCGGGCGTCTTCGCTCAGCTGGGAGTACATCCCGTTCGGCGGCGGGCCTCGCATTTGCCCCGGCCAACAGTTCGCCCTGACCCAGATCGCATATGCCTTGTTCAAGTTCTTCAGGATGTTCCGGTCCGTGGAGGCACGAGACGCTGGTCCTTTGCTGGCGCAGACCAATTTGACAATCTCATTTCCCCGTGGTTGCTTGGTCAGCGTGAGGCGTGCTTGAACAGCGGTCGGTGATGAGCTCGGAGTTCGGGGCACTGGAATAAACATGAAGGTCAAGATCACTTAGCTCCCGATTGTATCATGATTTACATCAGCTTAGATTAAGTTCTGACGTACCAGTCGGGTGTAGTACCCATCTCGGCATTTGCCAACTGCCTTGCATAAAAAAAGGATGGCACACCTGCCAACATGCCTCAGCCAAGCAGCAAGAGAAAACCGCTCACCGGTCAATATCTTCTGCATCTCACTTGGCCAACCAGCAAACGAGGACTGCTCACCGGTCAATATCTACTGCATACTGTTTGACCAACCAGCAAAAGGAAATGGCTCACCGGTCCATATCTTCTGCAGAAGACCGTTCACCGGTCAATATCTCTGCATATTGCTGGACCAACCAGCAAAGAAGACGGCTCACCGGTCACTATGTCTTGCATATGGATTCGGCCAACCAGCAAACGACGACGGCTTACCGGTCGTTTGAGATATATTGACCGGTGAGCGAGATCCCCTCGTGGTTGGTCGAGAGGAAGTGCAATTCCTGCACGACATATTGACCGGTGAAGGACGATTGATTTCTTGGCGGCGGTCAACTTCATCGTTAAAGAGGGGGGAAAACATCTCGAACCTCACTGAAATCCGTCTTTTTCTACTTTTGGTTTCTTTTCCGGCGCATGCTGAAAGGATCGAGGCGATTAAGATCGCTCCAGCAATGGCCTGTTTACTCCATCCGGCTTTGTCTCTCATTTCCATCCTAAACGCCCGACTGACCCCGAGACTTCCTTTCCCATTCAGTGTTGCTTTCACGTAGACCCATACATAGCGTACAAGCCTCGCCATCTCCATGTTGATACGCCGTGCAAAGTGCCAAATACAGGACCTGAAACCAGAACAACGTCCCACAACGCCCCGGACCCTGTCATGAACCTCGGTGTCTCGTACCTCCATCATCTTCAAACGTACCGTATTATCGTCGCATATCGTACCTCAACCCCCATTGAGCCTGCCTCAGTCGTTCACTGCCGGTTCGACCTGGGCAACACTCGGCTCCTGAAGGCTTGCCCAATCGTGCCACCAATGACGCTCATGCGGCTGCCAATCGTTCCATCCTGCATGCGGCTGGCGAGGGCTTCCTCAAGTGCCGATTGTGTGACCGAAGCATCTATCCCCCAGAATCCCATTTGTCAATGCAAACCCCCCACCTCAAGAAGAGACGGGACGAGACGACTCACCATCCAGATCACTGAAACTGCTCCCCATACTAGGCGTCCCCTCACTCCCCTCCCTCGAAGCCCCCTTTCCCCGGGGCCCGGGGCCTTTCCCCGCCAACTCAGCCGTCCGTCTGGGCGACAGCGGGCCAGTCCCACCCTGAAGAAGAGTACCGGGCTGACCAGTAGCAGGCGGCGGCACCGTGACCCGCCTCTTCTGAGCCCCCGCTCCCGTGCTGCCGGCCGTAGTCGGCCTCCTCGGGACGATGGCCGCCGATCCGACTGACGAATCCGACGTCTGCGACCGGCTCACGGCATCGCCGCGCATCGCTGTCTGCAGCTGGCCCCGTCCGACAAGATCGCGCATGTCGCCGCGCAGTGTGGCGCCCAGGTCTTGACCACTGCCGCTGCTGGCTCCTGGGGCGACGTCTTGGGTGGAAGAACCGCCTTGGGTTTGTGGTTGTTCTTGTTGATGTTGCTGCGGTTGTTTGAAAGGCAGGAACACGGGCTCCTCCTCGTCCTGGTCGTCCTCCTCGTCCACGTCGCCATCGAAAGGCCTGTCGCCGCCGCTTCGCCGTTCTTTGGTGGGCTGGAAGCGTGGAGGGCGGCGGATGATGCGACTTTCCACAGCGTCCGAGGAGGAAGATGTGGAGAAAGAAGAGGTGGATGCTGCTGAGCTGGGAGGGGGCGCCTCGGCGTCGTCGGTTTGCTGTTGTTCGGGGTCCTGGTCTTGTTGTTGTTGGGTGGAGGGGATCTGGAGGTGCGGGAACTGCCGTCTTGGGGCATCGTTCGACCGACTGCCTGTTCCTGGCCGACTGCCTGGCTGGGACTGGGCCGGGACTGGGGCCGGGACTGGCGTGCTGTTGGACGACGGCGTACGGGACGTTTGTGGGCGGACGGGAAGAGCGGTCTTGGCGGCACCGCCGGGTTCATCCGGCTTCTTCTGGAGAGAAGTGGCATTCTCCCTGCGCATCGACAGCGCCGACCCAGCGCGGCCGGCTCCTGACCCGGTGCGTCTCAAGGGCTCGGCGAATGCCGGATAACCCCCCGGAGGATCCGCACCAGGAACCGGCGACGGGGCGTTGGAGCCTCGGATTGCTGCTGCCTTTAGCATCTGCGCCCTGAGTTGAGAGGCATGGCGCTCGGTCAGATAGTTAGCCATCTGGAGGACGAAATCGACGTTGACATCAAACTGGCCGGCTCTGGTACAGTGTCAGTATCGCGCCTGTCGGCCGGGGCTTATCGCAAGGCTCACAGCTTGTTCCCTGCGCAACGAGTCAGCAATTACCCAGCTATAGTGGGATTGGGAAAAGACTCAAACAATCGACATCGTCAAGGGAAACATCAGATAAAATGCTCCACAAGGCCTCGGACTTCTTGTCGCTCCAGTTCACCTTCGGTAGATATTAGCGTTGCGGGCGCATCACGAGACGCACAGTGCGAGAACTCACTGGCCCAGGGTCGACGAAGTCACCGCGCTTGAAGGGCAGCCGAATGTAGACATGGTATCTTGGCTCCGGTCGTTCTTCAACGGGGTTCTCATATCTCTTCCTTTTGTCTGTCGTAAGCTCTTCTTTCCTCTGTCTGGACTCCATGGTAGATTTCAATCCATGGGCAGGCTTGTTGATGCCTGTTCGTGTAAATGAAAGGGGAGTGTCCGGGAAGCACCTCTTGGGTTGGTTGCAACGGTATGATTACATAAGATCCCGCTTATTTTATTTACGTACCTAAATATCCGCACCCACGTGGCAGTTTATGCGATTACTGGTACCGAGCGGACATATGCGGGCTCCATAGTTAGTGGAACCCTTGTTTGTTACTGCCGGTCGGACTTCAACGGTCAGAAACATTATTTACTTTCTTCACCGCGAACCGCCTCAGAAAATACCTACCTGGTACTAGTAGTTAACTTTTGTGACCATGGAAAGATGGGAGTGCAAGCCACAGAGTGCGCCACAGTTCGCTGTTAAGCTTGCCATTCTCCACTGTTAACTTAGGAAAGCTCGGCACACAGACATCACATGGCGACGTGTGAACTACATGTACTTTAGGTGCACGACGCGTCCAACCCCATTCTCAAGCGCAAACGAATGGACTTTAGAGTGCTCTCCCATATCCGTATTTGTTTTGCATTGAACCAGTGCAGTCTTATAGTCGTTAGAATGTGATTACCGCTACGACTTAGACTATCCACTACACGGCTTCGCTCACTACTACAGGGGTTCCGACAACGCCATAGTCACCACTCACCATCAGGTCCATCGCCTGCAGCTGATATTGGAACCGTCCACTCTCCTCGTCCTGGGCTATATTACCGCGTGCGGCTCGATAACATAAGCGGCGGGTCTCACGAGCCTCGGAAGGGCCACATGTCTACTAGGCCCTTGTATGATGTACCTGCGTTCGCATCGCGCTATGGCTGTCGGTTAGTCCTATTTACGCCATCATTAACCCTACTAACGTGCACTGTAGCCTGTTCAACACGAGGAGAACCCAGCCAAGCCGGCTAAGACCACCGCCACCTATTCTGAGGCTGGCCTCCATCTGCTTGCGGCTGCTGCGCTCGCTACCCTCAAGCAGCAGGCCGCTGCCGCTCATGACGCGCCCTCCTCCCTCTCTCCCGTCATCCGAGGCGATGAGACATCGTCCCATGCTGATGCGCGGGCAGCTGCCATGATGGCAGCCAGAGCCACGCAACTCCCTGCACTCTTTGCTGTACCGCCGCATAGCGTCAGCGCAAGCCCATACATCCGACAGGTATGTAAGGGTGCCTGACTCGTATAAGACGCCCGCTGAATATCCCAACCCATGCAGCTCGAGGGGTACATCAGCCACCTGTGCACGGATGCGCCTACAAACGTCGTGACTGAGGTGCTCGAGATTCTTTCTACGATTTGTGAAGATCTATCGATGATGCGGCGAACGGAACGTGTAAATAACAATGCGCCGGCCGGGACCACCGCCCTCGATCTTATGCAAACCGAGACAGAGGCCAACGAGGCAATGGTCGATGCTCGGGATGACCCGCAGGATGTGGAGATGGAGATCGACGTCAAGCCGGGTCGTTTCGATGTCAGCAACGACAGGACAGCGCATGATATCCGTCCTACCCACGGCAAGCCCCAACCGACGTACGCGATGTCGGACACGCGAAGAACGGATGTCCCGCAGCGGGTGGCTCGGGTGAACCCTCCGAGGCGGGCCAAGGATAAGTCAGTTCTTGGCGGTCCCAGGTCGCGCGGGACGTCTTCGCCAGGCCAGCTGCACGCTCCTAGTCCTGCCTCGACAGTACCAACGACTCCGTCCCAGCAGCTAGTGGACCTCTCCAGCACGCTAGAAGTCGGCGAGATGTATACCCGGCTGGGTATCCCAGACCTCTACCGTCGCTCATTCGACCTCCTCAACGGCCGCAGAATAACTCGGAGCCCGCACTACAAAAGTTTTGGGTCTGTCATGCTCACGCCTGGCGCGGCATACGAAATCGTTCAGGTGTTCTTCTCAAAAATGGTCTGCACTACCCACGAGCGTATCGAGGACATCGTACGAACCATCAAGACATACAACACCGGATGTCGCGCCGACATCACCCGTGCCGACACGTCTGCACCGCAGGCTATCCGGGAGTTCTTGGAGAGCGTGTCAGCAATTGCCACCCCAGAGACCCCTGGAGCACTGAGATCCCTTACCCAGAACATTTGCTACGTTAGGCTGCATGACTCCTAGGAGAAGATTCGGACCAGCCTAGCGTCAGGCGATGAGTTTGGCCGCCAGTACATCGACTACCTAAAGCTTGATGCGCGTACACGTGGTCAGGATCGTTGGCACTATGCTAGCTGTGCAAAGAAGCCACTCTGCGAGAAAGCCGGTGTTTCCCCTGCCACCATCAAGAAGGCCTCCTGGTACACCCCAGTCCCGCTGGCCTTGAAGAGACACTTTGGAATAGGCAGCCTCCTGTTCTGCACGAGCCATAAGTCCGGGTATGTAATATCTGATTTCCTTTCAACACTGCCGCTGACATCAGAAACCCAATCTAGGGACAGCCGTCGGTTCCCATATCAGACATGCTTCGACGAGATCTTCGGCATCATCAAGTCTGCCGATACAACCAACATCCTCGGCGAGCTGTCCGAGAAGCTCAGACAGCAGATTGTGCAAGCGGTGTGGGACCAGAAGCCACTGCGCCTCGCCATCAACAGGAGGACAACGGCAGGTTCCGACGATCCCCTGCTCTCTTTTCTACGTGCGCTGGTAACCTGCGAGAGCTCAGCTCATTATCAAAGAGCTTAAGGGTGAGGAGTTTGGGTTACCCGGCGGCTCAGCAAGCTCGTTGTAAGAATGGGGCTCGGTTTGGGTCCTCTAGGAGGGGTCCAGGGCCGAACGAGGCATTCGGTCTGGGAGGTGTGTTTGAAACCCGCAGCAGCATGTCATCAATCATCGTGACGTACCCCATAGGTTGTTGTGTTTGGTTTTAGCATTGATGCATTTGGAGCTTAGCGCTAGCGGTCTTGGAGGGTTATGAGAGCTAGGTGAATTACTAGTATCACTACAGAGCAAGAAATTCACTGCAGATTCAAGATGCTAATTATAATGATGGTCCACCGCAGTCTTCGCCCTGTACACACTGTCTGAGCCGCCTCGTGACTGATGGAGTAAGCCGACGATGTCAGATGCTACCGATCGCTACCTCCGAAAGCGAGTTAACTGCTTAGGTACTGATGTGGATGATACAAAGATCTCAGGATTCTGCAGAAAAACAGGCAATCGGCTGGCAACTACGGGACCTACCAATACACCTGGATGTATGTACTGTACTGTATTATATTGTACATATCCGTACAGTACTAGCCTCAAGCTTATAGGTAGTTACCGGTATGTAAGATACAGATATGAGCTGTACGTACAAATATAGGTACATACAGACCGCGTAACTTACGCATTATACAGAGGTAGCGTGAATGCATGTGTAGGTACGGAACTATGTTACAGTACATCCGTGCCGCGTCTTTTCACCGTTTCACCACGTACGGCACTTGGGACCTGACAAGTGGCCCATGCTTTTAGCCTTGTTCCCTTTGTTGCTGGGGCAGATTCAATCAACCGAAAAACCGCGTCTCACTGTGTTGATGCCGTTCAGAGCCTCACCAGTACCATTTACAGAAAACCAAAACGCGTTCCAACAGCATCGCCGCTTCTATTGGTCTCCAAGCCCGTCAGGGCGCATCTAAGCTGCCTAGGTACTTACCCAACGATGGCGCCGTACATTCTACACAACGTCCCAGATGAGGAGCTTTATGTTGGCGACGACGGCATTCAAAGACCGTACGCCGTGGTCTTCCCACAGTATGCAATAACGTCTTCTCCCCCCCCCCCCCTTAGCTCCTGACTTACCTTATCTGACTCTCTGCGCGTCCAGGCAAGACGGATCCCTCCGATCAAGGAAGATGACCCACGAGACAGGCTCGTTCGGCAAGTCGACGCGGCGCACGAGGTCGAAAACCGCCACGCCAGCGAAGAGAGAGGACCCAACGATAGCAGCCGCGGATAAAGTGTTTAGCAGTTGGATTGCGAGCCAAAACCAGACCCAGAATACAGCTCAGACTATCACGCCGGCGACGCAACGAAGACCAAACCTTATTCCCTCCACCTCGACCCAGAATCTCTCCCAGGCGCATGAGGAAATCGCGGCCGCCTCGCAAACACGGTTCAACAAGCAGCAAGCGCCTACGGAAGTGATTCTTCGCGGCTACCGCTCTTCGCAGCAACAATATGCCGCCCTCAACCACTACGAGCAGCTCGCCGGCAGGATATGCGAAGACTATCCGCGCGAGCCCCCCGTAGAGAACCGGCGCTACAAGTCCGATCTACGCGACCCAGCCTTCACTCGCCGGCGGCCTCTAACGCCCGAGGAGCGCGCAAAGGTCAACAGAGCAGACAGTGGCGAACACTGGGTGAAGGTAACATTCGAGTCTGCCGAGGCTGCGGACGCCGCCATCTTCGCCTCGCCGCAAAAGATCCTCGGCCATCTCGTCTACGCCGAGCCGTATCACGGCATCCCTCCTTCCCGGGACGAAGCCGTGCCCGACCCAGCCACCATGGCAACCGGGCTGCGCAGAACATCATCGCTGAGGCGACACTCCAGGACGCAGTCCGCGGCAGGCATGCAACACCCCGGCAGCGCTGACTTATCGCCTCCGCACTCGCAACTCTCATCCACACTGACGGCCGATACCATGGCTATGGATAGCCCCACCGCCTCCTCAGGCACAGTGACGGCCGGGGACGGTAACGGCGCTGCGCCGACGACACAGGAGCACCGCGACGACGAATTCTGCAGGGTCATACCCACCGTACGAAAGGCTAAGCTCCTTCCCATGGAACAGGCCCTGCTGCCTGCTCCCTCATTTTCGCAGCGCATCATGAACCATATCCCGTTCTTGAGGTGGTTTAGCGGTGCGATGATCGGGAGCGAGGTGCCTCGAACCGAAACGGGCGAGTTCGACTGGAACAAGGCAAGCCTGTACTGGAAGCTCATGTGGTGGCTGGACTTCTTGCTGGGGCTGTTTGGAGGAGAGATTCGGGACGTTGATAAGGATGACTGAAAAAGGGGGCTGATCCCGATGTCTGTTCTGTGCATCGTGTGGCGTTGCTCCTCCCGAGAAATGCGGCCTAGAACCATATGTATTTTGCTGGAAGGGCGGTGGCAAGCGTTAGCATTTCCAGGCGTACGTTGTTTTAGAAGTGGCGGGACAATGAAACTCATGTCTCATGTACCCCATGTAGCTTAGTACAGTTCTATTCCAGATGCCTTTCCAAACAGCGCCTGTACGAAAAGGTGAACGTTCGGGAATAGGTACGTATCTGCAGATCTAAATCTGAACATCTACTCCTTGACATCTATGCCAGATCCTTCATGCATTCCCATCCGTCACACTCCAGCTGTCCCCGGGTTGCTCCGGAGCTTTTATATTCACGCCGGCCTTGCCTTGCTCTTCCATTGATAACGTCTCCTGCCGTAGCCCTTCATTGCGCCATGGATGTGCCTCTTCATCGTCTTGCTCGTCCTGCTCTTCTATGGCACAGTCGTCGTCGCGTCCGCTCGCATGATTGTCATCGCCGTGCCTCTGCCCTCCGCCTCCCGAGCCGGACGAGGACTCACCACTGCCACTCCCTAGGCCGCCCAGCAAATCCTCCTGGTTTAGCCTTAAGGGTTGCGGCTGAGGCGAAAACGGCCGCACGCCCCGTGACCGGTTGAACTCGGAAAAGACGCTGTCCGTGTCGCGATCTCGTCCCCTGGGCAGGTCCGACGATACCGCGCCAACGAGGCTCTGATACCGATCGGTGTCCACCAGCAGACTATCCGAGCGAGCATCCTTCCCTCCCTTCAACGTATCCGACCCCGAACTGTCGGCCAGAATGCTCCTGGGCGGCAAGATGCTGAACAGTTTCGCCCCTTCGCCATTCCCAGTCCCAGCAGTCCCATCCAGCCCGGCCGCCTTCCCGGACTCAACCAGCGGATCCATCTCGGCGGCGAACAAGTCCACGCCCTTCTCCAGCACGTCCTCCAACCCGCCGCCGGTCCACCCTTTCCTCGCCAAGCTCTCAAAGATATCCACCTCGGCCCTGGCAAGGCTGCAGCTCGCCTCCACAATCCTGACGCTCGTCTCCTGGCTCTCCCGGAGCAGCGTCCGCGCGTGCTCCCCGTGCAGCACCGTCAGCCCGTCCAGCTTGCCCGTCAGCTCGACCAGATGGCTCCTGAACTTGGCCACGTCCCGCCTCCGCTGCCGGTGCAGCTTCATCCCCTCCTTCTCGAGCCGGCGGATCTCCCTGCTCTGCGCCGCCACGGCGCGCGCGTAGCCCTCCTCCTCGTCCTCCACCGCGGCCCGCCACTTGTCCAGCTCGTGCAGCAGCGGCACCTCGAAGGCGCGGTACACCGTCTCGGACAGGATGTGCTGGTGGTTCGCCACCAGGTGCTGCAGCCCCGCGACGGTGAGCAGGGTGTCGGCCGTGCAGGAGGCTTGCTTTGTGCTGAAGCTGTTGCTGAGGGATGCGCCCTGCGCGGGGCCGAGGGCGTCGGCGCGGGCTTCTTTGAGGCGGGCGCATGATTCGAGGGCGGAACCGAAGGCGGAGGCGGCGGTGGAGAGGGAGGCGAGTGCGAGACGGTAGGCCTTGGCGCTGGAGAGGAGGTCGTCGTAGGCGGCGTGCGAGTGTTCCAGGTCGGTTTTGGTGAGCACGGCGTGCGCCGGGCGGGGCGGTGGAGGGAGGGGCAGGTTGTACTGCGATAGCGGGTTCGCGGTGGAAGCGTAAGAGTAAGTTGGGCTTGCGGGGATAGGGGGTAGCTGTGAGGGGGTTGGTGAAGGTGGCCGGTTCGCTGCTGCCATGGTTGATGCAAGGTGCGGAGGTAGCGGTGCAGTCCGGTGTGGCTGACCGCGGACTCGAAACTTTGTTTACTTGCGATGAAGAAGGTTAATATTAGTACCAAGTGAGTGACAGGGCGAGCAACTGATCTCCACAACGTCCATCGAACCGGTGGGGATAGTTGACACAGCAAACTCAAAACACAAACTGGGATCAGCACAACGATGCTTTTCCAAGCAATGCCTCTAGTTTCTACATCTGCAAGTAGGTATGGCATTTGGCGAACTTGCTTTCGAACCCGAACCCATGTGACAGTTTGTCGGGCCAACAGCGGGTCCTGCACCTGTAAGTTGTAACATCTTGATAAGATAAAGTAGCACAGACACAGTCTCGCTGGTGGGGTTCCAGCTCCAGGAATTGTGGGGACTGAGGATGTCCACTTCCAATGGCAACGGTACCCGTCGAATCGTCGATAACCATCTGAATGTGAAGTATTCCGTAATAATAAGGCATCTCGTTATTAAGTTATGGAGTCTTCGATCTATCAAAACTGCCCTGATCGCTCCGCAAGTTCAACTCACCCATGACCAACCCGTATTACCAGGCCCCAAGTGTAAAACCTACCTAGGTAGGTACTTCAGAAGTTCAGAGCTCGGACTTGCCCTCATTGTCCTCTGCCGCTCGCAAGCTCTCTACCAAGAACGCCTCCACGTCCTCTAGCTCCTCCGTGAATGTCATATGCGGCATGCCACTCCAGTAATCGGTTAGCCAGCACCCAACAGGCGAGATGGGAATACCAGCTTACGGGTAGATCTTGAGAGTGGCATTATACCCCAAGCCCTTCAGCAGGTCGTACGACAACGTCCCCAGCGCGGTGGGTACCACCCTATCAGCGTCACCGTGGCCCATGAAAATTGGAGTCTCCTTGTTGATTTCGGGCTTGGGCACCAGCTCGGCAAACTTGACGCTCAGCGGCAGCCACGACGAAAGTGCCACGATGCCCGCCAGCTTCACCTTGGCAGTTAGCCCGCTCAGGATGCTCATGGCACCGCCCTGGCTGAAACCCCCGAGGACCACTTGAACGCCAGAGTCGACTTCTGTCTGGATCAGCTCCTGGAAGTAGGCCTGGCTCTCGAGGATTCCTTTCTCGTCCTCGTTGCGACGGAGAGACTCAACGTTGCCGTCGATTGTGTGCTGGGATGGATAGCGGTGTAAGCGGCTGTGGCAGTACAGATTGTCGTGCCAGCGAGGATCTCACTCACGATATCAAACCACCCCGGCATTCTCGTACCCCAGTTGCAGGTGATGGGAATGGTAGGGGCGTGGGGCAGGATGAACTTGACCCCGTCGAGGCGCCCTTGCTTGCGCCAAGACTGAACGGTGACAGTCCAGCCGTTTCCCGTGTCTCCCAAGCCATGGGCAAAAATCACGGTCGCCGTGTGCTTTGCGGTCGCCGGGACGACGATGGGAGCAGCCCGTATGATTGACGACGACATCTTCGCCCCAGGGAGCCGCAGCTAAGCAACTAACAAGACTGTGAGCGATTCCGAATGTATGTACGAAGTACTCTGTACACAGCTGCCCACGGTTGAGTGGTCGGGACTCGGGTGTTTGTGTGAAAGCGGGGCTTCGAGCTTCGGGCAAGTCGGGATCCTGCCTCAGGGTTAGGGTCAGTGCTGCTTTCCCCATCCGCATGGCGAGATCTTAGACAAGAATTACTAAATGCTTACCAGAAAGGGTCACGACGAATTAGACGCTGAAAGCGCGAGAGCGAGAGTGGATTTCTAAGTAGCCGGTGGTTTATGGGATACTGTTCGTCGAAAGGATCAAGAGGATTGGACTAAGGATTTGAAAGCGTACCATACATACCATATTTACGGAATACCTGCATGAGCGTCCAGAAGGTACAAGTACAATACACAATGTTCGGATCGTGGGTGTTGAGACACCCAACCTACTTGCTCCTTCCCACGGCGGTATTCATCCTGGCTTTTCTTCTCAACTCATCGTCTCCGCTGGCACTTATTAGCCTGCCAACCTTGACCAAGATCAACAAGACCTACTACTCGTTGTTCAAGCCAGCACCGCACTCGATAAACATGCCGAGGGCACCGGTGTATTTCTTCAGTCATGGAGGGGTGAGGACAAATCACATCACACCAACTCCTTATCTCAGAGGCAATCGTGTACTACTTGCACTAACACATTCATGATTCCAGCCCGATGTCCAATACAACAAGACACACCCTGTCTACCCGGTGCTGCAGTCAATCGGCAAGGAGATCACCCAAAAGGTGAAACCCAAAGCTGTTGTAGTGTTCTCAGCCCATTGGCAAGCCGAGCCCAACGAGATCCACCTCAACAATGCGGAGGACACCGATCTCATCTACGAGTGTGTTTATTTTATAGTACCCCCATATTATCCTTCAAAGCCCAGCTCGATGACTCGGCTAACCAAAAAAACGCCTCCTCAGCTTCTACGGCTTCCCAGCCGAGTTCTACAAAGCCACCTTCCCAAGCAAAGGCAGCCCCGCCTTGGCCTCACAGATCCTCACCCTGCTCTCGCAAGCCGGGATCCAAGCCAAGGGCCTCAAGCGCGGACTCGACCACGGCGTCTTCTCGGGCTTCAACGTGGCGTTCGGCCCGGCGGAGAACCCGCTGGGCTGCCCGCTCGTGCAGGTCTCGCTGTTCAACAGCGAGGACCCGGACGCGCACTACCGGCTCGGGCGGGCGGTCGCCGCGCTGCGCGACGAGAACATCGTCATCATCGGCACGGGCATGACGGTGCACAACCTGCGCGACATGCGCTTCGCCTGGGGCGACCCCACGCCGCTGCCCTACGCCGTGTCGTTCGACAACGCGCTGAAGGAGGCCGTCGAGGCGGATCCCGGCGTGAGGCAGGAGCGGATGGCGGCCGTGACGAAGAGGCCCGACGCGAGGCAGGCGCATCCGTGGATGGATCATCTCATGCCGGTGTATGTGGCGGCCGGTGCAGCGGGGGAGGATCAAGGGAGTCAGTTGTGGACGCTGCATGAGGGGAGCTTCGCCTGGGCGCAGTACCGGTTCGGTCAGGTTCCGACGTAGCCGAAGGAAGCTGTAGGGGTCATCTGGGTGCGGTTGTTGGTAAATCACTTGTGGGCAAGCATTCCAATTTTCAAGAAGTACAGAGAGAGGAGTGGTGGTGGGAATTCTACCTAATTAGGTGATCGATGTTACTCGATCTCATGAGGAGCTGAGATGGTTCCTGTTGTTATACATAGAACTCACTTCTTCGAGCCAACCTGGAAGCTCGTTTTTGTCTTGAGAGCAGGTGCCTCGAAGCCCTACTTACCTCTCTGCCAGCAAGGTCCATGAGCAAACTCTACGTTGCAACATTTCCCTCGTCCATCTACTCCGTCTTTTTTTCCTCCTTTCTTTTTCCCTTTCTTTATTTCTTTCCTTTTTTTTTTCTTTTTGGCCGCCAACTACTCCCCAACCATGTCCTTGTTGATTTTTTGAGATATCCCCATATCCCGTCTCTCAGATCTGCTTGCCTCCACCTCCAACTGCCCAACCCTACCCCGACTCCGATTCCGACCCCGATCCCAATGAATGACCAGAAGCCGTTCACAGGACGGTGGGCTCGCGCATCTCCGCCACCACCACGTCATCCACCATCTCGGATATATCACCCAGGAACAGGCTTGCCAGCACGGAGACCGCGCCAAAGGCCACGCTGCAGTAATACACCCACTGATAGGCATTCGCGTATGCCACCTGGCCTGCCGCGACGAGCTCGGCCCAGGACGCCTCCGTGATGCCCGGGACGTGCCGTATCTCGTTGACCAGAGACGCACTGGTCAATCGGACAACGTCAAGGATGATCTCCGGATCTTGGATCCCAACGCGGGCGCAGGCCGCGGGAATGAGCCTCTTCAGCTCTGGGATGAGCTTGGAGACGAAGACGTTGAAGTAGACGGCATACCCGATGGCGCCACCCACGATGCGAATGGCGATGGTCAGCGCGGTGACAGTGGCAATCACATCGCCCGGGCAGATCATGGTGGCGATCGTGGAGACCGGGATCGTGATGCCGCCAACGCCGACACCCGCGATGAACACGATGGCGTAGACTGCGTTGATGTTGTCCACCCTGGCGAGAGAGAGGCAGCCACAGCCGACGGTCATGACCACCGAGGCGCCGAGGATAAGCCACTTGATCTGGCCGCGGAACCAGGACAGCAGGACGAGCGATATGATGCATCCGGCGAAGACACCGAACGCGAAAGGCATGCCCCTTATGCCGACTCCAACAGGACTTTGGAGAGTCAGTAGGAGAGTTAGGATATGGAGATCAAGCCAAGACCCAAGGGGGTTGCCCCTATCCCGGTCCAACCAAGTAGAAGGGGGTACTCACTCATGTCCGTACACGTTGTACGTCTCCGGAGGCCAGAGCAGCAGCACGGAGAAGAAGTTGGCGCCCGAGATGAAGGAGATGAGCATGGTGAGACCCAGGGCCCGAGGCCTTTTGCTAAGTTTACGAGGGATCATCGGATGCTTGGTACCGAATCGCTCCCACACCACGAAGGCAGCGATGAAGCAGAGCCCAAGCACCAACGGTACCAACGTATTCGCGCTCGCCCACGGGAACTGAACTCGTTAGCAGGGAACGCCACGAAAGGTATTCAACCATTCAACTTACCTCATACCCACCGCCGAGGACCCCCGCCTCGAAGCCGGCGAGTCCGACAATAGACAGCATCCCGCCGACGAAGTCCGTTCGCTTCAGCAGCTGCATCTTCGCCTTCCACCCCTGCAGTTTCACAAGCGGCGGAGGGAAGTAGTAGAGCACCGTCAACACCAGACCAGAGAAGGCCCATCCCGCAGTGACAATGGAGATGTACCGCCAGGTGGAGTGGTGTGCGATCAGCTGGGCGTACATGGCAGAGGGCATGAGGGGGAGGACGGTCAGCACCATGCCGGCAATGTAGTACCCTCGGTGAGAGAGCGGCACCAGCTCGGCGGTGCCGGCCAGGGCGATGAGTTCGTTGATGCCCGTGCCTACTCCGGTGATGACCATGCCGGCTGAGATGTACCCTTTTCGTCAGCGAGAGCTGAGAGGTTAAGGATAGGTAATTGGCGTATGGGAACTTACCTATGAACACCTCCATGCCCTTGGCTGTGCCGCAGATTATCTGGCCCACAAGGATGGCGGCACTTCCGATGATAGCGACATAGCGGCGGCCCATGAGGTCCGAGAGGGCACCGACAAAGGGGGAAATGGAGGCCGTGGCGAGCAGGTTGGCAGTGACGAACCACACCCAGTAGCTCGCGCCGCCGATGTCTCGGTAGATGTAGACGGGCGCGCCAGCTGTGGTGATGGACGTTTCAGTCAGTGGCCGGGGGCAGACAACCCATTGGAGAGAGAGAAGGTCGGAATGGAAGGGGGCACCTACCAAACAGATACAGCGGAGCCTGGGCACTGGTCCACATGAAGGCCAATGCTGTCAAGGCCATCCATCGGCCAAAAAAGCTCCTTCCCTGTGCACGGCTGTCAGTCCTGTCTTGTCGATCTTGAGGCCATGGATGATGGCTGGAGTTCAAACAAACCACGGTTCGCTGGGCTTCTTGGTCTGAATCGGTGCCCCCTCCAGGCAACGCCATGTCATCCGGCATTCTATTACCAGATTCATGGTCGACATGTTGGGACGGATACTTAGCGGGATCGGTCGCCTTGGTGGTTGACCGACAAAGGGGTTGGAGCGGCGCCATTGGAGCTGGAGCTTCCTTCATCTTGTCTGAGCCGTGCCTGTTGTCTCGTCTATGGCCCCGGCCGTACCTTGTAAGTTTTTTTTTTTTTTTTTCTCTTGTGTTTTGTGCTTCCGACGAAAAGGGATCGGTGTGGGTGCGGGGAGGTGTTACCTGAAATAAAACCCAGAGTCGGTAGCAGGGAGTCAGGATGGAGTGCAGGTTGTCTGCTGCTGTGTAATGCCTCAGGAGCCTGGGAAAGAAACGCCACCACTTCATCTTTGGCCGCCACCCTGCAGGAACGAGGAACTGACAGGAGCACGGCAGGAATGACCGGCGCGCCCCTTCCTGAAATACTCCATCCTCTGCTGCCCCCCAAGTGTGATTGCAGCTACAGCTACGACAGATGAAAGTGGAAGGCCCCTCTCAGGAAACAAACCCTCAGGTCAAGGCAGCAGCTTCCAGCTTCCACCCATTGGATCACGCTCAAATACGAATGCTGTTGGTTCTTTGAGGGACTCGATGAAGGGCCGATACGCCATCAAGGTGAAGCGATGGCCCCCTGAACGGGGCTGCATATCGAGTCTGGACTCACTCGACTCTGGAATTCGGCCGCGGAAGTGAACGAAGCCTCCAGAAACAAGCTGCGCAAACTCACGCACATGCCTGTGATTGCGTGAAAGCGGCACGCGGTACCTTCCTGGTGGAAGTCGTATTGAATGGGCAAACTCGGACGATGTTGTGATCCATGGACCCAGTGTTCTTCAACTTCAATAGGGAAGCCGCCGGCGGGTAATGCACCCTCCCATGATCGCCATCCCGTCCATCTCCTCACGCGTTGCTTTTGGAGGCCCGTTTCTCACGCAGTCTGATCCGTCTCATCCGAATGATATCCCGCCCAATACCTAGAGGCTAGGTAGGTATTGCGTATCAACTCTCCTCGGGCTGCTTGTTTGCCCGGCCCAGATCTATGTATGGTTCATGACGGGACAACGACAACCTTTGAGCTAACGTGCCTGGGCTTTTCAGAGCAAGCACTCTCTCCAGAAACACCCACGGCACTGCGAAGCCACCGGTGACACTGCAGATGAAATGGTCCGATCTGTACGACGTACAGCAAGGGCTACCAAGTCACCCAACGGCTTGACATCTCGCGCTTTCCTCGAAACTCAACGACTGGACTTCAGTCCCGGGGGGGGGCATCCATGAATGATACTCATCACTGTGGGCAGTTGGCATGACTCATGTCTGAGACTGTTCTGGGCCCAAAGAAGCAGTTGGGAAGCAGTTGGTTCCAGGAATCGGGGCCGCTCGACGAGGGAAAACATGTTGAAACATGACGAAATGCACCCGGTTGATCCGCAGAGAGACCGAGACAAGATGATATGTTGCGCATGAACATCCTTATCCTACACCTCTCTGGTGGCTCATGTTTGCCAATGGCAGAGTGACGACAGCTGACCGCTCACGGGAGAGCGCCGTGCAGCAGGTGTTGTGAGACTTGGGAAGACCTCCACCTGCATAGCCCGTGATACATACACGGTTAGCTTTGCCCGTCCGTCTGTCCGTCTGTCTGCCTGTTGTTGCGTTCAGTTCACAGTCTCATCTGCGAAGCCGGCCACCACATCACAGACCCAACATAGGAAGCATGTGTGTGTGCTACACCAAGCAATAACTACCTTCAACGAGTTTGATTGATAAGGTACATACCTGAGATGTCCAGATCCTCTAAGGCTGACCAAGGGGCGGGGGAGATCTCGGACCCGACCCTGCAGCAATGCAGGGACATCCCGGAATGAGGTTGCACAGGTCAATAGGGTGCAAGAGTCTAAACGAGAAGCAAAAGCTTAATTGTTAGGGAAACGTGCTCATCTAGTACTCGATCCGTTTAGCTTGGCACGGGCTCGGGACCGGACTGGACCGGACTTGCCGCCGGCAACCGTTCTGGGGAGGGACTGGAGGATGACAGGGCCCGTTCCGGCATCTAGGTACTAAGGTACTATGGCCCGGGCATGTCCAACAGCGAGGAACATGGAACATGGAAGAGCGTGCTTTCTTTGGGTGGGCCGTTATGATCTACATGTCTCATATTCAGACCAACTCAAAGTCCGAATATCAAGGTCCGGGATACAACTGATGAACACCAGATAGGACATCTTAAATTAGGCAAGGCAGATAGAGTGTGGCTGCCTCAGTGTCTGAACCATTAACAAAGAGAATCTGGGCCATCTGGTAGCCTGCAGCTGGGGCCTTTGGTAGCTATCCTGGGAAAGCCGTTAAGAAGTGGCTGAGACAAGGTGAAAGGAAAAACGTGCGCACTGAAGTCGCTGACTTGCTCGATCGAGCAATGGTATCGGTACCGGTATTCGCCGAACGCCGACCTAAGTATCCAACAAAACAACCGGGGAATTTGGTTGCCTTATTCTTCCACTGTCCCACCCGACACAAGTTCCCATACATATCTCACAGTGCGTAGTTCTCTGTGTGCAAGAAGATCTCCTCCAGCATATCATCCCCCCATATTTCGGCCTGCAACTTCGCCACCGTGTTGGCGACTCCCACTCTCATCGAGGGAGGCCCGCACACAAACACGGCCGTCCTCCTCCCCAGGATGCCCCTCCCATCTGAGCCACCGGTCGCCCACTCCTTGAGCATGTACCCCAGGTCGGGCCGACCATACTCGACGCTCCACCCCCCGTCGATCTCGTGCGGGATAGGGAAGGCGAAGCGCATGAGCGACCGTTGGAACTCGGTCGGCGTCTCGGGAAACCCAAACTCGAACCCTGAAGGCGGACCAAAAGTGCTCGTGGGCCGCGGCCGCGTGAAACCGCCTACATCGGTGCGCAGGTGAGCGAGCTCCGGCGGGCGGACGGGGGACGAGGCGCCCTCCCTGCCATCCACGACTTGGTGCTTGGTGTCTATTGCTTCGCCGCCAGCCTGGCTTAGGCGAGGATCTGCTTCGGCGAGGATCTGGCTGTAGCGTTGCTTCCCTGCTGGCGGGGCGTAGTTGAAGTGAGGAACGGCATCGCCTCGCGGGCCCAGAGGCGGGAAATGGAACCCGTCATGGTCTTTCTTGTCACTGGCGATGCCATGTCCGCCGTTGAAGTCCGCCACCGGTTCCGTTGTCTTGAAGTCACCGTCATGGCCTTCAAGCTTACGCAGTGTCTCCTCCGCTGGTGATAAACCACTCATATTGGGCGGCGGGCCCGGTGGTGGCGGAGGGATATTGTGAGGCTGAAGATACTTCTGCTGCGGCAGCGCCGTGATGCGGTCTTCATCCTCGCGCCGCAGCTCACGCTCCTTGTCTGGATCACCCTGCGCCTCGGCCATGATCAGGGCACTATTCCGCTTGCTTGCGATGCCGGCCACAAAGCCGTCCAGCTTATCATGGAACATGTTGCTCAGTGGCCTAGGCGCGCGTCCGTGATGGGGGTTGCCCCTCTGCCTCACCGCCGCCGTGACAAAGAACTTACAGGTGACGCTGTCTGGTGGTGCCGCCTCACGGCAGATACGCAGCTCTTCGCGGAACCAGTCCATCGCTTCGAGCCGCTTGAGCGCCCACACCACCACGATCTTCTTCGTGATGGCCTTCCCGTCTCGCATGCGCTTGATCAGGTTCAAGAGCTGCGACATCAGCGAGGTGATCCCGCTTCCGCCCGCAATCAGGATGCATGTGTCGAATGCAGCCAGTTCGCGGCGCATGCCGCCATAAGGGCCGTCAAGGAATGCGCGGTATGTGTGGAAGGGTCCCTTGTCGATGGCCGTCTCGAGCACCTTGCGCGTGAAACCGCCATACGGACGGAAGACGAGCACGCAGTCCCGATACTCTTCGCCGTACTCGGACGGGAAGTCCTCACTACAGAGGGACGAGATGGTAAAGGGGTGATTCTCGAAGAACGAGATGCCTGGCATGCGAAGATAGACATACTGGCCGGGTTTCCACCGCATCTGGGTCGGAATTGTGATCTTGATGGCGTTCTCCGTCATGATGTTGATAGCCGCCTCGTCCCCCACAAGCCACGACATGCGCCATGGCCTGGCCCAGTTAAGCTTGAAGAGACGGAGGATGTTGCAGAAGACGATGATGCCGACTGAGGCCCACAGGTAGCCCCACGACATGAGGAAGTTCTTGGTGTGCCAAAAGACTACACCGAGGTAGATGTATCCGACCGGCGCGTGAAGGAGGGAGAAGATCTCGTATGCTTTCCTGCGGATAATGGGTAGGGAGCCCACACAGAGCCAGCATAGAGGAACAAGGCAGGCAATGCCGGAGCCATAGATAATCCCACTCCCGGGCGGAAACAGCGCGTCAAAGACCAGCATGCCGCCATCCTCCCAGACCGGCTGGATGTAAAACGGGACCATGTGGACTAGCGAAAGAAAGAGACACAGGTAGGATAGCCAGCGATGGAAGACGTTGAGACGCTCGGGGCCGATGCCTGTGAGCAATGTGAGGATGTTCGCTTTGGTTGCCGTCGCAACAATCCAGGGCGTCATGGCGACAGCAATCATGCCTGAGCGGATGGCAAGCGGTGGCGATCCGAACCGGATGCTCTGCCAGTAAAGCGGCTGCTGTAGGAAGCAGTAGATGGTGACAAAAGCCAAGGCGACGAAGACGCAGCTCAACACCGCGAGGGAGGCGAAGGTAAACCGGTGTTTTCTCCACACGATGTCCGGGATGGGGCGGTAGAAGACCCATCTGAAAAGGGCCAAGGTGTCGTTGACGAAGCCGACTGACGCAAAGTGTGCCTTCGGCTTAAAGCTCTTGCCCTCGACGGCCGGCTCATCCGGGAAGAAATGCCGCCTCGATTCCGATGTTGTCGCGCCCGTCGCCAAAGCTGCTGACCTGTCCCACCCCGGATCCAAGGAATACAGTGTCTGAAAGTGCTGCTCCATCTCCTGTTTGTATATGGCCTGTCGGATCTTGTCTTGCCAGTAGTGCCATATCCTCACGAACACTGCCAGACCACCGACCGCCAGCGCGAAGTAGGTCCATCCTAACCCGTACTTCCCGGATTGCGACCATGGATCTACCGTGAGAGCCTGTACCAAGCCGGCAGGAGCGTTTGGTGGAAGCGGGATACTGATCCGTTTGGCGAGCTCAGCCATTGCCTGAGAGGAAGCATCGACAGCGTTCCGAAGTGCCGGTTGAGCGTGCGAAGCCATTTACGCTGCGTCTTCCTGCGCCCGAGTGCCGATAGATGTTCGAACCGGGCCCAGGCCCTGCTTGTCACACCTAACCCCCGAGATATCGAAATTGCGTGAGGGTCGAGAAGCTACCGGCAATGCTGTGGCTGAAAAGCACGAGCCGAAGAATGCCGGACTACCCGATTCGGTTGAGTTGGGGAGACATCGAGAGCTTGTAACATGAGATAGTGCTGGAAAACAACCCGCAATCTATAAGCGTGCGAGACGAGTAAGGGACCGGCGACGTGCGCGATGGCAAACGGTGTGGTGCGACCCCGGGTTTGATATTGAGCCACGCCTAACTCTCCACGTCGAAGGATTTTGTTCAGAGACCTGCTGTGCTAGTCGCGCGGTCAGGGCTCTGATGCCAGACAGATATGGGGCCGCGCGATCTTGTTGAGCTTGTCCGATCGAAAGTCAGCCCAGGATGAAGATTATCTGTACTGAGGTGAGCCCTGATGGAGATGTGCAAGCAAGAGACGCCAGGGGTCCGTGGTAGGGTGTGGGCTTTAATATTGGACACCCGTTCTGCGTGTCACCACAGCAGTCATCACACGGGGATGCGTGTAGATACTCCGCCGCGGGATGGTCGGTAGCATCGAGCCGAACTCACTCGGGAGAGCTGCACACGCGGGCGCTAGACCCCGGCAAGAAGTTGGGCCTGGCTCCGTAGTGATCTTCGATCTTTCTCTCCTCTCTCGGCAGCTGTTATCTCAGCCGGGCCCTGTTGCAGAGGCAGGCGGAACGCAGGCGCAGCTGGCAACGTGCGCGCATGGAAAAGGCAACTCTCAACCATCCAGTGAATCAGGAAGAAGTGGCTAATAAGTAACGCTTAGCAGACGTGGGACATCCTTCTCTTCTGTTCCGAGCGGGCTGGTGCTGACTGGGGGATGAATCCAGTTCACTATCACCCCGGTCTTGCGGACGTCGAGTCTCGCCAGGTACCTGTGTATGTACAGTATCGTATCATAGGATACTGTGTAGAGGGTCCCCTGGCTGTGATCAAATCGATGTTCCATGGCATTCAACCACTGACTGGCATTGACAGCATGGCCGAAAGGGGTCGACCGCCAATGTGACGTGACCATGCTTCTCTTGCTCGCAGAAAACGCCGGACACTGCATGGAACCCCGCACGCAAGACCGCTCCGAGCGGCCTTGAAGAAAACATGGGAGCCAACATTGTGATTCTTCAGGCTACCGACAGGTGTCGAATCGCATTGGGCCATTGGGGTCGTTTGGGTGACGATAGAATTGCAGGCCAGCGAATGGCGAGCGAGTGATAGGCCTGTTGGAAGTTCCGGGAACGAGCGCAGGCCGGTGTGGGGAAAAGTTCAACCAAGGCGATCTCTCGGCGGCAAGACAACAATTCCTATTGGTCATCGGGTCCCTTACACCTGTCCATTCCCTTGCCCCACAAGCTCGCTGTGCAGGTGAAGAAGCACGTCGATTCGGTCCCTGACAGGAGCGGGGAACTAAATCTCCAATTCCAAAAGGCCTTTTCGGACCGTGAAGAGTTGCGCACAGCTGCCGAAGAATTGCAACCTGCTGATTAGGTATTAATGGCTAGATGCTACTACCTACACAGTAGTAACACTGCAAACGTCGTGCAACATGCGATCCTCCCACTGGATGGTGAGGGAATGGGGCCAATGGGCCGATGTTTTAGCTGGCTCCGGCACTTTGGGTCGGCCGTCTGTCATAAGTGTAACCGCCGTGGAAGTGTGCCCGGAAGCAATGGACTAGGTCCATGCTGAGAAGCGCCAATTCTGCATCGTTTTGCAAACCCATTCCAATCGCCTCCCTGCTAGCTAGCAAATGTGTACCTAGCTCTACTTATATCCAGAGGGAAAGGAGCCTGGAAGACGCTGGCGGAACATAACATTACCGGCACATTAGCCTCTCACAGTGTGATGTAGTGTACGGAGTAATGTTGAGTCTATTGTTTGAAGCCCGTAAGACAACGCTTCAGCTCGGAAGCTCCCATCCGTGACATTAGTGTAAACAGCCTCACGGCGGCTGGCTTGCCATACCTGCTTAGTAGTTATAGCTTTGCCCCCTCACCACGAATGCCCAATCCGCTGACGTCCGCACTGAGCTTCCGTCCCTGCACCATCTCAGCTAGCACGATACCTGTGCCGAGACTCATGGCAATGCCCCACGGTCCGTGACCGGCAGCAATATACACGCCGCCTTCGGCCCCCGGCCTGGTCGCCGTGCCGAGACCGAGATCCTGATCTCGGATCCTGGAAACGATCGGGCTTCCCCACGGTGTCACGGGCCGGAAGCACAGCCCCTCTCGGACAATCTCCAGGTCGTCTTCGGCGCCGGGGCCCGACCCGAGAATCTCCTTCGCCGCCTCCCGCAGCTGCACAAGGCTGTCACTGTACGGTGTCGCCTTCCCCGCGGCTGCGTCCGGAAGTGGGAGGGTCGACGAGTTGAGCCCCGCAAAGTAGATATGGCCTCCAAGCCGGGAGAACATCTCCGGGCAGAAGGCTGTTTGATGCGTGGTGAAGATGGCATGGCATCCGTTGTGTTCCAACCCGGCATGCCAACGCGGTGACTTCAGCATCAACGAGTGTCCCGCTAGGCTCTTGATCGGGAGCTGAAGTTTCGACCTGGGAAACAGCGTTTGAAACACCTGCCCTGTCCAAGCCCCTGCCGTGATGATGAGCCGCGTGCATTCTAGCGTAGTCTCCGCCGAGGTCTTGGTGTCTACGATGCGGACAGCAGCCAGCGCTCCTTTCCCACCGGTGCCTACCGAGACCGGTTTGGCGGGATGATGCAGCTTTACGCCGCGCTTCACACATTCCTGGAGAAGGAACTGACACAGCAGAAGGGGATCGACCTGTGCGGTTGTATCTTCGTCGCTGATCAACTCGATGTGGTCGCCGTCTACCCTCCGCAGCCAAGTCGGGGTCTTCCCGGAGCTGGAATCCAGAACCACGGGAGCGGCGTCAGCGCGGCTCGTGCCGTCACGCAGCCAGTCGTCGCCTCGCTTCTGGGAGTCACGCGCTGCTGCTGACGCCGCGTAGCTGACGCATGTGGCCGGCGAATAGCCCCATTTCTCTCTCCCACCGTGCTCCTCGGCGAGCCGGCGGTGCTCCTCGAAGCTGAGCGCGCCGAGGGCGGACACGGAGGGCGCGAACCAGTCTTTGGCAAGGAAACCGCCTGCGTAGCCAGAGGCGGAGGAGAAGAGCTCCGGCGACGGCTCGACGAGGTGTATACTCGAGGGGTCTTGATGTTGGGAGAGATAGTAGGCTGTAGACACACCGATGATGCCCGCGCCGAGAATGACGGTCTGAGAAGACATGTTCACAGATGTATGAGAAAGAAGCAGAGCGCTTAGAGACGAACGATATTGATGTTCGGGAAACCCAGCTAGACAAACTGTTCGAGACGAGATCCTGACGAGGACCAAGTCCCTCTCATATCAACAAGTTCCACCTCCAAACCCCAAACATCCGCTCGAACGGGCTCAATGGAGACGCGATATCGGGGGGCATTAGGTGCGACGGGGAAAGCAAGAGTCAACAGACCTCGGGTTAACAAGACTCAGTTCCCCGCTCCCCACATAGCGTAGAGGGGCTCCAAGAATTCTCAAGGTGGAAGAAACCTCGAACATCTTCCAATTGCAACAGCTAGTTCCTGCCAAGGCGGCCAACTTCACCTTTGGAAGTCTGAGCAGTCCCGGTCAAACGATGGAATCGAAGGTCATCATTGTCACCGGCGCAAGCCGCGGCATCGGCCTTGCTGTCACCAAGTGCCTCTTGGCTGCAGCTCACAAGGTTGTGCTCATTGCCAGGTCTGCGCAGCAGCTTCAAGAGCTAAGGGAACACTATCCTGCGCAAGTCGCATACCTTGCGGCTGACATGACGGTTGCCGATGTGAGCTATACCGAGAATTTCCGCTCCGAGTTTCGGCCCTAGTTGTGCTCTCCCAGGTTCACAGCGCTAACAACGGCCACTAACTCGAACAAGACGGCATGGAAAGCGACCGAACTTGCCATCTTGACATTTGGCAGGATAGACGGCGTTGTGATCAACCATGGAGTGCTCTCTCCCATGACCCGCATCGAAAACGCGACTGTGGAGGAGTGGAAGAAGCTTTACGATGCGAATTTCTTCAGCGCACTTGCACTTGTGAGTTGACTTCTCCGGCGCTGCCAAATAGCGGAGCATGGAAACACTGCGTTGACTCCCTACAAGGTCAAGGAAACCATCCCTCACCTTCGAGCTTCGAAGGGGCGCATCATATTCGTGTCCTCCGGCGCGGCGACGACCGCTTACGCTGCATGGGGAGCGTACGGATCCTCCAAGGCGGCCTTGAACTCACTGGCGCAGCACGTTGCCGTCGAGGAGCCGGACCTTACAGTTGTAGCGATCAGTCCAGGCCGCGTTGATACCGACATGCAAAAAGAGCTCCGGGAGAAAGGCACCGAGATGTCCAAGAAGGATTATGACTCGTTCAAGTCGGCCTTCGAGGAAGGACGCCTGGTCAAGCCCGAGCAATCCGGTGCAGTGATCGCAAAGCTGTCAGTGAACGCCAAATCGCAGCTCTCCGGAAAGTACTTCAAGTAAGTCATGGAACCACCGAGCTGGAGCAAGCCGGCTGACGCGTATGAACCAGGTGGGATGCATCTGAGCTGGTTGACTATTGCCAGTAACTGCGGCATGTCTGTACATCTATCTGCTTACTGGTCAGCAATGAACAGGCCAGAAAGACGCGATTCAGAGATCTTGGAGAAGACGATCAGAGGTAAAAGAAGGCTTTATTGTCCTCCACATATGAATGTTTCAGTATTAGCATGGAATAAAGTTGTTCATCACAGGCTGCGAAGTCCACTACAGTATGGAAAACTGCCTACCATTCTCGAGTTTCCGCCCACGACTCTCCCGTTTAGTTCTTGTGGAAGCTGGGTTCGCAAGTCAGCCTTGGTGTTCTCTAGCAAAGCCGCACCATCTTTCTGCCTCCAGAGTGTCGCGGTGGATCAGGTGATAATCTCCGTCATGAATTTTCGGAATTGGATAGTACATATTTGGGCATCATATCCCGGGTTCGATGCTGAAAAAGCTAGTCGTGTGTTGTAGACTACGGTCTTGTCAGCTTGGCCCAGAACTCACAGAAATAGGACTTTCAGGATGCTAAGCTGCGAAGGGAATCAGGAATGTCGTTTGGCTTGACGGTGTCAATCACCATGGTTTGGTATGATTGGGGCGACACGAGATGTTCATCATTTGAGGCGTCGAGGCTGACAAGGGAAATCCATTGAGCTTACCTTACTTGAGCAACTAGGAGCTCGACGACCTAAGAGAAGGTAAGGCGTACACATATGGGCCCATGTCTGCCGAAGGAAAGTCAAGCAGTAGACATATCCCGTCTGCGCCCTTCCGATGCGTTTCCTGTCAAGTGCAGGAAGGCCTCTGATAAGTTTATTCAGTATTGGATGAAAGTCGGGTGGGCTGTAGAATTTTTTTTTGGATCGAATTTGAAGAGCTGGGTCAATGGAGAACTCGGCCAATGGACTTGTGGCTTGATTGCGGGTCATTATGCAAGGTGGGGCACTAAGCCACATGTGGGGCTGAAATCTGGCAGGTACGTCAAAGCAACAACAGGTAGCCGGAGGGGAGGTATAAAGGCTGCAGGTCATCAACTCCAGGTTAAGGGTGAGCCCAACTCCCCTTGGCTCATAACAATGATTGTCCATCCACGAAAGCCATAAGATAAGGTATCCAAGGGAACTACTGATCCCTAGGAGGATCATCTCATAACTTTTACCTTTTTTAAGCGCAAGTACCGTTTTCAGCCTCCATCCTCAACCATCGTACAGTCTCAGTGCTGCTTAGCCTGCTTTGCCGTCACGGGGGTGCTGGCACCTCTTTCCCAAGTATCAAAATGTCGGACCATGAATTTGGAGGTTTGTTGGCGTTTTCATTCTTCACCTCGACCATGTTCCAGCAATCTTAGCTGCCTTATTACCTTTTGTTGATGGGTTCTTGCCCCGGCAGCCGCGCATTCAAGTGAGTTGCGCGCATGCACATGCATCACATTTGAGCTTTACCGGGCACTAAGCGATGTCCTGGTGATGTTGAGACCGTCCCTTGCTATGGCTTCTTAAGTCTCTGATCCTCCCCCCCCCTCCCCAGCAGCCGCGGGGGACATACTGAATCAAAACTCTTTAATTCTTGGACTTGGCTAAAGTGCTTTGCCAACTTGCCGCCTCTGAGCGTTATTGGATTCGCTACAAAGCGGGAGATCCAAGTAATTTCTTATCCCCGGTTCCTCTCCTTCATCCTTGGTCTGATTTTGATCAAAATGCTGACTGTTGCCAGGCAATGACGACCTCTCCTTACCCAAGGGTATGTGCCTAAGCTGCCTTCCATGCCCCGCCGTGCGAGCTGTTGCGGTCACGGCTACAGGCCCTCGCCGCTGGTTTCGAGTCCTCGGTTGAATTTGTCGAAGCTGCCGTGGGCGTCGCAGAGAATGGGAAGTCCCACGATCAAGCGGAAATACCCAGTATCTACCGACCTTCAATCCCGGGCGTCGGATAACAGGTCAATGGTGATCCCAAGATCTTTCGGCGGCCGTTGTCCAGCGGCGGGGCCGCGCTCTAAGTTCGTGTGCTACCGGCACCCGATCAGTTACTGACATCGCGACAAGCCACGGTCCAGAAGATAGTCGGCGAGATCCTCTCCGGATCGTCCGGCATCGCGTTCTCTAAGGAGGCTCGTGACGTTCTCATCGAATGCTGCGTGGAGTTTATCACTCTCGTTAGTTCCGAGGCGAATGAGATTTCGGAGAAGGAGGCCAAAAAGACGATTGCATGCGATCATATCATCAAGGCGTTGGACCAACTCGGTTTTCCCGATTATGTGCCCGCTGTCTTAGAAGCTGCTGCCGAACATAAGGAAGTCCAGAAGGCGAGCAGACACCACGCTTCACCTGGCTCTATGCATACTGACTCGAGGGATCAGGGGCGCGAAAAGAAGGCAAATAAACTTGAGCAGAGTGGGCTGAGCTTGGAGGAACTGGAGCGCCTGCAGCGAGAACAGTTCGCTGCGGCCGCGGCGAGACATAATTAATCGAGCCGCTACGCCAAGTTATACCAACACGGGCTGATGACCATACTCGCGGCTCTCGCCGACGTAATCACCGGCGGCGCCCCCTACGACGAGATTGAGGACGACCAGCGTACAGCAAACAGTCGTGGGTGGCAACGTTGGCAAACAATTATTGGTGGAGTTCTTGCTGGTACACATTGGCACTGCATTGGTTGGCGTTGGAGTGTGACGGCTAGATGGGTCTGGAGATTTGGCGTTATAGATGGGAATTCTTGAGCTCCATGCCGGGCGTTACACCGGGAGGATAGGTCTCCATGGAGAGGCACCAATATCGCCGCAACACAGACACAACATAAATCCTGTGGCAAATGCAGCGCCGGCCTGAACACAGATCCACTTCGACAACCTACACCCTCGCCGGAGGGCACCTCATCTCGATGGAGTGGTAGCAGAGACTAGGCTCGCTTCTAAATGGAGTCAGCAAGCCACGCAAACCGAACCTCCACGGCCGTGAGCCCGAGACACAAGCGTACGAGGAAGGCACTCATAGGATGAATGCTGTGCTGCTGCTGATGGGTCGCACCGTCGAGGAAGCATGGTTCACACCGTCACACGCTATATTAGCTGGGCCTTCATGAAGGCCGTGAAATCCAAGCATCATTATTCAGACGGAACTGGACCTCGCAAATCACCTTGCCACTTGGTCTATTCACAACTGATGCTTTACCACGGCCGAGCGCTGTGTGACACAGCGCTCTCACAATGCGTGCCCTCGCTCTAAGGGAGAATAAATGTCTAGTAGCCCTCCTTGCCCCACTTGTTGTACTTGTCGTGGAGTCTCTGCAGACAAGATGTTAGTGTTCCTAGACGTTGGAGCCCGCATAGGGTAAGGCCGCACCTTGGGAAGCTCAACATCGGGAATGATGACCGAGTTGATCGCGCTAGGAGCATCCTTCGGGGGGGCGCTGGCGTCACCACCGGGGTGGTACTGGTACTTGCCCTGGGTCGAGCCGCTTTCCCAGGGCATGCTTTTGTCGGTCATAGGGACGGTCGTTTCGGACGTGGACTTAGTCGGGCTCTTGCCTACGTGGAGATGCACAGGTTAGAATGACTGGCGGACGGTGGCTAGGCTACTGAACTATCCGAATGACTGACCAAAGTAGAAGCCGGCGCCGGTAAGGGCGCAGACCACGACGCCACCAAGAATCTATGCGTTTGGGGCTTCCGTCAGCAACTATTCCATTCCCAGGTCTATTCCTTCCTCCAAAAGAGCTCCAGGGTCGGGAAGCTCGTCGGGTGGTGCCGCTGAAGTAAAGGTCCCAACAGTAGTTGCAGGATCGGGTGTTGCCGTGGGAATTTGACGCACCATAATCTCGGGGTTCTTCTTCGACTCGGTCTTCAGCGCCTCCTCGCCGGTCGCCAAGCGGCGGGCGGTGGTGCTGAAAGCTCGGCGCGCAATGATAGAAGCCATCGCTACTAGGTTTATGTCGAGAAAGGGCGGTCCCAAGGTGGAATTGCTTCGGGGAGAACTCGGCGGTTGGCCGTGATGCAAGCTTGGATGTGCTCTCATACGATTTCGTCAAAGGCCAAGCTCCAATTGCTTGGCACGGGGCATTACATAAGCCACCCGTTTCGCTGCTCACTGCCCGTGCTCTAAATTGCCTACAGCTCGGACCTTCTTCATGCATGACGTTACGCATGGATCGACTGAAATTCAGACCATATGGTTTCTCTTAAGAAAGACCTTGCTAACTACCTAGGTAGTCTGAGACCAGTGTTATGAGTTTGATCAGAAGTAAGAGTCCCCAACCATCTCAAGCTCTCCCTCCCAAGACTTCACTTTGTCGGTTTATAGACCGTAGTACTCCGGATGGCACATCCGTCCGTCACATGACGCCAAGGCAGCGTCACCGCAGTGAGCGTTGCTTGCTTTGAACACATTCAGGGGGTATGGTGGTCTGTGCAATGCGCAGGGCGAAAAAGCAACTGCCAAGACCCGTGACGGCATGGCCAGCCAGTGAGCTTCTTTCAATGCCCAGGGCGATCGAGGAGGAACCCCTTCGCTTGGACTCTTCTTCAACCCTCCACTACGACGGCAAAGCCGACGATCGAGATTCGCGCAACATTTCGTTTTCTGACGCTCCTTCTTACTTTTTTGTGACCTCTTTTTCTCCTATCGATTTGCCACTCCTTATCCTCCCTACCTACAGAATTCCCAACTCGAACACCTCCCTGCGCTTGCTGTGGAGCACAGTCTTGACTCTCTGACCGTCTGACGCGCCGGGACCTCCGACGGCGAAGCGGCGAGAAGTATCACCACGCTCGCTATCGCATGCTGCAGCTACCTTGCGTTCCGGCGACACGCCTCCGAGTTCTATGCCAACACTAGCTATGTTGTGGCGAAGGACCGATTAACGCGTTAAGCCTGCTCACAGCGACGCCTGCGAGGACCGATTCCAATAAACCTAGAATCGAGCACGATGGTGTCTGGAGAGGGAGCGTCGCTTCCACTCTCTCCCACCACGACCACGACCAATAATGATGGCTTTCCTCAGTTTCCGCGGTCCGAGCGCGGCGGCCCTCCGAGCATCATATCCTCACGAATGACTGATATCATGACGGAAGACGGGGGGGAGTCAGAAGCGCAACCGGGCGCCGGGAGCCAGAGGAGGAGTGGGCTCTATTCCGATGCCACATCACGACCGGGAACTGCAAGGACAGGCATGTCCCAAAGGGCCCCTTGGGGCCAGGGTTCGTCTCTGCGCCATGGGTTGGCGGGCAAGCGGGGTAGTATCGCCGGCAGCGTTGGCAGTGCGTCGCAAGGGACTCGGCCAACAAGCGCGATGAGCAGAAGCCATGTTCCGACTCTCACGTCGCACGCCTTCTTCCGGCCCATGAGTTCGCAGAGGCTACAAGCTCAACGAGGAATCACGAGGCCGACGACAATGAATCGCCAGATCGGGACGCGGGACGAGGCCGGCGACACCAACCGGGATAGTATTGTCTCAAACCCAGTAGGCCCAATAGGCGCGCCGTCCGGTGATGAAGGAGAAACTCGGCTGCCACCGTCTAGAGGCACAGAATTCACGGAGCAAGAAGCTTTCGATCGCGGAACGGCTACAACAAGTCCGACCCATGGGCACAATCCCACCTCGAGCGTTGCGGATAGCGTCCACCCGCTGCAGAGAAAGCCGGAAGCTGCGAGGAACCTCACGTTAGATATGAACAAGGCGCACAAGGCGGGATCGAATGGTCCAACCCCTGTCCGCACACCTCTTTCCTTGCGTTCTAGCTTTCTCATGCCGAGACTGGAGTCCGGCAGTGGCAACCGAGAAATCCAGGGAGGCGAGAAGCTTGAATCCGTCGCCTCGTCGCCCCAGCTTCCGCCCAGCGCCGGGGATAGGAATCGGGTACCTGGAGACAACAACAAGCCGGCAACGGGTCGCAACTACCAGTACTTCGAGGGTAGCACAGTCTTCTGCCTCGGCGGAAGGCTGCAAAACACCAAGTACCGACCGGTGAACATAGCGACCGGAGGTCTTGTCGTCATCCCGGCCGTTCTCTTTTTCATCTTCTCAGCCCCCTGGTTATGGCACAACATATCGCCGGCAATACCGATCACCTTCGCTTATGTCTTCTTCATCTGCATGTCGTCATTCTTCCATGCATCAGCCTCTGATCCAGGGGTATGTTCCTCCGTCCACCGAATGTTGCGAAACGTTGAGTGCTGACCCTGCCCTAGATTCTACCTCGGAACCTCCACCGTTTTCCTCCCCCAGATGAGAACGAGGACCCGCTAAGGGTGGGGCCCCCAACCACGGAATGGGCGCTTGTCAAGTCCACTGATCCGAAAACTGCGGCGATGGAGGTCCCTACCAAGTACTGCAAAACCTGCAGCATCTGGCGGCCACCCCGCGCTCACCACTGCCGTCTTTGCGACAACTGCGTGGAGACGCAAGACCACCACTGTGTCTGGCTCAACAACTGCGTTGGGCGCCGCAATTACCGCTATTTCTTCACCTTCATCAGCGCTGCGACGCTGCTTGCACTCTACCTCTCTGGAGCTTCGCTAGCACAGATTCTGGTCTATGCGAAACGGCAGGGCATTTCTGCTAGTCATGCGATCAGCCATTTCCGCGTCCCCTTCGCCATGGTGATCTACGGCTTCCTCGCGTTCCTTTATCCTGCTGCATTGATGGGGTACCATGTGTTCCTGATGGCGAGGGGCGAGACGACGCGCGAATACCTCAACTCGCACAAGTTCCTGAAGAAGGATCGATACCGCGCCTTCACACAAAGCAGTTGGTTAAAAAACTGGTTCGTCGTGCTGTGCCGGCCCCGGCCGCCGACGTATTATCAATTCAAGAAGCCGTACACCGAGGGTGACCAGCGGCTAGGAGCGCATCGAAGGGCTCACCATGCTGCAAGACAAGGCATGGTGGACCCGAAGGGGGACGTCGAGATGCAGGACGTCAGCCCACAGCCACGGCAGGGGCAGGGCCAGCGCCGGTTCATGGGCCCGGTATCATTGCGGAATTCTATACATTCCCTGACAGGGGCCGGACCCGGCGTGTGACAACGGACTTGCCCTTTTGGCTCGCACACCTCGCCTGATCCAATCGCTTTACCTTCATTTATCTATCTGTTTCCTTCCCTATTTGAAGCCAGTCGTAGTGGTTAGCGACGGCGTTTTCTTTTTTTAGACGTGAATAATGACTCGGGACAAAACGAGCTAGAACTAGTGCAGGCACGACGCCTTATTCTATACATACGTAATGGTTGGACCCTCACATTTATATCATATACCCTTGGGCGGAGTGGCTCGGGCTGAGGAGCGGAGCTAGTTGTATTTTTGTACGAACTGATATACCTACTTTCCGACTCTGAACTCTGCCCTGAAAACCCCGTTCACAGGACTGGTGATGTACATGTAGTATGCTGTATTTGGGCGTGAACTGCGGTGTGTATACCCAAGTTCCTGGAACCTCAGGAGCCTTACATCCTCTCAATCTTGCTCTCTTGATGTGCAACATGGCGCTACCAGAACAACGACATACCAGAGGCAAACCAACCATCCACCTTCCAGAGTCCGCACGTAACTGACCAAGCTCCCAACTCTTGCCTAGTATACAATAAGAAAGCGTGCCGATGTATCCCACTTGCTTCACTGCCGAGCCCCTACAACAAGTGAACCAACCCCAGTTCCTGCGATTTTTCCATGTTTCACACTGATCTTTGGGAAACGAGCACCGCTTGGGAACCATCTTCACCATATCGCTCTAGGAGTGACTCCGGCATCTAGAGCCAGGCCGCGTACGAGAAAACTCCGAGCACAATTCATGTTACCGCCGCCGATTCCAGGCTTGGGGTCCGTCTTTCTAAAACGGCTGTGTCGGCGGAGCGGCTGCTTCAGTACCTTCTTCTTCCTTCACCCGTGCCTGTGCATCAGCATCCGCAGCAGCAGTGGAAGAAGAGGCTGCCTCTGCGTTGTCTACTTCCATAGCCGCCGTTGTTGCTGTTGCTGTCGCGGTTGTGGCTGCACCGTCAGGTGTCCTCTTTTCTCCCGAGCCGTTGCTGGCGTTGCTAATGCGCTCTTGGCGGTCCAGTTCTCGTTCCAGGCTGCCTAGCAGGTTGAGCCCCTCGTCTTCATCCTCGGTTACCGTTGGGTTGAGGGGTGGGGAGGCTGGGGGTTGGAGAGAGTCGTCGGGGGCTGGTTGTGGTCCGGACTGTGCAGCTGCTGGGGCGGGTGTTGTGGAGGTCTCGGTCGTCTGTAGAACCGTGGCTTTTGGAGCCGCTTGTGCCTGGTCGGGTGCCTCCGCTGTAGGCTCCTTTTTTACCTCGGAGGATGCTGGCGGTGGTGCTTCGAATTGCTGAACCGTAGCTGCCACGTACTGGACCACAACTCGCTCGGGCGGCGGATTACCCCTTAGCGAAGGTAGCACTCCCGAAATAGACGTGGTACGAGAGTGCACGTCCAGGTAGCTGGACGAGGAGAAGGATCCGCTCGTTGAGTTCGCTTCGGTCGGCGACTGGAGCATGACGTTCTTCAAGGGGCTCCCTTCAATTCGCGAAGAAGCATGGTGTGGTGGTCCAAGATGGGTGAGACTCGGCGGCTGGACGCGCGCTTTGGTTACGGTGGCATCCTCCTCCGACGGAGCCGGACGGGCGTCATCGGGTTCCCCAACCGAAGTTGGTGGGACAATCTCCATCATCTCCGATCCCTCCGTCTTCTCACTCTGGCCGTCGCCATCGGCGCTTCCGATGTTTGTGGTTTGCTCTGCCTGGTCGACACCGCCTTCCTCATCGCCCTCCTCGCCCTCCTCGCCGCCGCCACCCTCTCCTTCGTCTTCGGACGGCACCCCTGACATATCGACCATCTCGCTGTCTTGCACCCTGCTGTCTTCATTGTCCTCAATCTTGATACCCTGCTCATCGTCAGCGGTTAGCGTCCTGCCTGGTGAACCAGCGGCGATTGAGGCATGGAAACCCACATCAGAGCCAGCCCCTTCGGATTTGACAGCGGTCGTCCCGTCCGTCGTAGAATCGTGCGACCTCGTCGCGGGCAGTGGCAAGGGCAGTCTCCCCATACCCTTCTTCCGTCCTCGCCCGAATCCCTTTGGCTTGCGCTTGGGCGGTGGAGGCCTTCTCTTGGTAGGCGTTGGCTGTTGCACAGGCAGCTCTGGCGCAGCTTGCGGCGCAGGTACCACCGTTGTAGAGATGATTTCGCCGTCAACGCGCTGCCCTTCGCTGAGCGTAACCGTTTGCTCGTAGGGGTTCCCAGCTGCGTCGATCCGACGAACGGTAGCCCGGATGACCGTGGGTCCTGCCACCGGTGCAGGCTCTGCCTTGGAAGATAGCGTGACGGTGTTCTTGTGCCGCTTCGCTAGGTAGGATGTCGTCGGACTCTCTTCATTGCGCGGCACCTGCTTCCACGCCTTGACCATGTACCCCTCGTTCGGCGGTTCCCAGTCCTTCTTCTCGCCCTTGACGGGGTCGACTTCCATCTCGGCATCCTCCTCCTCTGCTGGGGATGCTCGCTTATACAACCGACCTGATCGGGCGGCGCGGAGGAGCTCTTGGGTGTGTGGTGGCAGAAGATGGGCTTCCCTCGGCATGCCGAAGGGGAGCTCAACCGCCCAGCGGTCGCCCTGTTGGGCCATCTCCTGCTGCAGTGTCGGCGCGACATTGACCCATTCCTGGCGCCATTGTCTTACGGGAAGCCCTGCAGAGGTTGGAGAGGGAGGGTCAGCCATGGCCGTCACTCGAATCCGTTGCTATTCGCAACCGCGAAAACAAACACACCTTCGAAATCATCGGGTTCTGGAAAGCCAGCGCGGGCGCCCCGACGAGTCTGCGTCGCCGACCTCAATTGCTGCCGGCGCCAATGCGCTGTCAGAAAATCTCGTCATACTTGCAGCTTGTCTAACTCTAGACTCACTGTCCGCTGCATTGTGACGCGTGGGAGTCAACCTAACGCGTCCCGATCGGGCGGAAAAACCCCAAACGGCAGCACAATCGGCTGCAACGAGCACGGAACTGGCTTATCTATGCAATGGTAACATATATCCAAAAAAGCACCATGCAACGGCGACAGAACGGGGCGAGCGAGGCTCGCCGCTACTGGATGGCTTATGGTACAGGTACGGACGGGGTGAGAGGCACGCAGGTGCAGCGACGTTGGCGTAGGACGACAGCAGGACGCGTGGAAACCGGGCTTGGAGGGGTCGATATCCGGCAGCACAAGGGGGGGAGCGGATCAATATTGCGCGACGTATGCGACAGCAGTTGCAATGTTGACGACAAAGCCGTCAGAATGCGATGTGTAGAGTTCCACCTTGGCTGGCAATAGTATTCGTGGGTGCTCTCCCGAGTCCCGACAAGGGAATAGTCCGCTTACAGCGATATCCGCTGAACATGCAACTACTTAGGCAAAGGAAATGGGATAAATTGGCGGGCATTTCACCACAAGACATTCTTGAGATAGCAGAAGATGAGTAGCGAAGAAACGAACCTTGTCCGGTTATGTCGGAATCAGATGTATATAAATCGTCGTAGACGGTTCTGCGCAATACAAGCTCCCCTGAATGAACCCTTCTTGATGGGCACGGAGGTCTGCCCGCCCCCAGCGCCAAAACTCCGAATTACCCGCCCCCTGCCTGAGGAGCCTGGTATGTCCCATAAGTAGGGGTTCTGTAGTATAGTACACGCAGCTTGGCGGATTCAAACCCGGAGGCCGAGGTGTTCCGCTGCGCGAAATAAGGGCTCCTTGACCCGATCAAACTCAATCCCAGCTAAGTACAGTATGTACCAGTTAGCAATATGCCCAGCCACCGAGCGGCTCGTGCTTGAAATATCGCGGAGGTTACTCACCCGGTATCCTTTTGCCTGACAGTCTCGTGGCCAGGAGTGTCCTTGCCCTATCCAAGAGTCAGCACTTCCTACCTAACCGCTCTTCGTTAACGAAAAGACTCCCACATACCGATATCCCCCCTTCCACCACGAGCTTGTTAATCTGGTAGAATTGGCTGATCACCGTCTGGCGCTGTATTGGCAGCAGTCCCGCAGTCAGTCAACCCATTCCCCCGCAACGCGCGCAAAGGACCACCATCGCCTCTCTCTCACCTACCCACCCACCCACCGGCGAGGATGGGCCATGGAATGGAAGTGAAGGAAGGCGCACCTTTAACATCTGCAGATCCTGCAACCCCTTCTGCATCAGCTCCTGTATCCGCCGCGGGTCCTCCACATTCTTGTTCTCCCGGAAGGCGTCTCTTGTACGGCGCTTGGCGTATTCTCTGAAGTTGTAAGCCGAAAACTGGTTCCCCTGGCGGAGGAGCTGCCGGTACTGCGTAACCGTTGTTCTTGGGTCAGCACCTTCGAACACAACACCAAATGTATCCCCTACTAGCGTGCGCATCGAAAAGACGTCGCCGCATCTGGCGGGCCAGCGTTGCTGAAGAAAAAAAAGGCCCGCTACCCCAGTTGTAGGATGGGCTTTGCTGCGACAAGAAACACATACCAGCGACAGCACCTTCTGCGCCGATTCCGGTCTGGTTACTGCCTGCACCGCAGACATGGTTGGATATGACCTGGAAAGAACGTGGAAAGTTGCGAGGCTTCAGAAATAACAAGCAAATCAATTGCAGGAGGGGAGAGCTGATACGGAGGTATCGGAGTCCCGATCGCTATGACGAAAGGCTTTGGCAGGGGTCGGGATAATCGGGAATCGGGGATAGTCCAGTCGCCTTATCGCGAGAATGGATACTTGCATGTTTCCCCGGATAGTTACATATAGTGTCCCTCCATCATTGCTAGGTGTCAAAAAGGAGCACTCCTGAAAGAAGTAGGGGGTTTCTTAGAGGTTAGCTACCTAGGTATGTAAGAACACCTAGATTACATCTCCCGAGGAGAGAGGCAGCTGAAACAGATCCCTCGCTGCGGTATAACCCATTACCCGAGCAAACACATTGACCGGACCCTCCTCTCTGAGGCTCCATCCACTTTACCACGTTGCGTCCCAATCGCAGACCATACCTTACCAGGCCGGTTATCCGACCGATCAACTCCCACTGCTAATACATTCCAGCAGAATAGTAGCAAAATCACCCCAAACATTGAATTGAACGAACTTGTCGACCGTTCGTCAGTAGCCACCCATATCCCCGCTTCCAACCCAACCCTGCTGCAGCACCGGAGGTTCCCCGTCCGACATGTAGTATCCCAGCTCATGTTCATACCCGTCATTCATGGCCAGCACCGGATGCGAATAGTGTTGCTGCGGTGCAGTGAAGATAGTGTATGCCGAGCCCGGGGGAGGCGCACCTGTCGTCTCCGGCGCTGCTGGGGGGTCGGCCGATCTGTGTGTATCGAACGCCTCAATAAGAAGGCCAAGCCCATCAGTTGCCTGCCTTGGACCGGTCGTTTGCGAGGACGCTTGTCCGTCAAGGCCGGGTGGGGCTGGAGATTGGGAAATAGGTAGAGTGAGGTTGTTGTTGGTATCCGAGTACCCCGAAGGACCGGTCAGCGGCTGTGGCAGGTTCGGTATGGACATGTTGGGCTCTTGAGCCATCATGGTATTCTGTTCGTTCCCAGTCGAACCAAACCGTGGCTGCATCGGCTTGACGGGCGGCTGGCCAGGCGTGGAGTCGAGGACATGGGGAATAGGCTCTCTCTGCGAGATGTTAGAAGGCAGCGATAGCGCGGCAGTGGGACCCAAGATACTCACGCTATCAGCCATGCTGCCCTCCGCCCCAGCCGCTATGACGTTCTGTGACATGAAGAACCTCTGCAGATGATCGTACCACCGAGAGGCAAGAGGCCAGATACTCCTGCTCTCGGCAAGGATGTTGAGAATCCGCTGTACCATTATGGGAGCATTGCGCGTAATCGCAGGGTTGGGGCACACTGCAAGAGCGGTTACAATCTTTCTGAGCGAGGTGCCTGGATAATTTGAGCATGAAACGAGACCTACTGTGTGGAAATTTGCATAGATAGCAGGCCAGAAAGCCACAGCTGTAGACGCAAAAGACCTATTGTGGCGTGGTCAGCACCTAGATACCTTCGCCACCGGGTTGATTTGGTTCTTCTCACCGTCATCTGCGTTCCAGGGCCGTCATCCGGGGGCTTATCGGTATAGTGAGCCTCGATCTGCTCGTAAAGGAGGTTGACATTCCAGAAGAGTTGACGTGCCATATCTAACCAGAAAGCGGTCCGGTCCGCATTCGACTTATCATCGGATATCATTCTAAACGACATCTGTCAGCCGCGTATCATCAAAGGAGAATGGCAGGTGAGTCCCACTCATGCAGATATGCCTTGCGGATTACGATGTTGCAGAGGCGTACAGTCATGGCCACCCCTAAATACGCCTGCCGATCGTCAGAAATTCGTCGCCACGAGGAAGCCAAAGAGCGGCAAAACATACCAAATCCTGGCCCTCTTGCTGGTAAGCCTTGAAAAGGAGACTGCTCCATCGGTAATCATTCGGAAGGCCCGCCTCCCATCTGGCAAGCCGTTTCTCCATCTGGGCGTACTCGCTGTCCGGTTCCCATGGCCGTGAGCTCTTGTTCTTGTTGATAGCTCGCCGAGATATCACCCCCCAGTAATGGTGCGCTTGAATGAGGGCCGCAAATAGCGATCTCTCTTCGTCGGCCACCAGAGCGGGTCTCTCGAGGGCTGGGGGAGTGTCTTGGAGCGCCGCTCTTGACTTAGGTTCTCGTGCGTTGAGGTATTCACTCTCATTGCAAGGAAGCAGCGCTGTGATGTCGCTCGCTGATAACAGTACGGGCGCCCGTGGACCCGAGTGCAAGTTGTCCTGGCTGTGCAACATCCACTGCAATGTCCGGTCAGATTCGAAATCTGGACGTGGTACTTGCTTTTCAAGCCAAACGTACCAGAGTCCTCCTAGCAGACTCAGCCCTGATGATGAGGTCACTTGTGGGATTTGGTAGCATATATGTTTCCTCCCTGTGCAGCTGCATCAAAGTCGCCATCCGCATTGCAATTGCCATGTTGATCTGGTTTCTTGTCAGATGACTGCGGCATCGCATGTCGCCACGGAAGCATACAACTTACAGAACTCCTATGCTTCATCCCACTTCCCTGCTGGGCGACACTGAGAAGATAGAAGGCCTGGCACCTCTCGAGGCTTGGCTCCTGGTACACTTCATTCTGAGCCAGGGCCGAGGAGCGTGCCATGAAGGTCTCTGATGCGCCCACGGCACTTCCATACCGCCTGACGAGTGCCGGCGTCAGCCGGGCGGAGATGCTGAGGATGCCGAGCAGGAAGAAGACGCTGACGGACCGATGCTGAGTCCGGAGCCGCTCTAGAAACTGGTCCTTGGGTATAAAGCCGAGCTGGAAATAGTGGCGTGTGAACCTGTTCACGGCTTCGATTACCTCCGGTAGCGGTGGCAGGAGGTCCCAAACATCGGCGCCCTTCGCTTGGCCAGGGGTAGCCGGCAGACTCGGCAGCGGCGAAGTTAGTGTGTCCAGGGTATCACGATGGACTTTAGCAACATCTCGCTTCCTGCTTTTCCCAGCCCTCACTCGAGGGTGTCGGTATTCACGGTCCTGATCAGGTTGGCCACGTATGGGGAAGACACTTGGAAAGCACAGCACCATCAGCATGACAATTCTTCATCCCAGAAAATAGGAGAGACGACAACGTTGGTTAGGGCGAGCCGATGCCAGCGGGCAGGCGGCAGCGTTCTCACCATTCGCTAGGATCCAGGCCTGCATCGAGACATGCTCGACAGGGCGGTTGTGCTCTCTCGTGCAGACATTTGCTCCTCATACGGCGACATCTAACATTGTGCATTAGATTACTATCTTCTACGGATACTGTGACAGAATACAAACGAGGGAGCGGCACAAGCCGGCAGCAGTTGTGACTCGTGAGAAAGGGCCGGCAAAAGACAACGCAATTGAACCAAGACGCACCTTCGGCAGGCGATTGGAGCCCTCCGCCTGACAGTAGCAGCCGGCGCTCCTTGGGGTTGAAGCTGCTTGGAATCCATTCCTGTGGACGCTGCCGGCACCGGGGGTCCCGCCGGCGGCGCTCCGTCGACCTCCATGTTCGACCGCGGGATCAGCCTGTCCCGGATGCCGTCGAGATGCAGCGAGCGGAGCCGGGACCCCGGAAGTGGTCCTGTCGTCTGGCTCTAGCTTAACCTTTTTTCTCGGGGCGACTGTTGTGGACTCGTGGTTGGTTGGGGCTTGGCTTTGGAGTTTGGACAGTTTGTTGCCGGCAGGGCAATGCGGAGCCAACCTGAGTCCGTCAATTGCCAGAAGAACTACAATTCGCAGCGGCTTCCAAGTGGTTGAGGACCACACCAAACCTTTTGGGAAGGAGCGCCCAAAGCCCACGGGTCATACAAGGCAGGGCAACTCAGCGTCGCGGGTGTCTGTTGAAAGCTGAGCCCCAGTTCGGTGAATGTGGAAAGCCGTGTCCTCTGATGAAGGGTACGGGAAAAAGCAGAGACATCCTCACACAGTAGCGACTGAAGGCGCTGCAGGACTCCCTGGGAACAGCCACCCTTGGTAATTGGTGTCACCTTACCGAACCTCAGAAGAGGCGGGGAATAAAAAAAAAAATGTCTGTAGCCGTCTTAGACCGGGCCATCACAGTTCTGTATCTTCAAAGTTAACCCGACACGCATCGCATCACTGTACTTGTACATGATAACAGCACCGAGCCCGCACCAGCCAGAACCCTATGCTCTGTAAGTTACGTTCATCTGATGCTAGCGCCGGAACCAAGTCCGGGGTTTCCAAACACCGGACGGGTGGATACTCAGACCCCTGCCACGGCGGGGTTTGATCTGCCACCTCCGTGCATGTGCGTTGCACTTTCACCACCAACACCCCTCCAATGTTCACTGTAGCCGCGCTACCCTTCAAAAGCACCTCCAGTTGCAAGAATGGAAGCATATCCTGAAGTTACGGAAAAGGGAAACCGTAACACATCCTTTAGAGGAGTCTCGTGACACTAGGTTCAAGTGGTCCCAATAACCAACAAAGCCTCCGCAGCGAGCAGACCACCCATCCAGATATCTGCCCCGCATCCAACTCGCAGAAATCACATTAGGTGTGTCTCGGTTCACTGCATAGCTGTCCACTGGAAGCAACCAAACAGCACCTCGTCACTCATCGCCATGGAACATCAAGATGGCTAGCCGATTAGCGGTCACGTCGAGGGAGGAACGGGTGACTGAAGCTGGTGTCACCTTCCCCCTAGGAGTGGCCCAGCGGAGAGATGCTTTCCTCGTGCTCTCTCATCCGATTTGCCGGACAGTGGGTGAAACGGACGGTCACTCGAGGGAAAAGTGAATCTCGCGTGAGGACTTATGATGGGAAATGGACGAATAACCAGAAGGACAGCAACGGGGATGGGAGAGGTGAAGCAGAAATGAGAGAGGACTAGACGTTGTAAAGTAAAGGGCGCAAATCCCGGAAGCGATGTGTATCTTGTATGCTCGGGTTAGGCACGGCAAAGTCAGTCAGGTAACTCCACCATCCAAACCAGAGAAGGGTCTCTTGCTCATCCGAGAAGATCCGTCCATGATACCCCCCTGCCCGCCCACACAGATTGCCCGTTTACTTGATCATGATTACGCACATCGATTCAGCCATCCACTTAGCGCCTGCTATGGGGGTAATGATCCGCCTCAAAACAAAAAGAAAATCTACATGATGGTGCGCTTGCTCAATGCCTCAACATACCAGAAGCATGGAACAGTACATGGCGTTGCTCTATGGTCATTCCAATAAAACCTGCGTAAAATATGAAGGGGAGAAAGGTGGGCCGACAGCCGCAGTAGGGCGATCGGAGTGTGAAGTGACTCTTTCTAGGGGTATGATGTCCAGGTACAGGGTCATGGGCTCTATATACACTTTGTCTGTGCATCTCAGGCGCTAGATCTTGTGTCGTGTCGTGCCGTGCCGTGCCGTGCCATGCCGTGCCTTGCCGTCGATGGCGTGTGCCGCTGTGTGGGGAAGGGTGTCTGGGGACTGATGGGACAAGCAGTATGCTTCTTCCGAAGCACCTGCTGTGGGAGATCGACGCGATGGGGGCGGCGTCCATCGCTGTCGGGGGGACTAGGTTGGCGTCGGATGCCGAAACCGCAGTCTCATCCTAGCCGGCGTCATGCTTTTCATGTCTGCTGCATGACAGTCTGTGTGCCGCCGATTTGCCTCTTGACCTGCTCGCGAGCCCAGCGAGCAGTCTCAATGGTACGAGCTTGGAAGTCGCGGTTCGACCTCGTCTCCTTGATCATGGCGGTGACCCAGTCTTGACGGAAGGCATCAACCAGCTCGCCGTTGGGATATGCGTCTGCGAGATCACTGCTGCGAAGTTAGCGATGGCGGCATCCGAAGATCAGGCCGGGGAACATTACCCGATAACGCCCATCGACGATCGCATCAGTCCCTCGCTGCGGTTGGTATCATTGGCAATGCTGTTGAGCAACTCAAAGATGGATGGCACGTAGGGCTGGAGGATGCCGGCTTTAACATAAGCATGTTAGCAAAGTACACTGAAAAGGAAGAGGCGTCAGATGATACATACTCTTGTCACTTAGCTTCATGGCACCGATGATGCCGCCCCAGGCATCCATGATACCCTCGCGCAAAGCAACAACATAATCAAACATCTCGTACGAGCCCTCGGCTCCAGCAGTGATAGTGGCCGCTTGCTGCAACACCTGCGCCACGACGGCAAGGTAGGTCTCGAAGTGACCGCCAATGGCGCCGGCAATGTCACCGAAGCATTGGAGGATGGCTGGCTTGAATTGGTTGGCAAGGGCCGTACTCTGAATCAGAAGTTTTGTTAGCCATGTAATCTTTGTGGAAAGTACAGAGAGGGATGTGGCGACGAACCCTAAGATTGCTCAACAAATAGTTCATGAAATTATCGCAATAGGGCTGACTACGCTCGCCCAAGGATCGGGTGATGTCGCTGACGAGGCCGATAGCCATCGAGCAGAGACTCGGCTCGTCCTGCTTAGCAAGAGCGTTGTAGAGGAACGGACAGAAGGCGTCCATGTACTTGAGGAAGTCCTCTTCCATCGCGTTGGCAAGGGCGCTGATAGCTGCGAAGACCCCCTCCGGGACGCTCGACTTGCCGCCAACGGTGCTTAGAATCTGCAGAAGGACCTGCATGATCCTGTCACCTTGGGGAGTAATCTCTTTATCCAGCCGCGAGATGGTGGCCTGCAGGACGGTGCAGAGACTTGTTTGCATGTCCTCCAGGATTATCTTGTCCTCGACGCTGACAACCTGCTGCTGAAGGGGAATCGTTCCCTCGAGACGCTCGAGGATGACGGTCGAGAGGGAGGCGATGGCACCGAGGCTGTCATTGGCAGCGCTTTGCACGAATATGTTCAGGACTTCATACGCCGCAGTCCGGACAACAGCCTCGCAGTCCATCGTGCCCGTCACTTGCAGCAGATTGGTGACACTCTGGTTGAAATGCGGTGTGAGAGGGTTTTGAGCAGCACCCATGTCACCGGCAAACCGCTCGGCAAGGTTCATCAGCGCCCAGCAGCACGAGGCCGCCATCTTGGGGTTGTTCATCAAACCGTTAAAGAGTGAACGAATTAGAGGCTCCAGGTGCTCAGAAGGGTCAATGACTTCGGAGCAGGTTTCGGTGATCCGGCCCAGAGCGTAGGCGGCAGAATCCCGGACCTGAACGGAAGGATCCTCCATCATAGCAATCAAGGGCTGCAGGCCGGATTTCACGATAGGTTCCAGCGTCTTCTCATCGGGACCGTCCATAATGGCGCCAAAAGCAGAGACTGCCGCGTCCCGGTTGTGCCAGTCCTCGTGCCGCAGGTTTGCTTCGACGAATGAAATGACGGGCTGGATAATGGACGATCCGACTGCCTGAGCGTACAGCTGCAGACACTGATACGCAGCACGCGAAATGTTGTATTCATCGTCTGCCGCATCCTCGTCCTGCTTGGTGAGGAGGCCGAGCAGGACCGGGACAACCTCGCTTGTCGCGACGCGGGCAAAGTTGTAGAACGGCCGCATCTGCTCGGAACTCTCCACTTGGGCATTGTCGTCTTCGATGGCGATTTCCTCCTCACACACAGTGCTCCAGAACTCCACAGCAAGCTTGGCAACGTCCTCATCCTGGCTCTTCATGCCCAAGATGGTAAGACCAAAAAGAGCCTTCTCCATGTAGAACCTCATGTTCTCGTAGTAGAGAGCCATGATGCGGTTCAGGCAGCCAAACGCGCCCTGCTGTATCCGAGAGTCCTCGGCCTGGGTGGCCTCGCAGACGACCTGCATGATGTAGTTCCGCTCGCCTTCATGCTTGAAGTTGTTGCCAACAAACTCTAGAGAGTCGCCGAGGGCGGTGATGGCGGCGAGACGAACCTCGTTGTTGGGCTCATCTTTGCGCGCGCCTTGCACTACAGCTGTCAAGATGGCATTGGAATGGCCGACAAGAGCAGCCCTCAATTCTGTATCCTGACTCTCGCAGATGAAACCGATCGTGGTCAGGGACGCCTGCTTTTGGTGTTCGCTGCCCTCGCTGACGTTCCGCACGAGCACGTGCATGAGATCCGGCCACTGATTCCGCGGTAGTTCGATAGCAGCGATGGCAGCCACGACCTGGGCCGTTGTCTGACCCGCCTGGGCATTCGGAGAGGAAAGTGTTTGCAGCGCCAGCTGCTTGACGCGCGTCTTGATGTCTGGGTCGGTCTGGTTGAGCCATTTCGCTTGTAATGCGGCTTGCCTGGCAAATTCGCGTGCGCTAAAGGCGTTCTTTAGAGCGATACCGGCGGCCGCTCTAATCGGACCCGCGCCGTTCTCATCTGCCAACGCTTGGACGAGTGTTAAAAGGTATTGAGACTGGAAGTCATGTCACGTCAGTAAAGACGGGCTGGGCAAGCAAAGTACACACGAAGGCGGACTTACAAAGTTCGTCTCAGCGGCATGGGTAAGTTGCTGTTCGGCCGCGTTTCGCAAAGTCGCGTCTGGGAGGTCGGTCAGCGAGGGGATCCTCAAGGCTGCAGGGGCTTCGGCGCGATGGCGCGCTCGGCGACGAAATCGGAAAAACAGTATACTGACCAGCACTCAGCGAGTTCGTGAGGACAACGTTGATGTCCGGTGCGCCTTCCATGGTTGCGATACTCTGTCCAGAGTTCAGGATGAAGGAAAGCGGGGGGCTTCGAAAATGAGAAAAGGAAGCGTTGCTAGGGCGAAGGATGTTGCGTTTCGCAGCTAAAGTTTGCGAGGAACGCAGGCGGGGGTCGTCGGGATGGATCCACCGTGTACCAAACTGCAGTCGGGACAATCAGGGTTCAGAGATGCAAGCCAGCGAAAACCGCCTACGAAGCTCTGTTGAACAGAGGAGAATGTGACAGGCGGGCGCGGGCCTAGACGATGGGATATTCGGAGGTTCTGGAACAACTGGGTTGAGGTGTGCGGGTCTGTTGTGTAGAATTTTTGTAGTAGTAGTCAACAGTCAAGTCCCGTTTGGTGGTGGGTGTGGATGCCCCCAATGCCGACCCCCTAAAAGTATGCTTTCTGCAATAAAAGGAAAGCGCGCCGCAAATGAGTGTGTCGAATGATATGACAGACGACAAAGGCCTGGAACTGAGGATATGACTTATGGAGTTACCGAGGGCAGACCGAGGGAAATAGAACAGCGGTCTCTTTGAGGCAAAGGAAAACACCGGGCAGTCTAAGATCCGCCGTTGGCTGGCACCCCACGTGCAGTTCGTTGACAGCGTCCGATGTCAGGGAACCGCACTGTCTCCCCACATTCACCCCAGCGACTGAGCACGGTGCGAGCTGATGATAACACTCAATCTTCTTGTGAGGGCTACACATGCAGACTGATGCAAACCTCTCCACTCGCAGGTTGCAGCAGGAGCCTAGACTACTACTAGTACAGTACTAACGTGCCTAAGCCTGACCGTGACAAGCGTGCAACCCCAACATCATTCCTTATCCGTACCAGTCAGGTCCATCTCTAATACTGTATATGCAAGAGCACTTGAATATAACAACCTTCTTTCACGTCAGCTCTCCGCCATCTCCAACCTTCTCCCCTTGCTTCATCTTGTCGAAGCAAGAACCGAAGGGCATCAGCCCTTGTCCTGGGTTCTATTGCCTGACTCACGAACAGACGCACAGGAGTCACTGCTTCACCGCCGTCTGGGCTAGCAAAGTCATTGTATCGACGACAATAGGTTCTCGGGTCGTTCAAACTTTCGGTGTAAGTCTTGGCACCACGAGGCATCGACTGTCCAAAGAGTCACAGGCTGCTGATGGGTAACGGAGGGATCGAAACCCCACCCCGCGGATTGGTCTTTCTGCCTCCGTCGACTATTCACCTACTATATATGCATAGTAGTATGTATTGTACATCCAAGCAGCCAGGTGGGCAGGTGGAAGAGGAGCCTCGCTGTTTCGTCCAACACAACAGACTTCTTGTCTTGAGGGGCGTCAAGCACAAAGGCAGTCTCATGCTCAATGAAGTGAATTACCAAACACTATGTAAATGAATTGTCAAGTAATCTCAAACAGCGCTCCTGTGCTGACAGGGTGCTACGACCAGACTTTTCCGAACCTAGATGCCTTTTCGATTCCCGGAACCATTGAGCCGAGGAACGTGTTCTTCCTCGTCCCGCTAGATATTCTGCCATGCCGAATCCATGGACAGTCCTTTCGAATCACAATTCATCTGCCTTCGCCTCGAGGACGTTGATGATATCAGGTACTTTTGCGGACCCATTGGCGCCGTCAACGACAGCTTTGGGGACTACCGGGCTCCCTCTCCGACTACCCGTGAACTGGGGGGGGAAGATATACGAGTCAATCACAAAATCCGGGTAGAACAAGGAGTTGCGAACTTACGTTGCTAGCAGCGCTGAGGAGAGCGATCAGAGAGCTCTGGACCACATCCTCGTGGACGCCCACGCCCCAGACCTTCTCGTTCGCTCCAGCCGCTGTACACTCTATGTACGTCGCGGCCTTGGTTTCACGACCCCGGCCGACGGCATGTTCCTTGTAATCCTGGACGTCGAGATCTATGCCAACCGTCCGAAGGGCGTTGGCGAGGCTGGAGATCGGACCATTTCCACGGCCACGGAGCTTGTATTCGGTCCCGTCGATCGCAATAACCCCCTCGAACACCCTCTTGAGGTTCGTCGTGTCCTGGGTTCTGCCCGGTTCAGGTGGTGTCGGCGAGGCAGATCGGTCCGGCGAGATGGTGTAGTCGACGATGCTGAACCGTGGGTTCTGTGTGAGGGAGTAGGTTTGGCGGAACAGATCTGTGATTTCGGTCGGAAGGAGCTCTCGGCCCTTCTTCTCTGCCATGTCCTGGACCACCTTTGCAAAGGCGACTTGCAGCCCACGCGGCAGGTCAAGGTGCAGATGCTGCTGGATAATCCAGGCGGCACCGCCCTTGCCACTTTGCGAGTTGACGCGGATGACGGCTTGATAATCCCTACCAATATCCTTGGGATCGAGGGGAAGGTAGGGAATCTGCCAGTAATCTTCGTATGACTTGCCTTCCTTCTCGCGGAGCTGGAATCCCTTCTTGATGGCGTCCTGGTGTGAACCGCTGAAAGCGCATACGACGAGGGAACCGCCGTACGGCGCACGCGGGTGCACCTCAATCTTGTTGCATTCCTCCACTACTCTGATGACCTTGTTGAGGTCCGAGAAGTCGATATTAGGTGAAATGCCCTGGGTGTAGAGGTTCAGCGCAAGGGTCACGAGGTCAACGTTTCCGGTCCTCTCTCCGTTGCCAAAGAGGCATCCCTCAACCCGGTCAGCGCCAGCCATCTGGGCGAGCTCAGCCGCGGCGACAGCGCAGCCCCGGTCGTTGTGCGGGTGAAGCGAGACACAGATCTTCTCACGCTCGCTGATATTCCGGCAAAAGTACTCGATCTGATCGGCATAGATGTTCGGGGTCGACATCTCGACCGTGGCCGGAAGGTTGAAGATGATCGGGTTCTCGACCGACGGTTCCCAGGCCTTCTTGACTGCCTCGCAGATCCTCACGACAAACTCCGGGCTGGTGTCTGAGAAGGTCTCCGGGCTGAACTCGAACGCCCATTCCGTCCCTGACTGGGAGGGGTCGTCCTTGGTCAGAGACCGGACCAGCGCCGCACACCGGCTGGCCAGCTCGACACTCTCATCCTCGGTGAAACCAAAAACTATCCTGCGGAAGCATTCACTGGTGGCGAGGTAGATGTGGACAATGGCCTTCTTGGCGCCTTTAAGAGACTCGACGGTGCGCCTGATCAGGTCTTCTCTGCAAGGGGACAGCACCTGCAGCCACACGTCGTCAGGCACAGCTCCTGGTGTCTCTATCAGGCGTCTCGTGAAGTCGAAGTCAGTTTGCGAAGCCGAGGGGAAGGAAACCTCGATCTCCTTGTAGCCGAGCTCGCACAGCATGCGGAAGTATCGCCACTTCTGGTCTCCGTTCTGCAGAGGCTCGGTGTTAATCAATTGCTCGGGAGGAGGACGAGACCAATTGGACTCGGAACGTGACTCACCATGGGATCAACCAAGCTCTGATTGCCATCCCGAAGGTCTGTCGCCAACCATCGCGGGGCTTTGTCGATAGTCCTGTCTGGCCATTGCCGGTCTGGGAGGTTCAGAGGCGGGAACCTCTTGTACTTTTTCGAAGGATCCTTAAGCCTATGGCAAGTGGTCTTAGTCGCCTGTGTATCTCGTGACACCGATACACTGCAAAAAGCTAGTGGAAGGGTCCTTCTTACATCGGCATTTTGAGCTGTGTGCGCGGACGGAAACCTATGGCAAGGCAAGTGCCGTTTTCGGCGGCTATGAGGGCTTCTCGATGTCAAGTGGCAATAACGACGTCCACAAAGGCTGTCGACTGTTCCTCGCCCGAGGGTATGTACCTTGCCTGCACTTTACAGACAACACAACGAGGTTCACGGAATACAGGATGTGGCAGTGGGAAGCACGGGTACAAAAGGCTAGGGGAGGTTCAGCTTGAGTCATAGGTGAGGAGTTTCAAGGCGCGTCTCCATCCTGCCCCGGCCCGCGGTACAAAGGGCGCAATGTGCAATTCAAGATCTGCGCTCGATGCTCTGCGCTTTCCAGGTTATTACCCCACTATCAAAATTCAATCTTTTCTGCCACCAAAACCATTACACAGCTCGCGAGGCTTCTGCCGGTGACATTGAAGCGGCAAGAATGGGTTGAATCCGTTCGGCGGGGTTGAAATGAACCCCTCCTTTCCAGGTTTGTGCCCTTGCGGGATCATATATTGCAACACCATTGCTACGAATGGTGTGTCTGAATGCTCGTATCTGCTCTTCGGAACTCATATGTAGTAAGTCCAACAGTTCTTGGCCCCGTTTACACCTCTGTTAGGTATCTTGGAATGTACTTTAGCACTTGTGAATGACCGACATCGCTGAATGACATGGTCTTGTGCCAAGCCGAGGGAGAAGAATTGAAGTCGACCAGGGCAGCGCCCCACAATCCGAACCCCACCCAAATAGTGGGTCAGCGGTCGGATTGGGCTGAAGCGGCTGAACCAATCGGACTTCGTCATCACACATTTCGATGTTTGTTCCCTGTTGCAACTCATCGATCACCGGATGCAACAGCTCCAAGATGACGGCGAACGTGGGTTCCATATGACATGATGCCCGGTGATATGGACAGGGTAATCGACTTCAGGTTTTCAGAATGGCATGCCACATCAGGAATGATGCGGAAACGCCAGCTGCAGCGAGATGTGCCCGTCTATTATTTGGTAGGGTTTATTTGTTCCCCTTGAATTATCCCGCGCATGTGCGGTTGTTGTAAGGTTGGAAGTAGTCGAATCAGAAGGCAAGCATATAGAAGAGACATTCTCGCGGGATGATTGTTGGTTATGATACAGATGAGAAGAGTCTATGGGACGGGAAACACTTCAAGTTCCCTCATAACCCTGAGACCAGTTAAGGTTTGAACTCTGCAAACACAACGCTGACTGGGGAGGCAACACTCAGGCTGCCCTCCAAAGATCGCGCTTGGGAGGTACCGCATAATCTGGAGACAATGCAAAGGGCCATAGAATCTGCTATATACAATACGATACCAATAAGTACAAAGAATGGGAGAGGGTTTAATCTTTACCCCAGCTATTATGTACACATCCCTCACACTGCTTCTCCTCCCTCTCAACTTTTTTATGACCCGCTTGCTGGACCAAGGACCAAGATCTAAGATGTAAACAAACCGTCATGTTGAAAAACAAAAGCTGTATGGTATAATCAGCTTTGCCGTCCCGTCGATGTGACCGGTCCGACTCGAAATGAAACCTCACACTCGCCTTATCCGTCCGCAGCTCGGTCCGTTTCACCTTACTGCTCCGATCCATCACCAGGTGAAACTCTCCTCCACAAAATCAACTACCGTCCCCTGAGCCTGCACCTTTCGCACCGCGTCTCGCACATCGTCCGACAGCCCTCCCGGCCCGCAAACTGAGACGCACATGGCGCCCACCTGCTCAAAGACCTCCTTGGCCAGCAGCATGGGAATGTTCGGCCTCCCGGGGAACATCTGCACCGTCGTGGAGTTCGACACCACCTGGCTAGCCGCCTTGGGCCGGGTGACAAACAGCCTGATCTGCAGCACCTGCTTGCGGTTGGGCATCTGGAGGATCTTGTCCATCCACGGGCGCACCCACTCGAGCACCTCGTAGTCGCGGATGATCCAGACGAGCGTGGCGCGGCGCGTGGCAACGGTGCCGGCGTTGTAACCGTCGATCAGGTGGCGTAGGTAGCTGATCTGGTGCGTGATGCCCGTGGCGCCGGCGAAGAGGACGACGTGGCCGTAGCTGTCCATGCTGTGGTGGCCGGCATAGGGACCCTCGAAGGCGGCGCGCATCGAGACGGCGCGGCCGCCGGACTGGCGTGCCTTGTTGTACAGCTTGCGGGTGAAGCCGGTGTGAGCGCCGATGATGAACGAGACGGACGTGCCCACTGGCTCTTTGTGTTCCCTGACGCTATCCTTTTCCGTGACCGGGAGGATATCATCGCGGCCGTGAGAGTGCTCGTACCATGCGATGGAAAAGGGGTGGTTCTCCCACGGGTTGACGCCGCCGATTCGGATATAAGCGTGCTGACCAGGCTTAACCTTCACGTAGCGCGGGAGGTGCATCGTCACGCGGCAGGCCTCGCCCGGCATCGGCTCTACGATAGCCTCGGTGAAGCCGCGGGTTGACCAGTTAGCGTAGGCGAGGCGTAGCATGCGTGCTGTTCTTTCGGCCAGCCACAGGGACATGATGGCCAGGATCCATGGTGTTTGTGGAAGACCTCCCGGGAGTTCCGCCGCGATGCAGTGGATCCAGGTGCAGATAAACGCGATCAAGGCCAGGATGATGTGGGTGGTGAGAAAGGTCTCATAGAATGCATGGCGGATGGGGGAGAAGGCCAGCACCATGAGAATGAACATCGCCACCACGCCAACAGTGCCGGAGCCGATGAATCGTTCGTTGAGAATCCTACGCTGCACTCCCGACCATCCGTCGTCGGCAACTTGAACGATCATCCACGCGATGAAGTGGATGATGACCTCAATGACGGAGATCCGGCCCATCCAGCGGTGGAGCAGGTTGTATGTGTCGAAACTGACATTCAGCAGGCGGATCAAGGGGTTGTTGCGGCCGGCAAAGATGATGAGCGGCACCATGCTCACAACTGAGAGTGTCCCTGAACGGCCGCGGAGTTCGGCACATAGTGCATATTTGTTCTGATTCTTCCAGTCGAGGATGAACATGTAAGCCAGGTTACTCGCCAAATAGCCGAAAAGGAGAACGGCGTGGAGTCTTGAGGGTAGTGTTCCCATATTGGCGGCGCTGGAAAGACGAATCTCGCGGTTATGTCGCTTCCTTCCCAGGGGCGCATAAATGAGTCGCCTCTTCAAGCTGGGCATCTTGTCCCACTGCGTCACCTTCCAATACGTTTGCTTGTCCCCAGGCAAGGACATGGCAGAGACTAATCGGAGCTTCGACCATGCCAGTTCGCCTATCCTGATGACCAACATCGCGAGCCCGACAATACCCAAGCTCCACCATAAGATGTCGGTGAACAGCATGTTATTCGGCTGGTTGACGCCGTTGAGGCCACTGTGGTAAGGGGAGATGGTGGAGCTCGGGCTGGCCGCCGTCTCCCCGTCTGTTGTCGTCGATGCCGCATGCCGTAGTTGTAATAGCGCGGTCGGAGTGGTGAGCTTAGGGTCAGGGACCCCGTAGCGGTGAAGGTCGTCCATGGCAGACTAGAAGATCGAGCGAAGTGGCAGTAACTGAACCCAGGCCAGCTGTTCGCTGTTCGTGCGTGCTGCTCAGATGACTTCTCGCTTGCGGCCTCGACGTTGAGTAGCAAAAAGTCCTTTTTAATGAGTCTTCTGCGTGGCCTAGATCTGCCCTGTGGGGAGCTGGTGTTATTGAGGAGGGTTGCAGAAAGGCAACATTCCTATTGTAGGAAGCTGAACAATGAGAAGTCAACAATGAGATTCACAGATTGTGCCCTTGTGAATCCAACCCACAACCGCGACACAATCGATGAACAAGCAACCTCCTCTGCCGACAAGTAGTGGAACAAAGCAGCAAGCCCGGTGGTTCTCAGAAATTGTGGGAGTCGAGGCGCCGGTTGCAACCGTCGTGTGTCCCGGAATTGAGTTGTTGATGGCTCGGGGGTGATGTGAACAGTGCTTTGCCGGAGAAGATAATGAGCTGAGCAGTTCCCGTGTATAGACCGGCGAATGTATGTTGCAAAAGTGGTGCACAGTAACCAACGATCAATCGCTAATATTGTGTTTCCCTTGACCGAAGTGCGATTCGGTGTCGAATGAATGACAGGCGGACAAACGAGGGTGCGCAAAACTTCCCAGCCGGTGAGAAGGACAATGGTAGGCCTGATTCAGCTTAGAATCGGACTATTCTTTCGAGTGTGGAAGTGAATTTGCAGCGCCAGCGGTGAACGTATGTACAACGAGCTCAAGCGAAGTAAAGGGAGGTCTGTGAGGTGCGCTGTGATGCAAGGAATGGCATCCCTGGCCGCCTCTACCTCTGTTGGTGCAGTGACACAGCAGAAGAGGGTGTGTCGATCTTGTAAAAGGGGAGAAATGAATAAACAAAAGACCGGACCAGACCGAGGGGCCCTGGCTTGTGAAGGGGAAGTTGGTGATTGGGGCAAGGGGCGCTTGGAGGAATGGAAACAGAGATCGGGGACGCATAGGCGCGCGCCCTTGACCAGGCTACCTATCCTTTAAGAAAATGAAGGCGCGAGAGGGGAATCGTTGTCGAAGGCTCGAAGCGCGGCTCCCTCCGAATCCGCCATCTCGCATCTGCCCCCTAAACTGAAAAACCGTATGACGAAAACATCCCTTGCGGCGGGACTTTGACTTCGCGCAGCCCTCGTCGTCCAACCGGGTCCGCGGGATGATTTTCCAGCCAGCCAGGGAGCGTTGCGCGCACGCCAGTGTCAGTCTTTGACCCTTGGATCCGCCTATCAAGCAAGGCCGAGAATCCTCTATCGCGTGGTCTGCACAGCCAAGTCCAGACACGAAGCATCAAGGATGCCTTGGAGCAAGCGAAATCATAGGTTCCCAGCGTCTGGAGACTTTCGCCGGTGGATTCGAAAGCGCATGCAGCTGACGGGGCGGGTAGCTCTGATTGGTCAGTTGTTTCGGTGCGTTCTTGGCCTGGCTCGGTGCTCGGTGCTGCCCCTGCGCAGTGTAACGTTGACGGTGAGGACCCGGAACGGCGCAGGGTTTCCGCAGCCCAGCCGGCCGGTGTTTCCGCTCGGTGCTTGGCTGTTTGCTCCGTTCTGTGGGGCTGTCACCTTCTTTCCCTTGTGCCACGTTGTGTCGCCATGACACGCCTTTTCACCTGTTACGATATATCCGTATTGTGTTGTAGCACGACATCCCTCATATCATGGCATAGCTACAGTTCGTTAACTTCCGCCGCCGCCATGGAACCCGTTGCTGTTGGTCAGACGGGACGACAGGCTTAAACTTGATGCGCGGGATGGGATGCCTGACTTGGCATGTTCAAATTGAGCGCTGCTTCTGACGGTTTGTTCAATTGTTGACCTCGGTAGTAGTAGTATCTAATATCGACGACATAGTGGATGCGGACGCTGCTCGGCTTGGCCCATCTGGGGATGACCATTTTTGGGTCAAGGGCCGGCTCGGCACGTTCGGCGTGGTTCGATCAGCCTCAAAGGTCGTGGGAAACCTCGGACAGTCCAACCAACCAAATATATCGCTCTGGTGTGACGGTATGGTGCATTCAACAGTGGTCAAGCCGGCTGTTCGTGACACTTAAATTCTATTAAACTAAGCCTGAGGAAAGGAAAGGAAAAGGTTCTGGGTAACCGACCCAGAATTACAGAGATATTTCCTAATTTTGTGGATCACGTGACCTATACCCCACTCCACCCGTAGAGTGTTGTTCTGACCGTGGGGGCTTTCCATGCGTTGATCATGGTACGGTACACGGTGCACGTCGACCGGCAACTCCCAGTAATACGTACGGATATAAGTCAGCTACAGCATATTATTACACGTACTAGTAAGAGCATTATGCACCAGGTATGTGTGTACTAAAAGGTGGTGAGATGGATCGGTTATCTAGGTAGTGTCGGGACCATCGCTATCCCGCCCCTTGTTAGCCGTGCCTTTCAAAGATCTGATAGCAACCTTCCAGGTTCTGGAACAATCATTGGTTTACGGAGTACACTATTAACCTTTCCACTTCAGCTACTCTACGTACACAGAGACGCCAATCAAACTGGGGGGATTCACGATATCGATGCTACGCGGTGCTCTGAACCCCTGGGCGAATTCTCGAACCTCGCATGCTTCTCTACTGTAAGCTCGAAAGAATTCTTAGGAGTGTACTATGCACTGTCTGTGTACCGTGATCCTACACAGTAGGGCATTTGACATGCGCCATGGACTCATGGATACCTTACCTGAAGCGAGCCGGCCCGCTGAACGGAGATGAGAGGGGCCTGCATCCGTGATCTTGAGATCAGCACCTTTCCTCTTTCGTAACCTTGCCCATGTTCTTCCCATGATTTAGCAGATTTACTGACTGAAGTCACTGGGCCATCACTGTTGGTTGCTCTTTGGTGAGGTGGGAAACCACAATCCGAGTAGCATCGACAGCCGAGTGCAACTCAACGGATGTGCATACAGAGTAGCTGCTCTCATCAGAAGATCTCTACACGTATGTAATCCCGCACGTGTAGAAGGCCCCACACCTCCGCCTGTCAGTATGGTGCCCTCTGCCGGAGACTTGAAGGCGCAGGCTGTCAGCATTCATCAAGGCATTGCCGTCAATTACAAGTGCAGTATAGAAATTAGCACTCCAAGAAAGAGATTTCTGGGAACCATCTTCCGAAGCTGAGCTCCAGCGTGTCTCGCAAACTGTGTCGACAACAGGAATCATAGTAGGATTGCATACCTGGAGATCATATCAAAAGTTATAGGGTCCGAGCGCCTTGGGAATCCGACAGTACCTAATACCGTGCCAATCTCACTGTGTCCTCCGTCATCCGCCGGAAATTTCCATGAGCCGTCCGGTCTGCCAAGGAACCGTGAAGAGAACGGCCCCGCGAGTGCGCAAGCAAGCACACAGAGCTCAAGGGAACTACGCGATCCTCTGCTTGAGTACGCCAATTGAAGCGAGGCCCTTGACCACGACTATCCACCATGGGTTCGAGTTCATCCAAGCCCTTGAACCCGCCTACGCATGTGTGGAAAGGGTATGCTCAAGCCCGCCGTGAATCCCTCGGAGCGCTTGATATCTGACCGTCCTGTTCCCACAGGCCATCACAACCAGGAGTTTCACAAAACCTTGTCGAATCCCTCGAGACCAGCAATGAGGTAGAGCGTCCAGCCCTGTTTTTATCTTTGGCAGCCGTCGCAGCTTGCGCCCTAACCAAAGTCCCTGAAACACACAGACCGACGTCTCCCGCCTGCAAGCCCAAGAGCTCCAGATCCAAGAGCGCGTCGCCGCCGAGTTGAAGCGCCTTCGCGCTCAAGAGGCGGAAGCTCTCCGCGAAGCGCAACAGAAGCTTTCCGACGACCAAGACCAGCAGCTCAGCGGGCCGAGCCGACAGGAGGTCTCCAAGGCCATCGAGGATTTGCGCGCCAAGCTCGAGGAGAAGAGGAAGGTGCGGCAGGTCCCAGACAGCGTAGAGGGGGCGCGGAACGATGTGGTGCGGTGCCTGCGCGAGAACGACCGACGGCCGCTTGACTGCTGGCGCGAGGTGGAGGCTTTCAAGGAGGAGGTGAGGAAACTGGAGAAAGGGTGGGTTGACAAGGTCGTCAGCTAGATTTACCGGGGGCCAACAATGGCGGAGATGACGGGATATGGCTTAGCCTTTTTTTGGCAGGCCACTGTTGTATACCACGGTTACTATGTACGAACGGGGATTGTGACCTCAGGAGCATGGAGCAGGTGCCGCTCGAGTATCATAGACAAGGCAAGTTAGACGGCATTGGGGCGATCTTGACAGGCAAGTCCAGCAGAAATTCATAAGACGTCCGCTTGTTCTAATAAGTCTATGCTCGGCTCATCTGCAGGCTTGGTCTTATCTTTCTTGAGCTGCTCCCGCCGTCTCAAGCCCTCCTGTCTTTTGCGCTCGCGTCTTGCCTGCGCATCTTCCCAGTCGTCGTCGCCCTTGGGAGGGGCGAAAATAGCATCCAGAGCGGCGCTAAACCTGGCTATCCTTCTCTCGTTCTCAACAAACCGCTCATTGGCTATCTGCACAAGTGTCTTCAGATACTGTCGCGACACAAGCGACCGGCGAACGCCGTCCGTTTCAGCGCCGACCAGCGACTCAAAAGATAAGCCCATCGACCGAATAGCAACCACTGGCATTGCTTCCTCATCCGGTGGCCGCCCAAGCAAGCTGACCGCCCCAGCCTCACGGAAGCCTGCCTCCATGCCGGCCTGGATGACCAGCTGTGCATGCTCCAGCGAGGCGGTTAGGACATGTAGAATCTGGAAATCGGCGTCAGCTTCGCTCCGAGACCCTGAAATGAAAACCCGATCTTTGAACGCACCATTGGCTCAAATTTGAAATGAATCAGCCTCGACGGCCCAGTCAGTTCACCAAGATGCTGCGTCCTTTCTTCTCCTTCCACCACGCTCGGCTGAAGGCCCAGCAACAACACCTCGTATCCGCCACCACCACCACCATCATCGTGCTCCGCCGCCACCGGCTCGTGGGACACAAACAACCATTCTCCACCACCCTTCCCGCCGGCCGAGCTCGCCGCGTTTCTGTTGGGAACGGCCTCCAGCCCCTCGCCCGCATCGCCCTTACCGACCGTGACCGCCGTCTTCTTCCCCTCGAGATACACGCTCACGCGTCCGGCGCAGCTACTCGTCGTCACGAGGCCGGCGTGCGCATTGACCTGGTCGATGAGTTGGCGGATGCCTGCGTCGACGGTGCCCTTGGGCGAGGCATCGCTGTATTGTGCGTCGGGCACGGAGAGTTGGGAGAGGATCTTCTGCTTCTTGGCGGTGAAAGTCTTGCCCGGGGTGGGTAGTAGAGTTCTCATTTTATCAGCTGAGGCCTGAAAGAAAAGAGTGTTGCTATTTTGATATTTTTTGGACTTCTTTGTAAACAGCAAGGTAACCTCTCATTCATTTGCTATTTAGTCTTCTTGATTTGGTGATCACGTGCTTGGCATCACCCCTTATTGCCCCTGACTACGCAACAAGCGAGAGGAGACCACTGGAAACTCCATTTGACAGTTATCGGAGACCCTGGTATGTGATATTAAATCCTGAAGATGAAAGTAATAGGGACTCTGTGTTGTGTCGCTGCTCCAGTGGCAGCTCTTGATGCTGCAGGTATCGCTTCTACGGGCTCAAGGCAGTAAAGGGGACAAAGAAGAGCTCAGCATGAAGAGGTCTAGCTCTGGGTTATGTAGCTAATGAGAACCCGTGTCTTGCGACCCATCATGAATCTCAACTAGTAACTCCTCGATCTCTTCGCCAAAAGGCAGAATCAACATGTACTCAAATGCAATGAAGCCACCACACGGCTGCGGAGACACACAGATGGTTCATTAACTATGAAGACTGTCTTACAGAGTACGCAAGTGAAAGTAGGGGGTTTCTGGGCAGTGGTGTCCATTGGTGCCAGATTCTTTAAGCAAAAAATGAACAGGATTTGGAACGAGACTTCAGAAGTTCGCAACCAGAGCGGCGGCACCTCCGGCCAATATCAGCGCTGCCGCCGTTGGGACGGCAGCGAAGACGCCCCCTTCGTTCAGTGGCAGCGTGGCGGGAATAAAGGTCGTAGTGGGCTCAATGCCGGAGGTCAAAGGGGCTTCGGCCACGGCGGACGCCCCAGAAAATGCCGGTGCCTGTGTTGGAGCTGACGGATCGGGGGTCGCTGTAGTGTTGGAAGGATTAAGAACGCTAAACGAGACCCAAGGTCAGCATCTGATGGCATGGTGTGCCTTTACGGACAGAACTCACTTGTCTAATACATGTATCACCCCGTTGCTTGTCAGGACATCTGCGATGGCCACCTTCGCCGAGTTGACAAACAACTGACTGCCGTCCCTGCGGATGGTGATGTTGTCTCCTTGAAACGTCGAGAGTGTCATTTGATCCGCACTTAGCAAGTCGGTGCTGAACCGGACTTGCTGCGTCAGAACGTGGTAGCCTAGAATGCCGACAATGTCCTCAATACTCTGTGACCCGAGCGCAGATCCGATGGCCTTGAACGCGTCGTTCGTTGGGGCGAAGATGGTAACGTCGGAGAGTGAGTTCACCCCGTCGACTAGCCCTGCGGCCGTCAATGCCCCAGCGAGTGATGTAAGCCCTGTGTTGATCGCTGTCTGCTCGGGGTTCACTGGGACAGTGAGCACTGTGTCAATGATATGCACAACGTTGCCGCCGTCAAACTCAACGTCCTGCGAAGTGACATCTGATGAGCTGCTTTGTCTCATGCGATCGGATCATCACCTACCTACTGCAGTAACAACGCTGGCCATCTGCTTATATCCCGAGAACACCCTTGCCGTCTCGTTTACCATAGCCAATTCAACCTTTTGGCCACCGGTAACATTGGCAAACGGCATCACAAGTAAAGTCGCGGCGAACTTCGGCGTTGGCGAGAAGTCTTTGGACATCAACTTGCCCATCAACACATGATATTGGAGTACCCCGGCTAGTGCCTCTGGGTTCCTCATCAGCTCGGCGGATCTCGGGTTCCTCATCATGAGATTGGCAAAGGCAGTGTTCGACGGGGCCAGTATCGTCACATTCCGGGCCGTGGACAGAGTCTGGACGACATCTGGCACGAGGGGGAGCAGATCTGGCCTTGCTGTGAGCTTTTCCTGGCCGCTATGCGCACACGGAAAGACATACTGGATAAGGTGCTTAGTGTGGCATTGTTGTTGGCTAGGATGGTGGTAAGAGCTTCTGCAGACGCGTGAGCAGCTAAACCCAGGTGCAGCAGATATCTAAGTCGCATTGTGCTTTTGTATGTAGGAACAGACTCAGTTTTCGTAAAAGCACAGAGGACGAGTGAAGCAGCCACGGTAGCTTCAATTAAAAAGGAGACATTGCTATCTTGTAGACTCCGGCAGGACTTGGGCATCCGAACCCCCGGCCCACGCGGTCTATGTAAGGTAGTGTTTCTTCTAGTTACCTGGAGTATCTCGCAAGTGGCCGACCCGGCGGAGCAAAAGCGGCAGCAATATCATGTCAAACACCCGAGACCGGGAACGCGGCAAAGAGGAACTTCAGTCTGAATTTCTCTTCCAAAGTGATTTGGAGTGTCCCGTTCAGGGGAATCGGATCTGAAGGTCGAGTTACACAGCATAGTAAAATAAGAAACCGGAACAAGGAGCTTGAGCTTGCCGTAAAATGGAAAGAAAAGGGAATCCTTGCGTAGGCGTCCTGAGCCTGGGCATAGATCGGTATGAGGCAGAGAGCGTCAGAGACCGGAAGATCATATGGAACCCAGCAGGTATCAGGACAAGTCCAACGCATTGGCTTTGGGTCCGAGTCCCTGCAGTGTAGAGTACTGTGCCGACACTTCAGACGCCGTGACTATTTGAGCAACGCAACGCAACAGGAAGGGCTCACGCAAGTTGCACTGCTCAAGGGTCCCAAGCGGAAGTTGTGAAGCAGAAGAGAAATTGTGGGGCTCAAGCGATGGGGCGGGCGATTGGCTGAGCCAAAACATCGCGAGTGACTAGTATCGATAAGCTCGCCGCCGGCTTCAACTTTGGGGTGAACATCTTGAAGAGGCAGACATACGACGAGTGGGCAACCATCCCGTCCTCTTCAATTTAGAGATAGCAACGCACCAATGCATGACCAGATGGTGGTGTACACGACTGCTACTAAACCAATCAGGATCATGGGCGTCAAGCCATTTATCTAGGAAGATCGTCGGGATCTCGTGACCATCCCAGTCCCCGCATTCCACCTCCATCCATATTCCACACAACGTCGACGACGACATCACGAGTGTGGTTCTCTGAATATTTGATTCTCTAGCTCCAGGGCTACTTTAGCTGCAGACAACGCTACCGATGATGCAAGCCTACCGCGCCAAATGCGATTTAAAAGCAGAAATCCACCGATGGTCATGAGGACCGATACCCCTGAACGCCGCGCACCCTTCTAACGCCGTACTAATGCCATCATGATGCCTGTGAAATGTGTATGTACCCCTTCGCAGTCATCGTCATCTCATCGTCAGCCCGTCATTAACCCCTCTAGCACCCGCTGTCCGGCCATTGCTCAGGCGGCCTGGACTTCTTGAGCCTTCTGGCGTGCGTTTTGCGCAAGCCACTGCGCATAGCGACTCTGCTTGTTGTGGATGCCGCACTCGGTCTTGTCCTGTCCCTTCCACCGGCCGGCACGCTCATCCTCACCCTCGCCGACAGGAACAGTCGAATGCCAGTCGCCGACCGACTTGTATCCCCGGTCGAGGAGTGCATTGTAGGGCACGTTGTGCTCATCGATGTAGGCCTTGACTTGGGTGAAGGTCCAGTTCGCAAATGGATTGATCTTGACAACGCCGCGCTCCTCGTCTAGCTCGATGACCTTGATGTCGCCCCGCTGGCCTCCCTGCGACCGACGCCGGCCCGTGAGCACAGCGGCAACCTTCAGTTCGGAATAGGCGCGCTGCAATGGCTCCACCTTGGCGATCCAGTCGTACAGTTCAGATGACGTCTCGTACAGCTTCTCGCCGTACAACTCCTCGAACTGGCTGACGGTCTCGACATCCGCCGGCTTGAAAACATGGACATGGACGTTATACCGGGCCTTGACCCGCTCGACGAGGTCATACGTCTCCTCGAAGTGGTAGAGGGTGTCGAGGAAAATGAGGTCGACCGGCTGAGGGCTGGGCGAGTCGGCGTTGATCTTGGAGAGCATGTCTATCGTGACGAGGCCCGTCAGGCCGAACGCCGTCGACTGGTAGAGGTTGGGAAAGAAGATCTTGCTGAACCGGAGGATGTCCATTGGGTGCAGCGACTCCAGTTGCTTGTTGAGATGGTCCAGGTGTGGCCGAGTGATGGATATCCGGGGCAGGCTGACGGTGGATGTGTTTCCCGAGACGAAGCCCGAGTCGACCGACCCGTGGTCCGTGTTGGACGACAACTGGGAAGAAGTCTCGGCGCGCGAGTCGTCGGCCATGTTGAATGCAGGCGGCAGCACACAAGAGGTCGAGAAGAAATCAACGACTTGAGATGCAGATTATGGGCAAACGGATAACACCCGAGTCCTCTGTACAGCGAAGAGGGAGGAGCAGCGCCGATGTCGCAAGCAACCAATAGTGGGGGAAGTTTTGTCAAGGACGTGAATGAGAGGAGGAAAGGGGGGACGGACGGTGTTAATGAAGGCAAGCACGGAAGGAGGTCTGGTTTGGTCTGCCGCTCAAAAGCGTCTCGAAGAATAATCCACCTGCGTGGAGCGGAGGCACCTCAGCGTTAAATAGTCGGGGACGAAGGCCGAGCACGCAAGAGAGCACGCAAGTACATCCTCGTCATCCTCTCATCCTCTGATTACTGGGTAACATTACTAATGTCTATTTCCAGTCGATCTTGGTCATACTGTGGACTTCCGGGAGCAAGGACGGCCTGACATTGGCCCCTGGGCACCATGGCCATAGAAACTCGGGAACCACGGCCGAGGCCTGCGGCAAAGGGTGCGTTTTTCATGAGGACTTCCGCTAGAGTGGTGGTGTTTTCGACGAGGCTGATCACGACATCTGGACGCTCAGTGATTGGTGGATCTGGGCAATTTCTGTGGGGGTTCGTCCCGCTATCGTTCACCCCCTTGTCCCGACACAAGGAACCGTTTCTCCTTTCAGAATTATGACTTCGATGTCCTCACGGACCCATTTCTGGGGCTCGTTGGGGCCCGAATGGTTTTCACAGTTTCGGCGACAGCAGAAGATGAAGAAGCTGGATGTTCCCCCTAGTTTCTTAGTCAGCCGGAAGTCCCCGTTTTCCCGTTCCAACGGCGACTGCATGATGTCATCCGTCTTCATCCGCCCTTTCAACGTCGATCAACGCTTATTCTCTCCAGGGTTGCCTAAAGGCCTGCAGTCTGGCTCATGTCATAGATTTTTTTGTACCGTTGTTGGAAGGGAGCCGTGGCAGTGAGTCGGCGATGATGGACTTGCAGGCTACGGTACGATGGTGGATCATCTCCATCCACATGTTGCACAGCAGCGCCAAGCGACGGGAATTCGGCTTTGGACCCTGAAGCTAAGATCCAATCAGCCAGAGTCTACGATATGTCAACGCTCTAGGAGACAAACTTCAGCCTGTTTGTACATGCACAGTACGTGTTCCTCCACGAAGAAGGCAGGCTTGAGTACTCCAGCATGACCTCGATTCCAGGTTACTGGTGAGCTACGGGATACATTGCACTCGCCTGAATGAGGTTGATGGGGGCCAAGAGCCATGTCACATTTGCAGCCCATAATGCGCCAATCACAACGGTCGACATCGCCGGCTCCAATTGCCTGCATCTGTACGATGTATATGTGGTACCAAGTTCCTGCAGGTGATGGCAGCCTGATGCATTTCCAGTGTGAGAGTCCGCGAGCGGTTCTCCCATTACAAAGATGTGAGCTGTGCTACTTGAAAGAGAAATCCTTCTGTATGGCATCAAGATCAGCGCGTAATGCCCCTTTTCCACCGCAACAAATCCCCGGCTGAGGGGTCATCGAAGGTTATTGCCGCCAAGGATCCCTCCTTTGAACCTAAGCTGACTTGCCATCCAGCCCTCGCGCCGAAGAGATCAGCTTCTCGGTCTGTTCTCACGGTCTGGATCTCCCTCGTCCTCTTCAACTGCACCCCAGGCCAAAAGCACGAATGGTCCTGCCGTTCCTCAGGTGTCATCCGTGTCGGGTAGTAGCCAGCAATCCCCGAGGCCGACATCGTCCCCTGTGATACAGCGAAATGAGACGCCTGACATCCCTACAGAACTCGTAGGTACAGACCTGTAGACCACGTAGGTTGCCTACCGCGGGACTGTCAGAGTGCTGATAAGGGAACAATAGGGGCAAGATGATGGACCCGTTGGCTCCAAGGATACGCAAGATGTTACAAGCGCTGAAACCCCTGTCTCTAAGGATGGCTCGCTAGACCCGGCAGAGTCGACGTATCAAAGTTCGGCGTATCGAGCCGCTTTGTCCACGTTTAGTGCGGATGAAAGGCATAAGCTGGCGCAGCGAGATACCATAAGGAGTCTGTTCCAGCAGCTCAATGAATTGGACGAGGCTCACCTGGAGCAATCGCAGTTTCGGAAAGGAGTGAAGGCAGTGACGCCGCACCTCGAGCGAGTGAATGCTACAATCGACTTCATTAGCCCCTTTGTCAGCATTGAGCCTACCGCGGGGACTGCTATTGGGCTCGTTAAGGCTTCTATATCGGTGGGTCTTCTCCCTCACAGATGATCGTGTGAAGCTCACAGATAGAAAGATTGCCGCCGCGGTATTCGGGCACTTCAATGATATTACCCAGGACATCACAAGCTTCCTTGATCGTATTCCAGCCATCGATCGTTGCGCTGAGGTTGTCAAAGCTGATGGACGAATGCCCGCTATCCACGACGTGAGGCTCCCCGTATTCGTCTTATGCAGTACGGTACTAATCGCTCTGTAGGCCTTGGTAAACGTATACAAGGTCCTGCTGGAGTTCTATTTGGCGATCGTGACCTTGTTTGAGGACCGGCGGTTTGTCCTGCGCGCTGCATCACAACTCCTGAACAATGAAGTCAAGGGCATTGTCTCATCCTTTAAAAACCACGTCGACCTCCTTTCCAGCCTTCTTGAAGCTGAGGGCTTCGCCTCGACCCAAGAGATCAAAGATGAGCTCCTCGAGACCAAGAGTACGTTCCCAGCCGTAAGCGTTGAGTTGAATGCCACTGAAACATTGCTGGGCCAGTCCGCGAAACACTCGAGCGCAACGCGAATGGATTGTCCTATCGCAACGATCTCAAAAGGCGGGCTGACGATGCCTGCAGCTGGATTATATCCGACGACTCCTTCTCCGTCTGGGTGAATTCGCGCGAATCGAGCCTCTTGGCCCTGTTTGGCAATATGGGCTTCGGGAAGACAATGACAACAGCCTTTGTCGCAGACACCTTGGAACAGCGACATCTCACGGTGTGTGATTATTACTGCAAAGACGAACAGGAGACAACGAAGCTTGGGAACATCTACCGCAACATCCTGGCGCAAATCCTCAGGCAAAAGCCCAGTCTCAAACGACGCTTTGGGGACTGGTACGACAACGAGAGCACAAGGGGTACAGACCCAACGCATTTCGACGACAAATTGCGCAAGTTATTGTACGAACTCATTTCGTCATTCTCGACGCCGCTTTTTATCGTGTTGGATGCGCTCGACGAGTGCGAGGCCGGTCCTCGAAAGGAGCTATTGTCCCTGTTTGGAGAGCTGATGAGAGATAACGCGCGGCTGAAGGTGTTCGTATCCTCGAGATACAATGACGCCGTCGAGGACGATTTGCCATCTAAGTTCACCACCCGGATTGAGTTGCACCCGACCCAGGATAGAGACCGTGCCATCGCCGCATATCTTATCGCTAACACCAATGTTCCCGTCGCATTTCATTCGAGAGTCGTAGAAGAGCTCGCTTCCAGGGCCGATGGGTCGGCCATATGGCTGAAGATTGCCATTGCGTACGTGGCGGCATCACGCATCAAGAGTTCCGAGGGCCTGAGGATCGCCTTGAACCGACTCTCTTCGTCTAAAGGGCTCACCGAATTGTACGGTAATCTCTTCAGCAAAACCTGCGAGATATCGGACAACGAGGCTCTGCTGGGCAGTGCGCTGGAGATCCTGGCTGTTGCCCGACGCCCTCTTACCGAGGAAGAGCTTGCTTATGCCGTCTTCACCCCTGTGGACGAGGATGCTGTGACCCTCTCTGACCTGGGCAAACTTGCTTCCAGCATCGACCTACTCAGCCTCGTTCGTCCGTTTGTCACCGCTACGGAAGGAGAAGGCGGGAAGAGTACACGGTTACGTCTCTTGCATCAATCTCTCAAAGATCTCCTCCTTACAGCTCCACCGTCGGAGTGGTGCTCTGCGAAAGAGGTGGCCACGCGAAAGAAAGGGGCACGTACTGCCGAGCTGGAGGCGAATCTACTTCAACGTTGTATCGAAAATCTCCTCTTTGAGGAGTGTGGGGAGAGCAGCCTTTATCCGGACCCCGAGAGTGAGGTCGTGTCCCCCGGGCGTCCTGAGTTGTCGCCCGAGCTTCTCGCGGGCTTCGATATATTTGGCGAAGATGAGGAAACCTCCGATTCAAGGTCTCCTTCAGTCGTGGATCCGTCTCAGCTCGGGTTTGGGAGCTTCTTCGCCTACGCTGCCGTCTACTGGACGAGCCATCTTTCTGAAGTGTCACCGGAACGGCGGCCTGATGCTAGGAAGCTGATCGACTTATGTCGAAAGGGATCGGTGCGTCTAGAAAACTGGTATGTCAAATCTAATCTGTTCTTTTCGCCACTCATGGGCTGTCTTGCAAGTCATCTTGCTCCAGTTGACATCGACCTTACTCCTGCCCACGCCAAGGAACACTAGGACAGAAGATGTATAGCTGACGTTGTTCGACAGGGTAGAGCAGTGGCGCCGGCCCTCAGGCTACTATATCCCTGAGCGCGATTTGCCCTTTCGTTCTTTCGAATACGTGGAGGTATCCTCCGGCACTTTCCTCGGTGTCACACTCGCTCATTCGGTTGACCCTCTTGTTGTCACGGCCTTATTCGGGCCCGTGGAATCAGTCACGGACCTACTCAGCATTGATGCCAGCATTTCACCCGTTACACAAAACTCTGCATGGACATACGCCGGGATCTTGCTGCGTCGGCATTACTACTCAGCCCTCAAACTTCTCATTCGACATACGGCCCTCAAATCGACGCTCTGCTCGGCCAAATTCTTTTACGCGGTACTAGACAGATTGAATGACGGAGAAGAAAGCCATACAATAAGACCAGAACTGGAAGAATTTATAGAATACCTGATCAGCGAGCTACGCGAGGATCTCCTGGACTTCGGTAACGGTCTCTTCTGCAGGACAGCAGAGTTAGGGTGCCTCATAATGATCAGGATGCTATGGAGTGCGGCCGAGAAAGACGCAGAATTACGGCAGGCTCTCCTAACGCCAACTGCGGGACACCGTGGGAGGAAAGAGAGCTATTACCACCATCAATCCATTGGCTTGGCCGCGTGCAATGGCCATGCCGATGTCGTCCGCTTCCTGTGCCAGCAGCCCGAGCTTGAGCCCCACCTGCGGTACATCAATGGCGCAGGTCTGACCGTCTTCCACCAGGCGATGAGGCTTCTCAACGAGGAGGTCTTGGTAACGTTGACTCGGCACTGGCCAGAAGGGGTCAACATCCGGGATAAGGATGGCAGCACGCCGCTATGCCGTTTTATTGACGACCGTCATCGATCGGACGAAGACCGAGTGATCACATTCACTAGGATCTTTCTGCATCAAGGAAAGGCCGATGCGACCGGCCGCGATGACATCCCGGGGGAGTCGCCGCTGTGCATCGCCGTTCGCCGCGGTCACGTAGCGCTTATGAGGATCCTCGTTGTTGAGGGCGGAGCAGATGTGGCGCAGGTCGTTACGATTGACGAGGCAACAGGAAGACCTGCTCTCGTAAAGGATATCCAGACATATGATGACGACGCGGAGGGGCTACGGGACCGGATGCTGAAGGAGCTGTGTTCTTTGCTTCCACTTGCTGTATCGGTCGAGCATCTCAGCTAAGGGCTCCTTTCCAAGGCAATGAGACGCATTATGCATGTGTCTATGACTTAGGATATCTTCTTTGTACGGTTGAAACCTCCACATGCTGGACAAATGGCGAATGTTTGAAATGGCCCCAGTCTCATGGGGTGCCAATGTGTAAAAAGGGGAATGGTCCCGCTGTCGGGTGTTATTACAAGCCGAGTGTAAGTTGTGTTACTTGTGTAACTTACACTGTTGCAAATGACGGGGCAGTTCAAGTTCCTTGTCCAAGCATGGAAGGCGGGGTGTGCAACCCTGCTGGCGAAACCGACCAGACGAGGTGCATACCCGCCCGGTGCCTTGGAAACACGCCGCGACAATCCGCGGGACCGAGCTTAAAGAGAGCACTATATCCCGCTCGGAAAAGATTCCATTTGTGCGCTGTGGATACTGAACGCAACTGCCTCTCAGTCACAGTCCTGTGTTGGCAAACCGTCCCCTCTCAACTCGCAGAAATGGCTGAAGAAGCAGGCAGCTCCCCAAGGCCGGCTCGGCCGTCAATCGCCGCTGCAATGCGGAGAAGCTCCTACCTGCAGGACCATCAGCAGTACCGCCCGCCGCACAAGCCCGAGAACCACTTCGGGATCGACACCGTGGTTGAGGACCTCCAGACCACCTCTGTCTCGCCGCGTCAAATCACTCACTACAAGGAATTCAAGGGCATACCCTCCCAGGAGAACCCTCCGAAGATTGTCGAAAGCGGCGTGAACCACGAGCTGTCGCACCCCGACTGCACGCCGCGGCCAGGTGCCCACACCAACAGACTCGTTGCAACCCTCTTCTACAAGATGACGGCTCCGAGAGTGTCGAATGCGGTCCCTTCCCCGAGACAGGCTTCTTCCCCGCGGGAGAGCCGGTTCCCTTCCCTCCACGCAACCAACCCCGATATCCCTCCGACCATGGCCCCGAGCAGCAGCCTCGATACCTTCCCGCTCGAGCCTCCCGCTACCGAGCCTGAGCCGCTCGACCATGTGTACGGCTCATACGTGTCGCCCATGTGCATCACCTCCTTCCTCCACCTCATGTCCACCTTCCCGCTGCCCCCGGGCTCGGTCGACCTTGCATCGGCGCACCGCTGTCTGAAACTCGACGACAGCCAAGATCACCATCCTGTCGTCGTCGAGCTGACCGTTTCCCCCGCCCCGTCTCTGGACTATCTCTCCCTAGCCGACTTGCGCAAACACGAGCTCATCTACCGCTTTGAGCGCGAGTGGAACGTCGACGTGGCATTGAGAAGCGACAATCTCTGGCGGCGGTACCCTCGTCTGGTGGTCTTCGACATGGATAGCACCCTTATCACGCAGGAGGTTATTGACCTATTGGCTTCCACCATCAAAAACCCGCCTGATCTTGCTGCCCGCGTGGCTGACATTACACACCGCGCAATGCTTGGCGAGCTGGAGTTCGACTCAGCGTTCCGCGAGCGGGTCAAGCTGCTCACGGGCCTGCCGGGGGACATCTTCCATGAGCTCCGGCCTGTGTTGGAGGTCACCAAGGGTGTCAGACCTCTGCTCAGGGCGCTGAAGAGGTTGGGCGTCAAGACCGCTGTGCTGTCCGGTGGCTTCTTGCCGCTTACGGGCTGGCTGGCGGGCGAGTTGGGGATTGACTACGCCCACGCCAACGAAGTGGTCATTGACGAGGCCACCGGAAGGCTAACTGGCGAAGTGAAAGGCCGCATTGTGGGCAAGGAACGCAAACGGGAGCTCCTCCTCGAGATCGCCGAGAAGGAGGGCATCCCTCTGGAGCAGGTGGTTGCCGTAGGTGACGGAGCCAACGATCTGCTCATGATGGAAGCCGCCGGCTTGGGTGTCGCATGGAACGCGAAGCCCAGAGTGCAGATGGAGGCTAGTGCCCGGCTCAACGGCGACAGCCTATTGGATTTGCTTCACCTCTTTGGCTTCACGGATGAGGAGGTTCAGGAGCTGATTGCTTGAGAGTTGAAAAGCACGTCTGGAATGTTGGGTTACGCTTTTAAGCTTCCATTGCTGTGAGTTAACTTGGGGTAGGGTTAGCATTAGCATACCTGCGGGAATCGCCGCAGTCAAGAAACATGAAGGACATGCAAACCTAGGGTACTACCGTGCTTATTGTTATCAGACGCGACGTCCTCTGGACACTATCGACGTTCGGATAATGACCACGCCGTGTCGAGTTAGCCATGGACTGTCAAGCTCGCTCGGTTTCAGCAGACACCTTAACGGTACCTCGCCGCCAGTTTCGGTGGGAAGCATGAGAGTGATATCTCCTGTCCGAGTATGGGTCAGGCAAAGACAATTGCCTCAGCCATTTCCACGTTGAGGGACTGAGGTTCAGGCAGAGGACAGTACATTCCTCCGGGCCATATCATCCCTGGGTGGAACAGCGCACATCGTTACTGCTCCAACAACTGTCAGCTGCAAGCCTTGCGCCTCCTCGTTTTTCAATGCCAACAAAAAACAAGAAATAGCTCCGTCCGTACTAGCAACTTCCTCTCCGAGGGCATCAGCTCCCTCGACGCTTGACGATCGGGACTTTGCTGAGAGCATCGACATGATAGTTCTCGACTTGTCTAGGCCTACGTCTTCAATTAAAGTCTATACTACTTAAAACCTCTAGCTTTTCCTTATTCGATGCCTAACTTTGATGCAATCGGCAGACGGACGGGAGCTGTTGTGAGTTACGCACTGGCGAAAGCTCCTCGGTCAAATTTTGGACAGATCGGGACCAGCCAGCAACCGCTCAGCGGGGCGTTTTGCAGCCTAGAAGCGGGGCTGCCTGGAGTGCTCGGACGAGCTGGCCTCGCTGGCCCACACAGCATGGCGTCTTTGGAGGTGAGGATTCTTTGCACCATTTAAGCTGCCAATCATATCAGTAGCCCTGACGGCGTATCTTCGGGAATAGATTCGGAGGATTGTTTGCCCCTAACCACGTGCCAACGCGATTATTTTGGGTCGCTGGAGAGTCTCCCCTACGCGCATCGACAGGAACACGCCTCCTGTTTGTCTCCTGGGCTGCCTTGCAAGCCTAACCGCCAGACCCATTATCGGTCGGCACGCGCTCTTTCTCTTTTCTCCCTTTTCTCTCTCTCTGTCTCTCTCTCTCGCCAGCCAGCCATGGAGACGCCCCCCGAATTCCGGCGTTGCGGGCTGTCAGCCAGCGCTGTTGCCGCCGCGTGCGACAAAGCGGCCGAGGACCGGCGCCGTCAGACACCCGATTACGAGCCCTTTGCTGCCGTGCAGAACGCCTACAAGTACTTGTGCGAAGAACTGCATTTGCAATTGGCATCCGACGATGTTGACAAACTTCGGAGCCGCATCACCAACCCCGCGTACCACGAGTGTGAAGCTCGCTTTTTGTGCGACGCACTAGGCAAGGCGATTTTCCAGAACCTGGCGAGGAAACACGCGACAGGCGGCGCACCCACGCTGGATGGCTGGCGAAAGACGTCGAAGGAGAGGAGACGGCTGCTGGCGAAGAACGGAGTCGGCAGTGAGCGACTGGCGAAACTGCGATACCAAATCGACGATTCGGAGTACTGGGAGTTGGAAGCGAAACACCTCAAGCAGATCTGGCCCCTGAAAGAAGAAGAGGCCTGGGAGAAGCGCAGAAAGGCGCTGGCAAAACGCGAGAGGGCCAAGCCCAAGAGGCTGCGATGCGAAGGCTCTCGGCGCTCTTCTCGTCTGCGCGAGCGGGAAGCCCTGGCAGGCCGGACGGGGGTCCCGTCACACAAACGCCGCGGCCAGAGGGGTGCCTGCTAATCAGAAGTACTCTCACCCCATCACAGTGCGGGGTTCGAACTTGGCAACAGGGTCCCAACACTCGCATATAAACGTCCGGGAGTCTCGTCGCAGTGTCCCGCGTCCTCCCTCAGGCTCAACATCCTTCTTCATGACCCTCTTCTTAGAGTACTCACCCTTGGTAATAAACCATGGCTCCTGAGCGTCTCGACCCAGCAACAACCGCCGCCTCCGAACCCACCGCCTTTGACGGACGCAGAGGCTGCCATCGACACGGAGTCGGAGCCGGACACAGACTACGCAACTGACACCGAGTCGGAGCCGGACAAGAAGTCGGGCGACGAGGAAGAAGCGGACGAGGCGGCCAACCTTGACGCCTCCAGCGACGCTCCACAGAACGCTGCTGGGCTACCGGGGAACCTTAGTCGTGTTGCTCTGTTCTTAGGCAACTTCAAAGGGTTCCCGGACATTGCCACGTTTCCTGAAAACCGCAGATACTTGGTCGCGCCCCCGTCCCATCCGCCTGCGAAGTGGAAAGGGTGCATTAAAGGGCGACGTCATTGGGCCCCTTTTGGCCCTACGAGTCGGAGAAGACATGTACGATCCCATGGCCGGCTGGGTGCTTGGTTCCTCGCGTGACGACGACTGTGATCTGCGACTCTCCAAGGACAATCGTTTTGGCGTCAGCAGGAAGCACCTTCGATTTGACTTTGAGCTCGCTTCGAAACGCCCACGCATCACTGTGTCCTCCCGGAATCGCCTGCGCGTTATTGTGCACCAGACCCCTGGGGACCGCGTAGTCATCCTCCAGAAAGGAGAGTTATTGACGATCAGGACCTCGAACCCTATCACCGTTGACTTCAGCTGGCATAGCTTCGAGGCATGGTGTCCAATTATGTCCCCTGATGAAGAAAGCCAGTACTGAAGCTGGTCAGACATCACTTCTGGAAAGTACTTCGCCGCCAAGGAACCGCGTTGGCGAAGCACGGACAGCGCCAGCACGGTCTTAAGTCGATGGGAAGACTACAAGACCCAATACGCATTACTCGAGAAGCTTCGACATGTGAGTTGAACCCTCTATCCTAACATGCTCCCGGCGCTGGATACTAACGAGCTGTTTGCCACACCAGCCGCATATCGTCAAAGTCCTCGAGCTGCTGCTTGACAAGAAGCAACCGCCGTGGCTGATCATGGAATACGTCCAAGATAATCTGGACACTGTCCTGATGGGACTGGAACTCATCGCCTCGTTGTCCTGTCTCAACTCCTACAGGCAGTGGCCTACATACACACGCGGGACTTTGTTCACCTCGACATAAAGCTCTCTAACATTCTTGTTCAATGGGACGGCAACGAACCCGCCGTTAAGCTCGCCGACGTTGACACCACAAGAACCACCAAGACCCTTCCCACCATGACGACCTTCGTCGGCACCCCCGTGCACATGGTTCCGGAGATCTGGAGACACGAGGGACCGTCCGGCAAGCCAACAGATATGTGGACTGTCGGACTCGTGGCACTGCAGCTCTTCACCACCTGGCGATCGGAACAAGATACGTCATAGGTTTATGGAGAGCACGGGATCCGTGCACAATATGCTGGGACGCGACGTCTGGATCAGAGATGTTCTCATGCGCCACATGGCAACAGCGCCTTCCTACATTCAGCCTCTGCTGGAAGCACTGATTCACGAGGGCCCCAAGGCCACATGGACTGCCGACGAGGCCTTTGACTGGATGGAGGAAAACATCAAGAGCCGCAAGGGTCCCAAGAGGAAGCGCGACTCCTCCGTGGGGAGGCTGGAGGCCCCCAGAGAAACCCGGAGCGAGGCACCTAGCTTTAGCTCGGACCTCGCGGAATGGGCTCGGGCCAGCATTCCAGCCGTGTGGGTTCCGCCCTCCCCTGTGGCCGGCTCCGGGTCTTTCCATGGAGAGGAAGGGCCTGCAGGCAAAGACCACGGTTCCCCCGGAACGGACTTCAGCCAAGCCGTGCCACCGTGGCAGCCAAGGCCCAACGTTGCCCCGGAGCCCGTCAGCGGTGGGACAACGCCGACGGAGCGGGCCGGTGCGGTGCCAAGCCCGTCTCTTCCAGACACTCTGCCATGGGGAAGCGTCCCGTCCAGCTCTGACGACGGCAGGGAAGCGACACCGAGCCGGCAGGCCAATTCAATGCCGAGCCCCTCCCTTCCCGACACTGCGCCGTGGGGAAGTGTCCCAGCCACTCCAGCGGACGGCGCGGGTGCGAGCAGCGAAGCTGAGGACTAGAGTACGGTCGGCCAAGGGGATCAGAGCATTCTGCGCGAGCCAGCCGATGGTGGCACATCTCGTTTGCTACGGCTGTGTCGACTCACTGTAACCTACGATCCCGAAACCGGCATTCTCGAAATATACCCCACCTTCATCGTTCGGTCAGACAGACCTGGGCAACCAATTGAGTACTACAACTCTAACATGGGTAGCTTGAACTGGAGGGACAACAGGGAATCGTTCGTGCGAGGTGCTACCGCGTTCAGGGACGCCAGAGATCTAGAGAAGGAAATCCGTGACGGGGCTATCAGGGAGGCGAATCTCAAGGCTCGGGGATTAGGAGCAGGCTTATAGCAAATCCTTCTTCGATTATGGTCAGGATGCTAATAGCATGTGACAAGAGCATATACTAGGCTTCTACGGTATTCGAATTAGCGGCAAGTGGGACTCCAAACGGCAAGAGAACTGATTTGTAAGTTGGAGTTGAGGGCGCCAAGGGCGAAGGTAGGAGATGTGATGGGTGGCTGACAGAGGTGGTCAATGGGGTGGACGCAAGGGGAGTTATTCCTAGGTATGTTATAGTTGTTCTACTGTATATTTACTATCTTATAACCCTGGAACGGCACCTGCTTGAGAGTGAATAACTGTTTAAGTTGATATGAGGGTTGACGTCGAACCAAGCACAATGCAACGCCGTGAGCTAAGCCAACCCTAACCACGTCGTTCCCACATCCCTGTCGGAATTTAGTTGTGGTGTGTCCAGGAATGTTAATAAGGCTTGCTCTAGAGTCACACCAGGCTTGGAATTCCGAATGCTTGAGAGCAGCATGATCATTCGCCAACCTTGATGCTCATTTGTGCCTCTCAATGTCGCGCAGTGGCGCAGAAAGCTACAGTGCATGTATCAACCGAGCAGGGCCTGAAGGCTCCCCAGCGAATCAAGTCGGTGCATGAAGAAATAAGACCAAGCAGCGGCCCAGTTTGCCACAATGGTCGAAGCTACGACGACACCTCCGCGGCAAACAGAGTAGTAATAGGTCGAGGCGCTATGAACTACTCGATACTCGGCCATTGACCGCTGCACCTAAAGGAGTGAGAGACACAATGCTGGGGGTTGGCACTTTGACTCACGCCGCAAGATGATCGGCTCGCATCCAGAATCGTTCACAGCATCGTGAGTCGTGACATCGTCAAGGTTGGGCTGAAAGCGCATGCCTAACCAACAAGATTCTTGCAGTGCCCGGCATGTCCCACTTCTTGATCCACGCGCCATGGCATGCTTTGCAACGGACAGTGGAACCAGGTCGACCAAACCACCAGGACGGAAGAGGGGCTCAAAGAATCGAGGGGCTGAACGTATCGGTCGGTTGCTGGGGTGTCATGGGAGGGGCAGTGAGGAACTGGTAACTTGCGCTTGATCGTTCAAACATCATGAGGAACTGGGGGTATTGTATTTCACAAAAAACGGGCAATCCTATTTTCATCATAATGGAGTACTTATGCGTGGAAATTTGAACCTTATCTTCTCAAAAATCTGATTCTTTTGGTGGGCGCATTGTGTTGCATGCGTATGGCGAGGCCTGATCGCGGGGCTTGGGCGGCAAGGCCGGTCTGAAAGCCGCCGAGATTTGAGGGCTTGCCCCACCAAAGGTTTTTTGTGCCCCGCAACCCACTCGCCCCTCCTCGACCCGCCTTAAAAAGTTCAACCCCTCCTTAAATTTGCTCTACCTTTTCCTTCTTCCCTTCCTCGTCGGCATACCTGATTCAAGCAATCACCTGCCACTTCAAAGTGCGTATCCCATCGTCGCGACGCCTCCATACAACGAGTTCATTTGTATCTGACCTTCTTCTCGCAGCCTTTACTCAAGCGCAAGTCGCCAGTCCTTTCTCAAAAATCAACTCAAAACCGTCAAGATGGGGTAAGTCGCGCCTCCTCGCCGTTCATGCCTGAGCACCGCTTGGGAACATCACTAACTCTATCAACAGCAAGGACGACAAGACCCACATCAACGTGGTCGTTATCGGCCACGTCGACTCTGGCAAGTCCACGACGGTAAGCATCACCATCACTCAATCTTGGGACGCCCGCCCGCTTCACCTGACCAGTAGCTAACAGGCTCACAGACTGGTCACTTGATCTACCAGTGCGGTGGTATCGACAAGCGTACCATCGAGAAGTTCGAGAAGGTCAGTCTTGCGCTCGATTCCTTTTCTCCATTCTTATTCATTTGCCCAAAACCATCCTCCATTTCTGTCTGTCTTTCCGATTTCCCGCTCTGCGATTCTGTCTTTGTGTGTGGCCACCCCTCCCTTATCAAGGCGGGGAGGGGCACAAGACGTAGCAGATAAGCAAATTTTCGTCGAGCACAGACCCGCTCCTCACCCCGCTCTTCGACCCCGCCAAACCCGACGGCCCTGTTGGAATATCGGTGCCAAGGACTGGGCTAACACACACAACAGGAAGCCGCTGAGCTCGGCAAGGGTTCCTTCAAGTATGCGTGGGTTCTTGACAAGCTCAAGGCTGAGCGTGAACGTGGTATCACTATCGATATCGCGCTGTGGAAGTTCGAGACCGAGAACTACATGGTCACCGTCATTGGTACGTGCCGCTCTTGGGGCGCTCTCTGCCGTCAACCCCCTGTGCGCCTACCCCTGCTAACACATGCCGCCCACAGATGCCCCGGGCCATCGTGACTTCATCAAGAACATGATCACTGGTACCTCCCAGGCCGACTGCGCTATTCTCATCATTGCTGCTGGTACTGGTGAGTTCGAGGCTGGTATCTCCAAGGATGGCCAGACTCGTGAGCACGCCCTGCTTGCGTACACCCTTGGTGTCAAGCAGCTCATCGTCGCCATCAACAAGATGGACACCACCCAGTGGTCTGAGGCCCGTTACCAGGAAATCATCAAGGAGACCTCCAACTTCATCAAGAAGGTCGGCTACAACCCGAAGACCGTTCCCTTCGTTCCCATTTCCGGCTTCCACGGCGACAACATGCTCAAGCCCACTGAGAACGCTCCCTGGTACAAGGGCTGGGAGAAGGAGGGCAAGGGTGGCAGCAAGGTCACCGGCAAGACCCTCCTCGAGGCCATTGACGCCATTGAGCCCCCCAAGCGTCCCACCGACAAGCCCCTCCGTCTGCCCCTTCAGGACGTGTACAAGATCGGCGGTATCGGCACGGTCCCCGTCGGCCGTATCGAGACTGGTATTCTGAAGCCCGGTATGGTTGTTACCTTCGCTCCTTCCAACGTCACCACGGAAGTCAAGTCGGTTGAGATGCACCACGAGCAGCTCACTGAGGGTGTTCCTGGCGACAACGTCGGCTTCAACGTGAAGAACGTCTCCGTCAAGGAGATTCGCCGTGGCAACGTCGCCGGTGACTCCAAGAACGACCCCCCTGCTGGTGCCGCTTCTTTCGAGGCCCAGGTCATCGTCCTGAACCACCCTGGTCAGGTCGGTGCTGGCTACGCCCCCGTGCTCGACTGCCACACGGCGCACATTGCCTGCAAGTTCGCTGAGCTCCTGCAGAAGATCGACCGCCGTACTGGTAAGGCTGTCGAGGAGAACCCCAAGTTCATCAAGTCTGGCGACGCCGCCATCGTCAAGATGATTCCCTCGAAGCCCATGTGCGTTGAGGCTTTCACCGAGTACCCCCCTCTCGGTCGTTTCGCCGTCCGTGACATGCGTCAGACCGTCGCTGTCGGTGTCATCAAGAAGGTTGAGAAGGCCGTTGGTGGTTCCGGCAAGGTCACCAAGTCCGCTGCCAAGGCTGCTGGCAAGAAGTAAACAGCTTCTTCCTGATACAGCAAAAAAATTCGCTTCGGGGATTCGGGGCCGCCGAGCTCCTACGAGAGATCGCGTCGCGGGTTTAACCGCAATGCAACGATGCCATGAGCACTCGTCGTTTTGGTATGGGGCACAAATGAGAGGGAATGGTCTGGGTGTTCTTGCATCAAAACTTCTCTCACCATGTGCTTAGTACAAAATAGAGTCTCCTAGAAGTGATCACGAAAGTTACGATTCCCAACCTCTTGTCCTCCAAGAACCTCGTGAAATCATGGTGTGATCATGGCAATTAATCCCCCTTCCACCTCTTGAGGGACTTTCTTACTTCCATTCATGATCCATTCCCGGTCACTAGTATAAGGTGTACAGACAACATGCAGCGAACTCTTCGTGTTGACGGAAGGAGGTCTGCATTGCCACGCTTCGTTTTGAAGTTCCTTCCTTGGGCCAGGTAGATTGAACATTTCTGTGTTCTCGACATCGCTGCGCCAGCATTGTTCTTCGCCTGGTCGCCGAGTAGCCTTTTGACTCTCTACCTATCTTACACAAGTGTTGTATATATGTACATGTACATGTCTTGATATCCTTCTATCATGCAGGATTTCTAACGCGGTTCTATGATCGCTTTGCATGCCATTTCAGGCTTCCTGTCTCGTTGATGATGCCGGACGCAACATGCAGGAACTCTTTCAGCTCGGCGGGCTTGGCTATTGTTTCACCGTCGCCTCCTGTGTTGGCCACGTGATAACGGAATTCGGAGAATTCGCGGGAACGGCGCTGCGATGATCTTCTCTGCATCTCGTCCGCGTCGACTATCGCGTAGCGGTCAAGAGAGTCGATATCGGGCTCGGATTGTGCTGGTGGTGCGGGTTTGGGGGGCTCGACGCGCACCGCTTCCAGCGAGAGCTCGGACCGTTCGCCGCCGCGCCGGCCGCCTTGTATGCTGGTGTACCGCAGCTTGAGGCCCTCGTACTCGGCGGTCACGGTGCGCTGGATCTCGATCGAGGAGAGGTGGTAGTCTACCGCTACTGTGTCATCGGTGCGACCATTGTCCTGGTTCCTCGTGGAAGAGTTGTCGTTGTTTTTGTTTTTGTTGTTGTTGTTGTTAGTAGTAATAGTGGTGACGGGAGAGAGGAGACGTCGCGGAAGACGTACGCCGAGCAGGACGGGCGGGGTACTGAGTTTACCGTCCCATGGGCGCAGCGTGGACTTGGAGATGAAGGTGAGGAGTGACGGAACGTGGTGTTCGATGCTTGCGCCGGGGAGGACGAAGTACCGTTGCTGGACGACGCGTGCGTCGACGGCGGCCGCGGGGAAAAGCACGTCTCCCATGAAGGTATCTGTGATGGCGCGCAGGGACATAAGGCGGATGACCTCCGTGTGGTCGGCTTCGATGCGGAGTTCGAGGTTCGGAGCAGAGGCGATGAGCTCAGGGGAGATCTCGGGAGATGGCGTGAAGCGGATGACGCTTATGGTGTGCCACAAACCTTCTTCTTGGAGGTTGGTGGGTAAGTTCAGGCTGCCGAGGGCGGGCAGTGCAGGGAGGAACGTCCGGGGAAGAGAAGTGTCTAAATGTGATGGAGGTTCGGATACTGATGCTGGAGTGACTGAGGAGAGTTGTTTTCGGCGCGCAAAGACGACATGCCCAAAGACGGCGCTGGTGTCGGTCTGCAGCTCGGAAGACCAGCCAGGAGCGCCGTCTATTTGGTTCTCCTGCCGCATTATAGTATTTTCGGTCCCATTGGTGTAAGGGAGGATATCCGCTGGTATCGCGGCTTGTGTATTGGAGTCCATATTCCAATGAGTCAGATGAGGCAGGGCAACGGTCCAGCGCTCCCACTTCTCGGACCGCTCCTGCCAAGGCAGCATTTGCGCGTGGTTGTTGAGCATTGGGAGGTAGCGGCCTTGGTCGGCGCGACCGCTCGACACTTGTAACGTCGAGGACGCGCGGGGCTTTGGTCCGTATGCATCCCGCAACAACCGCAGCACGGTCTCTGCAGCATTTTCGAGGTCCTCGCTTCGCTCTGGCATGTGAATCCAGGTCACCACAACCTGGGAAGATCGTCAGCCACAAGTACCGACCCGACCTCGAAACGGACGGATTTCGCGTACCTTCCTGCCCGACGGGTCAAGGCGAGTCACCGTGTTGGTTAGGCGCCCAATCTCCTCCAAGAACACCGGGTTGAAGGGGTTCCGGCGAGACGAGATCGACGGAGAAGTCGCTTGTTCGAGCGTTCGAAAGCACATTGTTGACTCGGTCGAGGATCGTTTCGGCCGCGGGCTTGGGGGCCACGATGGAGAGCAAACGAGATTCGCGAATGAGCTTGACCTGTTTCACACGCGCCAGGACTTCCCGCCGCGTGCCTTCAAGCCATCTTCTGTTGCCACCTGTTCAGATCATGGCGTTAGTCTGAGGAGGCAGCTGGAAAGCTGAAAGGGACCCTTTTAAACGTACTGGTCAAGAGGGAGAACTCGACGTCGCTTAGCGTGACACTGACGTGGCCGTCTTTGTCAATGACCTTTTCGTTGGATACACCCCAGCATTCACGCATCAGCCGAACTGCGAGCCTTTCCTTTGGGGGCATGCCCTTGGTGATGTATCCTTCCAGATGTGGCTCGACATCTTCTAGGGCATTCTCAACGAGCGGCACCCAGGGCTGACGCGCCAGCACCCAGGGAGGTTCTTCCAAGCTTTCCTCCACCTCCGCCTCCGCATCCGCTTGCGCCTCCGCCTGCGCCGCCGCGTCCTCCTCCTCTCGTTCAAGCTGCCGTAGCTGCCGGTACTCTCTTATATAGTGCATCAGCTGTGGGTTTGTAAACCCATCGATGAGCATGTGCTTGAGTTTCCTGAATTCTTTGTCTGGGAGAATTTGTGTGTCCTTCGGCTTCAACTCATGTATGTTGAGGAGTACGTCTTCAAGCGCGACATCGGTACTTCCAGTTGGCAGTAAACTGTCCGGGTCGACGGGCGCGCCCGCACTGTCGTCTGAGGCCAGTTGGGAAGGATGCTTCTTTTTCAGAGCCTGCTTCTCCCGCAGCACGATCGCCGACCCAGGCTTTCCGAGAATGTCGACAGAGAGCCCTTCTCGCTCCGGGGCGAGAAGATGGCCACGCGACTTGTATGTCCGGGGTTCGGGTGGAGGCAGCGCAGGGACTGGCCAGAACGGTGTATTGCCTTCACTCTGGTCCTCTGCCTCTATGTCTCTAACGCCGATGAGTTCGGGACTGGGTTCGCCGTCGCTTTCCTCACCATCGCTTTGGCGGCGGGCTTCGTCAAGTTGGGCGAACGGATCGGCCTGGCTGCGTATGAACCGCCGAGTCGCACGAGCAGGCGGGACGGCGATGGCAGGAAACGGGAGCCGCTGAGCGGACGCGGCCAGCTGGAGTCGGCATCTTAGGCAGACAAAGCTGGCGCTTGCCGTCAACCTGCGGCTGAGCATCGAAAAATAGTGATTGAGCGGGCCCGTTGCTGCACCGCCAGGACTTCATCTGTTAGAGTACGCTGTGAAGAGAATCCATGGTCAACCAAGAGCGTGGGTGGACCCCTACTGTCGTCTCTGCGACAAAAGATTTTGGGCGGATCCGTCGCTTCTAGGCCCCCTGTTCTCGGCTCCCGGCAGGCAAACTCACATACAGACGCGACATTGACAAGGGCCGGACGCGGTGCGGACCCCGCGTCGCGCAACTCCATTACTACTATTACTACTTCGTAGTTAAACTGCAAAGCCAAATAATCCTTGGTGCGTGATGATTTGAGTGCTGCACTTCCTATTTTGATAGTTACCAGTCTTACGCAAACCATTCAACACCAAGTCCTTTCTTCAACTACAGCTTTGTGTTTGAGTTTGCCCGGAACATCGTTACCACAAGAGCTGCGGGGGGATATTACACGTCATCATGCCACCCCAGCAGCGGCGACGGCGCCAGGTGGGTTTTCCATACGGTTGGTTTGCTAGGGAACCGCAATCTGACTAGGGGCTGCGGCAGGCTGTCCAGGATGATGAAGACGAGGATATGCAGCAACAAGCTCTGCAGAGCGAGGACGATGCCGACAACGACGGTGACACGCGGATGGACGATGTGGGGCATCGAGACGAAAGGAGCCAAATGATCAAAAACCTGGTGCGCTATGCCCTCGCCTGCGAATACTCGCGAGCGCCAATTCGGAGAGACGGCATTAGGGAGAAGGGTACCGGGTACGAGCCAACCTTGGGTGGGAACGGTAGCTGACACTTCTCAGTGCTTGGTCCCAACAATGGTCGATTGTTTAAGAAGGTGTTCGCCGGCGCACAAAGGCAATTGCGGGCGACATTCGGTATGGAGATGGTGGAACTACCCACTAAGGATAGGAACCTGATGACAGCGGAGCAAAAGAGAAAAGGTATGCTGCGTAGCTTAGTGCAATGTCACTCGCGACGACTAACGCTTCTTCGGTAGCCGCCAAATCGCAAAGTCAGAAAGAACCAAGCTCTAACGCATACGTTCTCGTCTCCGTTCTCCCGGAGGCCTATAGAACCCCAGCTATCATAACCCCGTCCAAAATTCAGTCGGCCGATGGCGAGGCCTCATATGTCGCGCTCTACACCATGATAATCGCCATCATCACCCTAAGCGGCGGCGAACTGAGCGAACCTCGCCTCCGCAGACACCTGACGCGGCTCAATGCCGTCGAGAACATGCCCGGTATGAATCCGAATGATGGCACTTCACCAAATGAAAAGACGGATCTGGTTCTCCAGCGCATGGTCAAGCAGGGATACTTGGTGAAAGTGACCGAGTCCAAAGCGATGGGCGATGACGACTCGACGACATGGCATGTCGGACCACGCGGCAAGGTGGAGGTTGGTCCGGAGGCGATTGCGGCGTTTGTGCGGACGGTCTACGGCGGATCCAATGATGAGCTCGAGAAAAAGCTGCAAGTGAGCCTCAAGATTAGGGAACGGAAACCGGGAATTCCAGAGACGGTCGGCGAAGACGCCGAGGACGCGGACCGGGCGCCGCCTGACGGTGACCCAGGGCCGAGTAATCGCCGCAGGGGGAGGGGAGACTGAGGTCGAGAATGAAGACAGCGGGTGGATCGTTGTAGTCCGAGACGGACAGCTTTGCGGAGTCAGGGTATCATCAGGTGTGTATTGAGTTGCTATAGGTTTGGGTCTTACTGGTCACCAGCGAGAGCTTGCTGGTTCGCGGATAGCTGTAATGTAACCACCGGAGACCTTCTGGCAAGGACCCATTGACCGCGACGGTCAACCGCATTGCGGCACACGCATGCCATCTCGATTCCATCAACTGTAACCAACTCTCGGCTTTCCTTGGCCTGCCCCTGTCTGGCCTGCCCCTGTCTGGCCTGCCCCAATCTTTGGATTCAGTGTGTCTCGTCTCCAGCACAATCTAACATGCACTCATGATCCGTTCTGTCGCGGTGGGACGAAGATCTCGTCACCTTCCCGGGGCGGCGGGGGACCGACGGGTTGTAGCATCTTCTGTAAGGACGCTGCATTAGCAATCACCGGGAGCTTATCAACGATGGGGATACCGTGCGAAAGGGATTACATACACGAATCATCCGGCTGCGAACTTTTGCTACCGGCTCGTTCTCTGCAAGTGCGATGTACGACAGAAGCGGTGGGTGTCCGGCGATACTCGAGTATGTGTCGCGGTGGATGTTGGTCTTCCACTCCCAGCTCGTCGTGTCTGGGTGACCGGTGCCGACGTACTTGGCCTGGAGCCGCTCGAGTTCTTGCTGGGTACGGAGTTTGTCGGCCTATTCGAGGTAATCGTCAGTGTTTTTCCGAAGAGACTTGGAACTGAGAGGGGGCATACCATCTTTGGCTGTTAACTACCTGTACAGATAGCGGTGGCTGATGATGGGTTGAGGCACATGGAAGAGAGAATTCCAATCGAACGGAATGCGACAATTCGTCAATCACTGCCCAGGGATGCCAAGCAGCGCTAAATTTTGGATGAGCCGCTGCGGCCCCACAACTCCGTCTCGGCGCTGCCGCTCGGCCCCTCGGTGTGCTTTCCCGACTCACCTGAGCTTCAAGATTGCCTTGCCCATTCGCATCGATTCCGCTCAACGTCAGTGATATTAGGAGCTTACCAGGCAGAATACTAACTCTTCAATCCTAACGCTTCATTGCCGTTTCACTCACTCCTAATACATCCAACGCAACACCAAGTCTCCGTGCCGACATCTTGGTTTGCGTAGCTCCTCTCGCTATTGAAAGAGTTCAGAGGCGACATCTTCAAAACCTCCTGCACAAACGCTACACTGGAACACCGTCCCAACCCACTCAGCCGCCAGACCATGCCAGAACTACTCCTCCAGTCCGCCTTATCGGCCTTCAAATCCAGGCAGCTCGCGGCCGAAGCCGCCCAAATCAAAGCCAACTGCCGCGCCCAGCATGGGGACACTGATTCCCTTGTCTCCTGCCCGCAGTGCTATGAGACCCTCCTGGAGGCTCTCCGACTCCGGTATCTCAGTGCAAGTTCTGCCAGCGCCGGGGCCATGAACTTCTCCAAGGACCAGCAGCAGCGATGGCAGCAGGCGCGGGAATGGTTCACCTCCCGTCGCGCCTTTCTCTCTGCCCTCGATCTCCTGGTCGATTCCGCCAAGCAATACGAGATCTCGCCGCAGACTATCGACGACCGTGTGCACGAGGAGCGGAGCAGGTGGTATGCTGATCGGGTACGCAACTCGCTCCTTAGGTTAATGGTTGAGGATCCCGCGCGCTGCGGGGCCGTGTTTGAGAAGCTGGAGGATCTGTCTATGCCGACGACGGCAGGGAGGGGTGTCGGCCCCGTGGGGCTGGCGAGAGATGTTGCTGAAATTCTGAGCTCAGGGCCGCTGGCGGATGAGCAAATAGCCGATGACCTCCCGGAGAAGCTGGCGGCGGCGACGGATCGGGCGGAGAGTGTGGAGGTTCTGAGGGAAGCGTTCTTCACTGCCGAGGACGGCACAGTACCGGAGGATCATCGCAAGTATCTCGATATGCTCACGCAACAAGACATGACGATGGAGCAGGTGGTGGACCGGATACTAGAGGAGAGGCAGGCAGCGGCGGGGGCAAGGGGGCAGACGGAACAGCTCAGCCAGCGGCTTGATGAGCTACGCAGGGCGAGAGCGGCGCATGAAGCGCAGAAGTCAAGACGAGCACAGAGGAGAGAGAGTCTTGCTCAGATGAAGGTCCCAGACGAGCTGTACGAGCTTCCTCGCTGCGCAGTATGCGGGGATGTACCGAGCACGAGTGACTACTTCTGCTGCAGTATATGCACCATCCTCGTGGCGGCAGGGGTGCAGGAGGAGCAGACGGTGTTCTGCTCTTCGACATGTGAAGCAAAAGGACATGTTAGCTCGCTCCCTTTCCCCTAACGATTTACCACGCACTGACAATCATCACAGGCCTCACACACAGAGAAGCATATCTGCGCCTCTTTCCTCAAATGCATCCAAATACAGCAAAGCGCCCAATCAAACATCGCAGGGGATGGGGACATGCACATGGAGGAAGCCCCCCCAGCGTCTAGCGACCTCCGGTTCTGCAAAGAGTGCCTCGCCTCCCTGAAGAAGTCTGCAATGTGGTGCAATCTCGCCTGCGCCGAGGCCAACTTTAAGGCTCACAGCGAGGAGGTGCACATACCAGAACGGAATAATCTAGCCACGGGTGTAAATGGCAAGAACGACGACACCGGTGATATTCGGTTTCTCACGACCTCACTAGCTGAGGCGATCAGGGAGTGGGAGGGGAGGAATCGTGTAAGGTTACAAGGTTCGGTTTAAATGACGGCCGGAATGCAACTATTTTCGCATATTGATACCGACGGTGATGCTGTTGGAACCTGGTGCAAACGTGCGGGCCATGCCATCTGCTTGAGATACTTTGCAAGATCTAGCGCGTAAAGGAGCCCAGGAGACCGGATTCAAGATGTTGGGACACAACTTCGACATCGTGTTGATCTAGCAACATTGGAGTACCTAGTAAACATCGGCCCACTGAACCAGAAGCCCGCTTAGTCTGCGCAAGTGCAAATACGCAGTTTGCTCTATTCGCCTCTTTACTGAGAGAAGGTAGAAATGGAAAATGTATGAAGAGGGGCCCGCCGGGCAGTTAATAAACAGATTTCCTCCTTCTCCAGGCCTTTTGTCCAGAAGATAATCTCGAAGAAACAATGCGACTCGGGAAATGAGGAAGGGGTATGGGTATTCCATGTCCGGCCATATCAAAAGTAAAAACGTGGTACATGAGAACGGGTAAAGTTTGTCTCAGAGCTCGCATTAGCCTCCAACGTCCACACATACCAAGACTCTCATGAGTTCCAAGTCGGTGTTATTGGGGTATCTGCTGTGAGTCCGCTGATCTGTAAAATTCGTTATGAAATGATGTCGTGTAAGACCAATGGGTAATGACATATGTGAAGGAAAACCGAGCTGGGTATATGTCCTCGCGACTTGGGCTCAGTGGTTGAAGGATATAAAGATCGTGAAGATGGTTGGAATGAGGCGCTGGCATCCGGCTCCGCTCCTGCCGATCGCGAGGGATAAAAGGTTGACTGGCCTCAGGAGAGAATATTCGACACCAAGCAGCAAACAGGCTCGCCGTTCTGTCCTTTACTTGCACCGTTTCTACCGATGTGCCTTCGCTCCATGCTGCTTAAGTCGGCTTGTTCTCCAGCCCTCGTACCACTGCTCCCTGCTGAGCTCACGGAGCTCGCCACGCCACTCGCTGAACACCGTCTCCTTGAGGCGGAGGAAGTCGCAATGCTCCTCGTTGTAAGGGTCGGCGAAGCCCCACGGGAATTGCCGGCCGACCACCTCAGGTTCGTAGATGTCCGGGCTCAGTATTGACATCGGCAAGAAGGGTACCTCGTCCTCCTTGAGACTCTCCTCTGATGCCTTGTGTCGACGGACGGAACCACTGGAGAGTCGCTTGGGCTCGGGCTCCGTCTCTTCCGGGTCTTCCGTCTCTCCCCCCTGGATTGGCAGCTCCTCCTCCTCGCCCTTTTCCGCTTCACCGTGTTCCGAGGCTTGGTCCTCGCACTCTTCCACAATTTTGCTCGAATCAGCAGTCGAGTCGCCCTCGTCGTCGAGCCCGAGGGCCTCCAGCGGATCTAGATTTGCCCTTTTGAGGCTCTCTGCAACGGTTCGCTTCAGCATGCTCATGTGCTTGGTGGTAATGGTGTCGGCCTTTGAGATGACTGGAATCACAGTCGTCTTGCCCTGCAGCGTCCGCAACACCTGCAGATCAAGGTCCTCGTCCAGACCGCCCAGGATACGAGCATGCGGGTAATGCCTCCCGCCATTATGCTGTCCGTTCGCCGCCGCGGCTTTTGCGACTGCGAGATTCCGGTCAAGCCGCGAGGGATCGAGGATGAGGAAGACAGCATGGATGTGAGTATCCTGTACGCCGGGAGAGCGCACAACCTTCATTTCCTCGGCGAAGGTCTCCTCGAATTTGTCCTCGAGGAAACTGGATATCTCGCGGAGCTGCAGGTCCACCACATTTCTCTCCAGTCCCTCGGAATCCCACAGAGTCAGACCGATACGTTCGCCATCAATCTCGGTCTCTAGGTAGTGAGGAATGAAGTTCCCGGAAGGTGGCGCCCTAGGAAGATCCTCCTGCTCCATCGTGTTTTTGGATCGCTTCTTTGCGGGGAGGGCAAGGGCCGTCTTGAGGAACTCGAGGAAGGATGTCTTCCCGGAATTCGAGGCACCAACGATGAGAATGCTGGGCGAAGATGAGTCATACGGAACACAACGGATGACGGCGCAGTAACTTACTTGAAGGGAGTAGGGTCCTTCCTCCTGCGCACCCTTCTAGGGCTGTTGATGGTACTTACGGCGCTGCTCGCATAGCTATACCGGCCACGGTGTGCCATGCTGCCGGTATGCGCATAGGGGTCAAAACCACCGTAGGGGATCGGGGGCGCGGGAATATTGATTGTAGAGCGCGATGGTTCCATCGAAGGCCGGGGCGCGGGACCCGAGAATTCTTCAGCTTTGCCAGAAACAATCGCGACAGAGTCGGGACGGGCCTCGCCACCGAGTCCAAGTTGGGGGGCGGGGGCCCCATTGTAGAGAACGGGAAGGCGCGGCGGAGACTTGGGGATGGCATCACGTTGGCGCTGGAGCTCCTGCTCCCTAGCGGCCTGCTGCCTTTTCAGGTCGCTGCTTTTGCTACGTCGTAGTAACATGCCGAAACTTGTAGAGCGACGAGGCGGGGAGGTCATTGCTTGGTCTCCTTCTCAACTGACTCGACTCGCGACTACAAGTGCAGTATAAACTGACGGGTGCTGCGGACGTTGGATATGGATAGCGAATGAAGGAAGCACGCAGATCTGAAGGAATACGATCAGCGGTCAGGAGCCCTTGCAAGAGACGCGACAGACATCATCTACCTTAGCCAGGACTGGCTTTCGGGCCCGGATAGAATAAATGGCAAGCGCGAAACGCTGTTCCGCTACGAGATAAACGGGAAGGCACGTTGCTGCCAGAGATCTTCGAGAGGCGGCGTGCTGACAAGGTGTTAGTCTGCCGTCAACTGCATCTCATGACTATAGGTTTTTCCCTGAGCGAACGGATGAGCCATTGGTTCCAAGGTATGATATTGCGACACTGTTTTGCAAGTAATACGAGCGACGCTGGACAGCTATCAAGCTCCCATTCAGCCGTTGTGTGTACCAGGTGTCAACTTGCGCAACAAGATCTCTTCAGGCAGAAACAGAGCAGAAAGCGCCTAAGCAGACACGAACTTACTTGATTCTCGTCCCTATCAACTCCGCTGGCCAGGGTCGGGTGGCTGAGCTTGGGGATCGAGCAGGTTCCGAACAGTGCTGAGTCGCACGCGCGTACTTGGTGGAGACTTGCTCGCAAGAAACGAACGACAGGCCAAGTCGGTGCGGCCGAGGTATGGAGGTAGAGAAAGATCGAATCGAAAGAGACAAGAAGTGTGGTGACGCAGTCTTCCAAAACCTGATGACAAGCCGACAATGCGACAGTCTTGCAGGCGATGGGTAGAGGGGCGTAAAAGGCGATTGCACCTCTTCAGGGGCGCGAAGAAAAAGATGTCCCGTCGAATGGTCAGCGAGTGAGATTGGCTGGTGCTTCAAGGCCGGGGAGGGCAGTGTGGTACGGCGGCCAGCAGCAACCTCTTGCAATTAAGGCCGGGACAAACTAAAACAATATGGGCCCGGGCTGTAACTCGCTGCACCCTTCTTTACTTTTCGACCAATTCCGTCCCTCGAGCTGCCGCCAAGCACGGGGTATGGGAGATGACCAGTCCTGCGAACGAACGATTCAGGTTCTTCGACTTCAGCTTCGGTGTGGCTCTACGCATACATCCTCATGGTTTGAGACAGAATCTCGGACATCAGGACTCTTTCCGCATCATGTCTCACTCGTGAAAGCGTACAGTAGGCCTGGGCCCCTGGCTGCATCTGCTAGAACCCATGATTCACCTCATTTATTAGAAAAACAAAAACCCTCTTGCTGTTAGTGAAATCGAAGGCCAAACTCGACGTTTTCTAGTGCAAATTCTGGTCCCACAGTTCTGCTTCCTGCCCCTTTTCCACTGCAGTGATCGCGCTAGCGACCCGCAGTGACCCGCATTTTGCACAGAGCGCGCCGGCCAATCATCACCTCGGAATCCCACCTCCATCGGCGAGCCCATCCGACCGGGTTCTTCGCCAGCGTGGAACTTCGGTGTAAGATATCCCGTCCCAATACATAATTACAAAACAACATACAGTAAAGTGCGATCGTATGGTCTATAGCGTTACATACACCATACGGTCAGTCGGCAACTTCAAAACTCCTTTTGCTGTGGGATTGAGATCCCCGTGTCCTGTGAATGTATATACTATATCGGTATGTAATTCAGCGACTGCTATAAGACGACTTCACTGTTTAAGGTGTAGTAACATTTCCTACCTATTGCTCGTTTCTGGACGGCGTCCTAAGCTGCACTGTCCACAAGCCACGTGGAAAGCAGCGACTAGTACTAAGGTTACCCGTGAACGAGGCAACAAACTGTTCCCAGGATGAAGGTCGTGCGAAGTGGCAAAAGCTTGTCTCTACACTACGGTGTATGTACAATACATGCGTCTCACGTGTGCAATGGACGTCAAATCTGTTTCTTTCTCGAAGTTCCCTTCGCCATTTTGTGGGAACATCCAATCTCTGGACCCTGCATTGGGGTTGGTGGAGCCGAAGATTTGAGTTGACGTTTCAGAGGCAGAAATAACGTTACTAACCCAATTTGCCCGTCAGCGGGGTCAAAGAGAGACGATGCACTTAGGGACTTGAGGAACCATGTCTTCTTTGTGCGGCGGGTCGCGATATTGTTCGTAGCTCTTCCCGACGGGGTGTCAGCGTCAGCTTCCGTGAGCTTAATGATTGGCTAGACGTTGCCATGGCGGCTGGTGGGTCTCATGCTGCACGCTTGGTAGCCAGCCAATTTCCACACGCCACAGCATCTCAAGACTTCACTTAAGAACCCGAGGCAACCCAAACCGCCGTCCTCTCCTCCGTCCTCATCCCCATGGCCCGCACTCGAGCCCAAGCTGCCGCCCAGAAAGAGCTCACGCCACCGGCGTCAAAAGGCCAAGGTACTTATTCTTCGTCGTGCCTAACAACAACACCTCCTACTGACAGTTGCAGGAACACAACCCCAGGGTATCCAGTCGCGCAAAGGCGCAAGCAAGCGTGCCGGGTCGAACCGCCGTATACGTCTGTCTACGATCGGGGAGACGTTGTCTCGACAGGTATGCCTTCTATCTTTTACATTGTTATGGTTTACAAGCTAAGTAGGATGGCAGGATCCGCCGGCGCTACAGAGCAGAGGCCGCAAGCGCAAGCAACCGATCGAAATCGCAGTCGAACCCGGCGCGGACCGGGAACGCCGCGATCTGAAGCGAAAACGGACATCCCCCACACGCCCTGCAGGGAACACAATTGACGAGCCCCTTTCAAGGAAGCGTGGGTTCCAAGAGGTCAGGCGAGCCTTTCCTTCCTGAAAGCTCTTGCTAACGTGTTGTAGAATCTAGCAGCATCCGTTGAAGACGAAGGCGAGAAGCTATCGCATAACACTCCAGAGGGGTCCCTTGGGAAACGCCGACGAATATCCCTTGGACAGTCTATCCAAGAGGCGGGTGACGATACCGAGGATTGGCGAAACATAATCGATTTTTGGAGAAAGGAAGGATCCTGGCCTAAAAATTATTTTGAACCGGACGACTCGACTAGGAAGGATTTCGAGCGAGAGTCTGAAGACAGCTGGCTTAAGGAAATGGAACGGCACAATCCGATCGTAAAACTACTTTTCGCAAAAACGACATCTCTCAGGCGCAAGCGGTCTGGATCCGACAGTTCTACAACGGCAAGCCGGGATACGACGCCCAGCGATCAGAGGACGAGGGAGGAGAAAAATGCGCCGTATCGAAACTCGCGGTACCCGCTCCTGCTCCAAACCAAGGGCTCGTACATGAGCATCTCTGAACTTGGTGTTACGGATACCAGCAAGCAGCTTATCCGAGACCTCCTCAGCGGTGAACATTCGGTTCCCAAGGAGACGCTTTTCGACGACGATATCTTTGTGGAAGCTTGTTGCAACGTCGAGACCAAAAACGAGGCGAGGATTATTCAGGACATTTCTAGACTTATCGTTCCTTCGGCGGAATCGCTTGCACTCCGCTGCAAAAAGTACAAACACCTGATCGAGAGTGTCAACGAGGGGTGGGACAACTCGATACCTCTCACCACCCCTCGTCCCCAGCCTGACTACTCTGTTGGCTTTAAGCGAGATGCGTTCACCGAGGACCAACTCGCCAAGCTATCGCCATTCATTGGCGACTTTATCGCCGGGGACCAGACCTTCTTCATGGCCACGTACTATATGTACTGCCCCTTCCTGACCTGTGAGGCGAAGTGCGGAGCCGCGGCGCTCGAGATCGCAGACCGACAGAACGCCCATAGTATGACGCTTGCGGTACGGGCCATTGTAGAGCTCTTTCGTGCTGTAAAGCGCGAGAACCAGGTTAACCGGCAGATCCTTGCTTTCTCTGTCTCGCATGACCACCGATCAGTACGCATCTATGGGCACTACCCCGTAATAACCGGGAAAGATACCAAGTACTACCGGCACCCCATCCATGAATTTTCTTTTACTACGGTGGACGGGAAGGATAAATGGACGGCATATCGATTTACGAAAAATGTCTACGATATATGGATGCCCGAGCACTTCAAGAACATCTGCTCTGCCATCGACCAGTTACCGTCAGATGTGGACTTTGATGTCCCGCCGCTTTCCCAGGGTTTACGGGACTTGATGTCAGAGGCCAGCTCCGCTTTAGAGCCGGCCCAACAGGATAGTCAAGGCGTCACTCCAGACACTTCATTCATAGTGCCGGGAAAGAGGGTCAAGCAGGAGTTTGTGGGCGAGATTGCCGGAGACTGTAACATTGTGGTACGTATGTATGGTAGCAAGGGGGTGCAGTGTAGATATCGGATATTGGATTCTGGACCGCATATCTCGATCGCTGAGAGGTTACGAAGTGATACCATAGCCTACCTTTAACCTGCAATGCAAAGCCAAAAGCGACAGTGCAGGTGGTCACGAAGACGACGCGCGTGCGTTAGTGGCCAAGACGGTACGGGGAGTATAAACGAGGAAAATGCGAGGCATTGGCAAGCAACACTTTGACGTCGAGGTTCCAAGGCCCAGGACGTGCAGGAGAGGAGAACAAGCTGGAGGAGACACACTACTCATCTGATACGGCACGAGGGTCGCGGCGGCCCCACCTACCTGGGTTGACGCTGTAAGCGCTGAGGGGAGCTTGGTAGAGCAGGGCCGCAGGTGTGTATTTGCCGCCATCTATTTTAGGTCCAACCGTTTTATCTAATTCCGAATAGACATTTAGATTCTGAGGTCGAGGAAAGAGTGTTTCCAACTGCGAGTTCCCCGTTACGTTTTAGGGCATCTCTGCCAGCGAACAATACCGGCGTGGCAAGGATCGCTGGTCGACTCCTACCAGAGCCCCTGGTGGCGCCGCAAAACACCCTTTATCGAGCGAGGGGTACGTAGAGTAAAATCTCCTTTCGGTCTTTCCATGTTCCTTTTCCTATTTCTACCACGACATCTAATTGTGGATCTCTAGTGGGAACTCTACTCCCCCTTCTGCCTCCAATAGTGGACTTTTCACTAGTGGAAGCCCTTTCCCTAGAGTAGCTTTCCACTAGTGGAGGTTCCTTTCTGCTTTCCTTCTTTCCTGGAGGACGTAACTTTCCACCACACAGATGAAGGACCAATCGAAGATTGACCGAGTTCATCCCCGGATATATTCAATTCAACTACCGCGACAGTTGCGAAGAGAACAGCAATCTCTACAACGACAAGCGAAGCTGGGGTGATCGAGGCCGCGGTTGCAAACAACGAGCACCTACCAGAGCTACTCCGTACATTTGATTGAAGGGAGTGTTTGGACGGAGTCCTCGGAAGAGCGAAAAGACGACAATGGGGCTTACGCCTCTCTTGGGGAGCATGGCTGAATTCCGAGTCTGCAGCCGCGTCTGCTACTAGATTAGAACACCCGGGGTATCCAACTATATACACATGTCTAGATCTAAAGATGCGATGCTAGTCTTACAAGTACTGTACAATGAGCAGCGTCTTCTTCGTCCCCGTTGTTCTCACCCCTCGAAGACGTCATGCTGGAGCTCGACGCCGAACTCCTTGGCCACATCCTTTAACCTTGCTTCAACCTCGTCTTCCATCCCGCCGCCGCGGCCGAGAAGCTGCTTCAGCCTGAAAAAGTGGAAGGCGACATCCGACAGGAACAGAACCGCCTTGAACAAAAGATGCTGCCAAATGTTGATGGCCCTCTGGCGCAAGGGCAGGTTCGGGTCCTGAAACAGGGACCGACTAGCCCACTCGCCCATCATCTTGATTCTGTTGACCGGCGAGCCCATGTACGCATTGTTGCCTTGCACAATCCGCATGTTCCTCCCAATGAAGATGAGCTCCTTTGGCCACTTCTCCTCGTCCGCCAACATGTCGCGCATACCCTGCTTCATCTTCTGCTGCATCTCGTACTGCCGCTGGCTTGCTGTCTTTTTATCGTCCAGCGCACTCAGCATCCCCCTTTGGAACTGTTGGTCGCCACCTTCGTAAGGACGCAACAGCGTGGCCGAGGCAAACAAGTCGGCGGCCTTGATGCCCCATTTTTCGGTAATCTCGGCGATCGTCTTGTTGTCAAACGTCATCAGGGCCTTCCAAAAGATGCCATATTCATGCCGGAACTTGTCGCTCATGTAGACATAAAGCCCGTGGTCGATCAGCACAAGCTCGGGCAATCCATTAGGCAGCCGTCGGATAAAGATGTTGCCTGGGTCTAAACCATCGTGTCAGTCACGTCCTCCCAAGTCATGGGTCCATTCAATAGCTTGGACGTACGCGGATCACAGTGGACAACACCCCACTTGAAAATCTGGGCGGAGAAGAGGTCAATCATGGTGGTCATGACCTCCTTGGTAGACACGCCGAGTCCTCCCTGGCCACGGCGCCCTCTCCATTCTGTCCGCTCCGGCTTTAGATTTTGGCTGTGTGGGTTCTCCCGCAACTCCCGCCGTATGGCCTCTATATCTGGGGGGTTCAACTGTGTGCCATGAACCCCCGCCGAGCCCTTCCCGTAGCCTCCCAGCCAGGGTTTAGTGAGGGCCTCTTTATCCCATAACCTCACGCCTTCGATCCACTCGGTTGTGAGGACGCGCCTAGAACTGAGTTCAGGATAGACCGGTGGAACGTAGACTCTGCCCCGTAGACTCGGTTCCTGGTTCACGAGCTGGCGCATGATCTCCGAGTTCTTCGCCTCGTTCTCAAAGTCCGTCTCCAACATTAACCGTTCGGTAATGAAAGGCACCAAGGAATACAATGGTAGGTCAAACCACCATGTGTACACCTTCATGACGACCCTAGCCACATCATCCGTCAGCGAACCGTTCCGGGTAAACACAGGCAACGTGAGAGCATCACTCACTTGAAGGCCCACAGATCCCACCCGATCTGCTTCGCAATCTCGGGTTTCTGGATCTTAATAGCAACCTCCCTCCCGTCAGGTAACCTCGCCCAGTGCACCTGCGCAACGGACGCGCTCGCCCTGGCGGACCGCTCCATGACTCCCTTTCCCTCGACGCCAGCAAAGCTGACGCCAAACACCTCCTCGACGCTCCGGCCGCCGAAGTCCTCCCTGATGACCTTCTCCACCGCCTCCCAGTCGTCCTGCGGCGCATCATCAAACATGCGCGCAAACATGCGCTGGAACTCGGGCGGCATCACGGCGCTCTGCATGGCAATCGCCTGTCCGATCTTGAGGTACAGCCCACCGTTCTCGCGCAGCAGGTTGAACAGCCTCTCGGCGCTGCGGCGATGCAGCGCCGGAATGCCGCCCTCGCTCCCGATCAGCGGCAGCGGCTCGGGGCGGAAGTTGATCTTGTAGTCCAACGCCACCCAGAGGCCCAGGCCGAAGGTGCGTAGCGAGCGCGCGATGCCCGAGGCGTACAGTTGCTGGTCCGCCAGATAGCCTGTTCCAAGCACGGCTGAGAGTATGAGGAAGCGCCGCGCCCAGCGGCGGGAGCGCCGGAAACTGCGGGCTGGACGGGGCGCGCCGAGCGTCGAGGGGTTCGGAGGGCGGAGAGGCTCGAATGGGCCGGACGAGTGGGTTACGGAGCGAGCGCTGGTTGTGGAGAGGGAGCGGCGGGGTGTTGTTGGCAGAATCGGCGGAGCACATCGTAGCCGTGTGAAATGTGCCGCAGGTCCGGACGGGGAGAGCCGAGTCAGCGGAAACGACCGGCGACTTGCGCCCGCCATTCTAAGGCGCCACATTGTTTGTGGCAAGCCGATCGATCTCGTGAGTGACGGTTGGAGATGGGTTGTGCTTCAGTCCATCCTTTCTACCCGTGGACAAAAGAAGGTTGTGGCGTAGGAGCAGAATTTCTTACGTGTGAAGTCATTGGGGCTGACGACAATGTTATATCGGGACCCACCTTTCGCCGCTTCGGCCGATGCCCGGTCTTCTATTCCCCGAGGCCGATCGGATGGTACAGAAACCCAGCGGCTGACAATGTACAAGTACACTATCCCTCCCCAAGCATACTATTTATACACGTGAACGGATTGCACTAGCTCTTGCGGTTCTTCTTCAGAGACCCTGTGATTTTACCATACGTTAAACAAAGGTGTCCAGCTGGTTCCGAACGACATTCCTCTGAACCACTATGTACCCGACGTCGACATCTCTTTCGCACTGGAAAATTGCTGTTCCCCAACAGTTCCATAATGGTGCACAACACAACCCCGGAAACCCCGTTACGGTTGCAGTATGAAGTGCAAGTCTGTGCTGTTCCGCCGACGCCCTCGGCGACAGTCAAGTCGCATAGTACTCTCACATGTAATGCTTGTTTGACTCCGACGTCAGTGCTCGGAATCCTGGCACGCCTGGGACACCTCCGAAGCCTGCCGGACCCGGAGCTGCCCCACAGCACCCGATAGTGGAATCTGTTCAATTGGATCATAGCAAATCGACGAGGTGGAGTTGTCTCCCAGGTCCGAAAGAAGCTCCGTATGTACAGAATACTTCCCTTGGTAGTGTATGTAAGAGACCGCGATTACAATGGGTGTGTACGGATATAATAAGCGCTTTACGACTCTCTTCGCAAAGAGCTGAAATATCTTGCCACCACCGCATGAGAATGTTGCCTCGTTTGTGTAATCGTTGTGTTACGTCCCACCAGCGTGAGACACTAACTCCGTCAGGACTATCTCAACGCAGCGATTCTTTGGAGGACGCGCCCCTGCACCCACGCGACGATAACTTGGAAATGGCAGCAGAATCTCAAGCTTGACTGGTGGGCTTCTTTCACGGTGATTTGCTGTTATCTAGGCACCGAGAGTGCGAGTGATACAACATTATGTCTATCAGTATCAACCGGGTTAGAATTGCGCAAGATATGAGTGGACGCTTGCACCCTGGACTTTGGGTTCCACCCAAGTTGTTCGCTGTGGGGAGCGAAATCGATGGTATGTAAGGTACGTATCTCGAGGCGGGGCGAGCCCACATGGAATGGCGGCTGAGGTTCCGATCGTCTCCGTTTTCGTGAACGCGTATGTACTCCGCAGGCAGTTACACTACGGATATCGTACGCCAGTTTGTTTTCTCATTCCTAAGCTGTGTTATTCCATGTGGTCGAACTTCTCATGCCCAATATGTCGCCTTCGCTGGTGCACAGAGCTTATTCTCTTTTCGATATCCGTAGAATAAATTGTTAGGCGCTTATGTCGAGCGCGTCTCCTAGCATTTTGGTGGCTTATTATTAGCTTTGCGGAAGGGTTGCCAATCTGGGTTTGAGTTCCAAGTTCCCATTGATTGGCAACCGACCCAAGACTGCATGCAACATGCACGTATCGGAGCCCTGGCCCTGTTTCCCCACCCTGCCTCGTCCCCCTACAATTCCCAACTCAATCTGCGCTCCAACATCCTTCTCTCACCAGTGTACGGATAACGTTAATGCATCGCTTTTTGCAGAGCGTCAATCGCCGCTGCGTTCGTTTTGAGGGCAGTCGCCGATTGACTGGGCCGAGGTCGACCATGGATTAATTTTCGACGACATCAGCCACATCAATCTGCAACAATCCGAGTTCTCTTCGGTACAGCACACGCTCGCTCCTTCCAAAGTTCTTTTCCATGTTCGCCCTAATAAGCAGGACTCGCCAGTCATCCGTCTGACGCCCCAACCACATGTTGCAGACCTGCTGCTAAGCCACGGGCACCATAGCTGCCACTGAAGGCGACCGGGCGCTTCTTCTTAACTACCTAGCCGCGTCTCGACGGCGCTGGCTCTTTCCCGAGGACCTATCCGAATCCGCGACCGTGCCGCCTGAAATCCAGTCGTCATGTTGCGCCCTGCAACACCGCTCTCGGTGCTGCTTTTTGCGGCATTCGCCTTACTCCTCTTATCGGTTCTATCAACCCCCATCATCAAGGTTATTCCGCTTGGAAGCTGGCAGGGCGTCGATTTTGGCGTCTTTGGGTACTGCACTTCAAATGGCTGTACCTCAATCGAGATCGGCTATGACGTCCGTGAGTGTTCTCCCCGATCCCAGACCTGCCCTTGACCGCTTCGAAGCTCATGAAACGTTCGCCAGGGCCTCTGAATTCCAATGACTTCGATCTTCCTTCTTCCACTCGTTCAACTCTTTCAAGCTTGCTCATTGTTCACCCGGTTGCCGCCGTCATTACCCTCATTATGTTTTGTCTTGCCGTGGTCGCCCACTTCCGCAGCCCGTCCCACTCGTCTAGGTACCTGCTGCTGCTCTTCATCGTCGGCATTCTCGATTTCCTTGTCTGTCTCCTGAGCTTTCTCGTGGACGTGCTGCTTTTTGTCCCTCACTTAGCCTGGGGTTCATATGTAGTCCTTGCCGCCACGATCCTAGTTGCGCTTAGCGGCTTGGTCTCGTGCGCAATGCGGAGGACGATCGTGGGCAGGAAGGCGAGGAAGAAGCGCATTGCTGAGAATGCAGAGATGAGCGGCGAGAACTATTACAACCGCCAGGCCCAACAGACGACTACTCCCGCGGCTGCGGCGAGCACGCTAAGACCTACTGTCCCCATGATTAGCGGCGCCAATGGCGGAGCCGACACGCTACCGGAGTTTGCCTCCTTTGAGAAGAAGGATGACCGGAGCAGCGATGAGAGGATACCCCTCACTGCAACCAGAAGCCCTTCAGAGAGGACTCCAGGCACCTTCGCCACCGAGGGAACAGCTACATACGTGAACGACGGAAACGGTTCCATGGATATGGCGCCCTTGCGTTCGCTGACGAACACTCCCGGTTCCCGGGATCAATACGCAAACACTCTACCGCCCCAGGACAGTTATCCCATGAGGCCTCCTTCTGTTGAACGCGTGGGCTCGCCAGGAAGAGGCGGCATGGCACCGGCAGGGTACCGGGGACGTGGTGGGTATCCTGGGCCCGGCCGTGGCGGTTACAACGGTTACGGTCCTCCGCCAGGGGGTCGCGGCGGATATGGCCCGCCAGGTCGTGGGGGCTACGGACCTCCCGGAGGTAGGGGAGGGTATGGTCCCCCTCCACGGGGCTACGGTGGACCTATGCGAGGCGGGCGGACACCGCCGCCGCCAAGCTACCAAGGATCCCCCGCTCCATACGACAGGAGGCCTTCTCCCGCTGGACCGTACGGTCCCGGTCCTTATGGCGCCAGACAAGCTTCGCCTGGTCCGCCGGCCGCCCCCGCCTACATGAATCCGTCCATATCCAACGGTTCATCTAACAGCGGTTACCAGCCGTACAATCCCAATCAAGATGATCTTCCGCGGGCAGAGTCTCCTCCGCCCCTGCCAGGCGTCGATGACAGTGTACCCGCGCCGCATGCGGTGGAGATGGACGCGACAACCAGCAGTCCGACACGCGGATCTGGTGGGCTTGGACAGTTCAACATCCGAGACAGCGACTCGGATGTTGCAGGCATGTTAGCGTTGCAGCAAGGCCGGACCTCGGCTGTGGGTCGACACATGAGCGATACCAGCAGATACAGTGCGGATGAGTAAGATCTCCCTCATGTGTTGTTTATGATCACTGTAGGATCCTTTGCTGACTCAAAAATCTCAGGAGCACCTACGTGCCGCCAAGGCAGGCATGGAACCAGGGACCAGGCAGGAATTCACCCCGCGTAGCCTCACCGCTGAACACTGCCGGACGCCCTGCGGAACTTCCAACCCATGGAAGCCCTCCGCCCCAGTCGCCGGTAGCGCCTGCTGGTGAGTACTACGAGGATGTGGACCCCCGCTTCGCGGAACCTCCGGCCCAGAGACCAACACCCGCTCCCATAAACACGACTAACTCCTACGAGGATATACCCCAAGGCTCCCGCAGCCCGGCAGAATCTGAGCGTTCAAACTTCACTTCAATATCCCAGCGAGGCATCAATCCCCGTTGGAACCCAAACCCATCATCAGTGCCCATGATGCCCAGGCGTCCGGTCAACCGCTCGGACATGCTTCTTGACTCGAACCCCGATTTTGGACTGCCCAATCGTGGCGGGCCTTCAAGGCCAGGCGGCCCGAGGATACCTGACGGCGCTTATCCCCGGGGAACATAGTTAGCTCATTTCTATCTTGCCGCTTTCAGGCAACGGCATAGCTTCCATCTGGGCAGCGAATGTTACTCTAAGCGAGGGCCTTTATTTTTCCGTCTTCGCCACGTATATAGCTCCCAGTTCTTGCCAACGTACATCAAAACTTCTATTCAATCTAAGGATCTTGTAATCGACTGTCCCAGCTTCCGGCAGCTTCACTCCCCGCTGCTTGATGCCATGCTTAGACTGTACTACGCTGTCTTCCTAGGGGTCGCACCAAGGCACTCACACTCCCGTCCATGAGCTCGACATTCAGGTTTGGGAAACATCTACTCCGCCTTGCCGAGGTAATACGGCCTCTTAGATGAGTGAGTCCAAGCTGAAAGGTCCCAAAGCGGAAGCTGGGTTCTGACGGCGTATTTGCCTCATCACCGGGTCGTAATTCTCCGACTCGAGGAGACATCGCCTCTTACTTCCGGGGCTCCTTCAACCCGATGCACGGTTTCCCTCGAGGGGCAATAGCTAACTATCAACGTTAACCGAACTCGGCTGCGGGACAGATGCGAAAAAGGGACAGCCATCCCGAGACTGAGCTAACTACAGGGCATTTCCGGCCCTCTGGGCATTTCCAGCCCTCTGGGCTTACCCGGTTTCGGGGATGACAAACGATTCTAGAGGGAATACGAGCGGATAGTTGCGCAACCTGAATGACCTTAATTTAGTGATTGCGGCAGCCGTCTGCTAATCCCAATATAGCTACATGTACAAAGCTGCACCACATCCTGCGGTGCTCCAGCCAGCTCTCAATTCCAACCGCTCTTGGAGAACGTGTGCTCCCGAGAGAACGGCAGGTCGCAGCGACTAAGTGCAGACCCGGTAATCAAGCTGCTGTCCGCAAGCGTACTACTTTACAAAAGTCCTGATGGGTGTATATTGGCTCCATATGGTCCAACCAAAAGCTGAGGCACGGTGATCTCCAAGCAACTGCCCTGCTTGCCATCGACATGATCCCCCAAAAGGAACCTTTTGCCCGCCGTTCCCTCCTGAATCTTTCGGAGACAAAGGCATTCCTCAAAGTGAAACAGCTCATAACTCGTTTGCTCTTGACATAGGTATGATAGAACCCTGCGCCAACCCTAATGTTGCCGAAATGAACTGTTTTATACCAAGTACCGTTAGAGGAGTCTCCTCAATATCCCCGCCTCGACCTCTTGACGACCTTCTTCTTTTTTGGCTGTTCTTCCTCCTTCGACTCGCTGAAGAAGCTCTGATTTCCCTTCTCTGAGTGGTCAATCAACGAGTCGTCAGCCTTTGTGAAGGGGCTGGTTCCGTTTTGGCTGGCCTCCTTGTAACTCAGGAGCGATGCAAAGGCCATGTTGAGTAGAGGCTCTGTAGCGTCGCTCTCCTCCATTTCATTCGCCTCTTCGACACTCATAGCCGGCGGAACGAGTTTGCCATCGACGGCCGATTTCTCAATGTGCCCCGCGCGAAGTCGTTGGCGCTCCCCGCCAATTACGCCGACTTTGTTGTCGTGGGAGTGACGGTTGTGGTCATCCAGAGTCTGACTCATGTGCTTGAACAGTCCTTCGGTGCCGGCATAGAACCGCTGATTAGTTTTGTTAATGTGCTCCGAGTCCGAAGAAGGCTTCTGCGCAGTCTGATTCTCTGTGATCGGGAACCTCGTATACCAATCCTCAGCGATTGGCGTGTACTGTCCATCGTAGCTGTGAGGGAACCCGTTTGGGTAATACTGCTGAATTCTCTCAGGCGGAAGGGTGTCGTAGACTTTACGCTTGGTCTCGTTCATCGATCCGATGAACGACTCAGGGCCGCCTGGAGTGTAGTGTGGGTAAAGCGGCCGGAATCGTGCAGGCACCGGAGGGATGGGCGACACCGGAGCATGGTAAGTCTCGTCAAGAAGAGAGCGGTTCGAGGGGCCTGTGCCTTCGGTCGTCTCGTCGTCATCGTCGAGCGCGGCGAGAATGCTGGTGCCAAAGTTGCGGGGGAGACCAGGTGGTGACTGGGACCGGTATACACCAGCCCCAAGTGGCATGTTGGCGACCTGGCTATCCGAATCACGAGCCTTACAAACAGGCTCCAGAACTGAAGGCCTGAACCGTCGCTGGCCTGGGGGCCCTGCTGTCAGGGGCTGAGGCGGTCCAACGATGGCCAACGTCGCACCATATGTCGGGGGAAGGCGATCTCTGGGGTACTCCGTAGACGTCGATAGAGATGAGAAGGGGGTGTTTACACGGTTGACATTGAGGTTGGCAGTGCGAGCTCTGGCCAATGCCTTCTGAGCAGCCTTCTGCATCGGGTTCTCGTACGAGGCCAAGTTGGTGAGCGACTTGACTGTGATGCGAGAAGTCAGGCTGTCCTCGGACGTCGTGCCATCGTTGCCCTCGAATGGCGCGGGAGACGGCAAGTTTCCCGAGCGGATAGCCGGGGCCGGCAGTTCACTTCCGGTGAAATCCACCATTTCGCGCTCTGATGTCGGATTAATGGCCCTCTCGTAGTTTTGCTGCAGTGGCGAATACTGAAGGAGTGTCGCTGGCCTGGTCGGAGGAGGCGAGGGAGAAGTCTGCTCGGTGAACGGCAAGGCCGACAACAGGGCGTTCGGAAAGGGAATGTAAGTTTCACCGGATGGGGATCGAATTGGCTGCGGATATCTGCGCGCTCTGGGACGGCGAGCAGGCGGCTGGATTGGCGTCACGGTCTTGGGGTTGTAAATCGAACCGACTGTCGTATATGTGGGTTGCCTGCCTGTTTCTTTACCCGTGGATGAGTCTGTTGCCGAGTTAGAAGCAAAAGCTATAAGGACAATCCACAAAACACAGCTACTTGGTGTGTCTGCGCCTCAAGGAGAAAAAGGCAAGAAGACAATGGCTGATCGGAGGAGTGACACCCAACCCAAGCGCTTGTCCCTGAATTTTGGGCGAGACCTTCTAAAATCATCTTTCGGAGGTTGACGGTGTACAGGAAGGGGCATTCAGTAGTGTGGGATTGTCAAAGCGGCGAGGAAGAGCGAGGGCAGCCCGGCAAAGGGCGATGAGGAAAGGTGACGTACCATTTGACTCGGACCCGTCCGGCTGTTGCAGCCCTCGAGCAGCCGACTGCTGATTGAGGAACATAATCTCAGGAAGGAGAGCAAGGTCGTCCACCTTGCTCTTGCCTGTGGTCTGTAGCCTTCAAAAATTCAAAGATACTGGAAGGCGTAGTCTGCGCTCAAGAGAGGGTGGATCAGAACGTGCTACCCGAGCGGGAAGATGTGAGGGAGAGCGTGACGGATACCACCACGACCACCCTTCCACTCTAAGTCATGGAGCTCATAAAGGTTTCTCAGAAGGTATGGTAGAAAGAGGGGCAACAAATGGATGCTTTTCAGTTCTGTGGTATCATTCAAGAAGAACTTGAAAGCAGCCCTGAGGAAGCGGCCAGCATCGATCGGTTGTTACTTCCCAATTAGATAAGCTTCATCAAGACCGGCCAGTTTTCACGGTCAGTCTGTGGCGCTTTCCTGATATGACAAAGTAAGTTTATATCGCGTCACGGTCGTGACAAGCAGGTGCCCCAGGGAGGACAACACCTGGAAGTGAACGCACCTTCCAGAAATCAAAGGCTGCAGCCTCCGGGCGGTGACTTTACTAAGATCAAGAATCTCCAACGCTAGTTGAAAACCAAAATCCAAGAATACCGCCATCTTAGACGAACGCAAGTAAGGACGATGCTGAATAGTGAACATGGACCCGCACACATCGCAGTGCATATTTGTGGTAAATCTAGACTCCCCTAACTTCTACCGGAATGGCGCATCCCTAGGCAGCTAACAACGTGTGCAGGAGACAGGACCTTTGATTGAACGACATGCAACGGACCTATCCAAGCGAGAGCATATAGGGGCCGGCTCGCTAGTTCATGGCAGCCACAAGGCCCAGTCCAGGCGGATGTTGAGGAGGAGTACTTGGTGTCCCTGCTGTACCGGGCTATATGCTCATTACGTCAGGTGTCACGATGAGAAGGGTCAACCACAAAGGCAGGAGACTCTGTACAGATACATCTCCTATACTGAAGAGAGCACCAGTTTGAGACAACGCTGCCGGAGGCGAAGCTTAAACCCCCATGGCGCCCATCGTCTGAATGCGGGATCTCGTTTGCAAGGTGCTATCATGGAGAGGCTGGTAAGCCTCAATGATCTGGAACGGAGGGATGCGCCTATTTCCTAAATTGCTCTTGGTACATCTTGTTGTAGATATCCATTCAGCTAGGTAAGGTACCTTATAGTCCTCCATGTTGGGATTTCTCACACCGGAGTCACCACAATGCCCATGGTTCTGAATATGATTACCTCTATGCGCTATGAATCTTGAGCTTGTCTTTCTTAGTTGTGTCTGGGTTGCGGCTTGTGGGGGTTGATATCTGCGAGACGATAACGTACATTATAAGCGAGCCGAACATATAAGCGAGCCGAACATATAAGCGAGCCGAACATATAAGCGAGCCGAACATATAAGCGAGCCGAACATATAAGCGAGCCGAACATATAAGCGAGCCGAACATATAAGCGAGCCGAACATATAAGCGAGCCGAACATATAAGCGAGCCGAACACTCTCCACTACTCTATAACAACTACCCTCAATTGCAATGCAACAACACTAAAAACCAACTACAATTACATCAGAAACAGATGAATCAGACCCTTCTGCACCCTCCTGGCAAGTGCAGGCATTATGGCTAGGCTTGCCGCATATATCACAGCACCGAACCTTCGTACGACCCCCCCCTAGCACCACTACCATCCAGCTGTATTTCTTGCATTGCCTCCCCACCTACAGCCCCCTGGCTTACCACCTCCTGTGCCTCCTGCACAGTAAGTGATCCTCCAAGCCGCACACGTGTTTTTTAGCTCTCCGGCGCTTGCTTAGCGCCTCGTTAGCCTTGCAGAGCGAAGACACCTCTGCCTGAAGGAGGGCTACCTGGTGCATTATAGCCATCGTACCCTTGGTAAGCTGGTCTATAGCAGCCAATATTGAAGTCGGGGAGCTATTTTAATGGTTGGCAATGCAAGTCTTGATAAGCGTTGACTATGACTCGGCTTCTCGAGGGTTGTATAGTATCTGGAAGACCCAAGATTGTATAGTGCCTGGCCGTGAGGTTAGAGGTGTTGGTGTACGAAGCTTGATATCTAGCTTCGAAAGCACCCTCTTTGGATCGTACGGCATAAGGCCAGCCCCTGCAAAACCGCCCTAGATATTCCTCTTGGTGGTAGAGGCAAAGAAGGCCGCGCGAAAGGTATAAAGGAACTCGAGCTTGCTGACGTGGTTGATATGCGCGCGTATTAAGTCCTCGATCTGGCGACCGTATACCTGCTTCAACGGCCTAAAGCAGCCAATATCAAGTGGCTGGAGGAGGTGGGAGGAATATAGAGGCATACAGAGTATGGTAATGTTGTTCTGCTGGCAGTAGAGCTCGAACTCGGTTGAGTGGTGGCTTTCGTGGCCATCGAGGATCAACAACCGGTATTTGCCCTTTGTCCGAGGCGCTGTATAGTAGTCGAAGTGCTTGATCTAATCAAGGCCTATTGCATTGGTAGTCCAGCCATTCTCGGTAGTTGCAATGCTGTGACGAAATTACAGGCAGTCCTGCCTCTGAAAGGGTTCGCCGGTCGAAGGTATCTGCTGGTCGGACTGTAGGTCTCGGTGAAGCCAAAAGGTTCACAACAATGCAAGTCGTAATGTCTACATAGTAATGTAGGGCTACCTTACTGCTTGTATTGCTTACTGGAGAACTCCTAGAGTCCCCTAGAACGAGTGTCTAACTGTCCTATATACTACGGTCTTTCCTATGGATCACGGCCTCCCTCCGGTGATCCCTTACACTGGATCACCTTGGATCACCAGTGATCCCTCTATGAGCCTTATACCTGGATCACCAAGCCTTCCTTATGCCAAGTGTGATCCTCTTCTGATTGGTCCGTCCCTGGGCCAGAATGATTGGACGTAGGCGTCGCCCGTAGACCATGTAGGTCAGCCCTACCGGCCGCTGCAGGTTAATTTATGATACGATGCCCCCTCTCTAGGGCTATTCGTTCTAAAAGCCCAAGTTTGTTTTAAATAGCGCCAACATCCTATATTGTAAGTATACTACGCGCCTTCTCTTTCCCCTTTCCAAAGAGGTGCTGATATAATAATAGACCGCGTCTATAAGCGTCAGTCTAAGAAAGCCTAGGAGCGTATAGCTCTCGCGTCTTTTATTGAATCCTCTAGAGTAGATATTATACCTTGTTCTTGGTATTTTAAGTGTAACCTTGCTTGCCGTATCGCATAGAACTCCTCTTATTATAGCGAATATATTCGTTGCGGTCGTTCTTACGATAGTTCTAGTATAACATTATCTCGTAGGCTATATTCCCTCCTCTTTTTATAGTATAGTGTTTAACTTTTCTTAGTAACGAAGATTATGTCCGAGCAGAAGCATTTAGAGTAGGAAGAGGCCGACGTTAAAAAGGCGCTCTTTGTTTTTCAAACTCAGTTGTAGACCGTTGTTGGTCGTCTCGCTAGGTTACGGCATTAGAGGCGTTTCCTGAAGGAGCAGGGTTCCGAGTTGTTCCGTCGTGGTATATAATCGTTAGAGGAGATGGAGGCGGAGGACCGTCGGATTCAGGAGTCCGAATCCTATATGGTTAGCGATGTTCAGGCGCTTAGGGCGGACGTTCCTTTCGACTGGGGTTCTTTAGGGCTTGATTTGTCCGATGTTGACTTGGCCGCTCTGGCGGAACTATCATCCGAGGTCGATTCGGGTCCTTCTAGTGGGACTTCCTTGGTTCCTCAGGGCAGTGGGGGTTTGTAGTTGGTGGTAGTTAGGTCTTGGTCGCGCCTGCCGTGCGTGTCGTGTTATAGCGTGGCTGCCTGCAGCCGCTCTTCCCTGCCTGGGGTTCTTAATCTGATTCTTATTGCCTGTTTCCTAACAAATGAAATGGCTTAGTGGTGCAGCTTGGTTATTATACCCGGGCGAATGCTCTGGGAGGTTGTAGGTTCGAATCCCATCTGCGCCCCTTCTCTATATGAGTGGCTTGACTGCCGGGTCGAGCTATTTATAGGGAGAAGATTTTTGCGCTTTCTTCTTCCCTAGCCGATCTGGATTCCATCGATGGAATTCCTTCAGTTTTTCTATATAGCTAAGGTGTTCCGCTGGTTCCTATGAGTTGTCTTCTGGTCCAAAGTCGAGCTATTTGATCAGGTACTCTAGCCTTCCGTTGGTTATTCGCGAGTCCAAGATTTCTTTAACGTCCTATTCTTCTTCTTTATCCTTAGCTTCGACATCCTTTATAACCCATACGTTCCTAGGTACTAGTTCAAGGAGCGAGATATAGAAGACGTTGGTATATAGCTTTATTATTGATAGTAACGAAAGTTGATAGTTGGATGTCGAAATTCTTACGTCGATTTTGAATAGGCCAATCTTCCTAAAGTCGAGCTTCTAGCTTGGCCGTTTCGTTTTCAAATTCCAGGAAATAAGATAGACTATATCTCCTCTCTTAAGGCGAGGTCCCTCGAGCCGATGTTTGTTATAGTACTCCTTCATCTTAAGTCTAACGAACTCGAGTTCTTCTTTTAGTATTATATATAGTATATATATTTTTTCTACCTTGACTTTTGCCCTAGATATTATGATATCCGGTCCTTGGCGTAAATCTGCTTTATAACCGAAATTCGTAAAGAATAGAGTGACCTTTATTATCTCCGTTGGTATTATATTATATATAAGCTATGCCGCTGGTAATAGATCAACCTAGTCGTCCTATTGGAAGTTGACGAACGTTCTAAGATATTATTTAACAATCTGGTTGAGCCTTTCTATCTGGCTATCTATCTATAGGTGGTATGCTATTGAAAGCTTGCTCTTCGTACCTAATTGCTTTATAAGCGCTTGCTAAAACTTTAATGCAAACTTGGTGTCTCGATCCGTGATCTATTCTTCTAGCTATCTATGAACTACTACGATATACCGATAGATCGTGTCCGTAAGTTGCTCTGCTGACCATAATTCTTTATATAGGAAGAAGTAGCTCCACTTAGTAAGTCGGTCAACTATAGTAAGGATGCTATCATACTTCGTTCCGGTAGTCGAGTCTTTTGAAAGCGGTAGTTTGGTGATGAAGTCCATCGTCACCGAACTCTATGGTCGTTCTGCAATTGGCAGTGGCTCTAAGAGCCCATATGGTTTATATCGTGCTGACTTGCTTCGATTGCAAAGGTCATATTCCTGCATAATGTTCTTAACTCTAGTCCTGAGTCCTGGGAAGTCGTAGTATTGCCAAACCTTGGCGATTGTTTTGGTGATTCCCATATATCCTCCGAGCTTCTTCGAAAAGAATGCAACTGGGTGTAACTTCCTATATTTATCACGCTGACCAAGTTGTCCTCTGATCGCATAGTCTAATACGTCGGTTTTAACCTCGAATAGCTTCTATAGGTCTGGTAACCAGAGCACTAGGTCGGCGATAATTACATTACGGATCTTCTAAAACGCTTGTTCGTACTCGGCTTCCTATTGGAACTTGGTGTCTTTCTTCGTAAGTTTATATAATAGTCATATAAGGTCGCTGAAGTTCCTGATGAACATTCGATAGAAATTGGCGAATCCGATAAATCCTTACACCTCTATTATTATTATTAGTCGTGGCCATTTCTTGATCGCT